CCCCCCCCCCCCAGTGTTAGAGCTGGGGTTCTTGTCCTCAGTCCCGCTCCACTGGAGGCCACCTCCCCATGCCTTCACAGACATCCCAGTTCTGGGGCTTTTGGGGTTATTGGCCTCCTCCCAAGAAGAGGTCCCTTCTTTTCCTTATCCTCAGGTGGCTGTCGCGTGATGGAGCAGAAAGAGGTTCCCAATGGGCTCAGGGATGAAGCTTGTGGCAAGGAGACCCCAGCTGGCTATGCAGGCCTCTGCCAGTGAGTGCCAGGCAGGGCGTGGAGCATGGTGTTGGGGAGGGAGGTAGGAGTAGTGAGGGTATGCCCAAGCAGTAAAGGGCGTATGTGGGAGCAGTAGGTCCTGAAGGGAGTGGGAAGGAGGGGTTCTCTGGGCAAGGGCATAGATAGGTAGTAGCAGGCAGTGTGCACAGGTGTGCAACAGATGAGGGTTATCTATCATATTCATCTTAGTAGTCCAGTGCCCAGTAAAGTGCTAGGCACACGCGGTAAATATCAGCCTAGTAAAAGAAAAACTATTTTGCCACTCATCTCCCCAGGTCACACTACAAAGAATATCTTGTGAGCCTCATCAATGCCCATTCACTGGACCCAGCCACCCTGTATGAGGTGGAAGAGCTGGAGACGGCCACTGAGCGTTACCTGCACGTGCGTCCCCAGCCATTGGCCGGAGAGGATATTCCTGCCTACCAGGCCCGCTTGTTACAGGTAAAGCCTCCACCCAGCCTCACCTCTGAGCCCATCCTCCAGCCAATGTCTGAGCAGAGGCTGCCAGTGTTACCATGTTCTCTCTCCTGCAGAAGCTGACAGAAGAGGTGCCCTTGGGACAGAGTATCCCCCGCAGGAGGAAGTAGCTGAGGGCAGTGGCCCTGCAGAGGGTCCCATGGCCCGACTACCTCAGGAACATCTCCAGCACCAATAAAGAGGCATCTCCTTTGCCAGGCTTCTTAGTGGTCCTTCTTCCTGGCCCCACCATCTAGGGGCACCAGGGAAAGAGGTGGGGGTGGCGGGGTGGGGGGTGGGGTGGTGGTGGTGGTGGTAAACAGAAGTTTTCTGGAAGGTCTCCCTGCAGCTGCCCACTGGACCTTCCCTGGACTCAGGGCCGAGAAGGAATTGGCATTATGGATGGGCATGGGAGGCCTTCCACATCCAACACCTGCCCTAGGCTTCCTTCTTGCCTCCGTCTTTTCATCAAATTTGCCTGATCTTTGAGCTCACCTAATTATGTACCAAATGGGCACTGTGGGGGAACACAGATGCACAGAGTACACAGCAACCCAAAGGCTCAAGGCCAGGAGCGGAGGTCAGGGCCCAGAGCAGTGAGTGTCTGAGGGAGGAAGGGGGATGAGCCAGGCAGAACTGCACCTACTCCTGACTCCCTAGCCTCCAGTGGAGGGGCTCCTCCTGCTGCCAACAGTGAGATTCTCAGATGCTGCTGCCTTCTAGTGGCAAGTGGTTGCCTTGCACCTCAGAGACCACGTGATTTCTGGGAAAAGGACTTCACTGGAGGAGAACTGAAACTTAGGGTGGGGACTGTATACAGTGAAAGGGGCGGAGAGATTACGAAGCCGAAGCTGCCTAGCCGGAAGCTGAGCTGAGGGCCACTGAGTGCTGGGACAGCCTGCACAGCCAGCTCAGGTAAGATCAGCCAAAGGTGGCGGTCATCCAGGAGTCTGGGGCCGGAAGCCCAGCCAGGTTGGAGGTGAGGGGCTGGGGCAGCAGAGCCCCTGTGCTAGGCTGGGGAATAGGGAGAAGGCCTGTGAGCCAAGAAGCAGTAAGTTTGGCCTGAGGCGAGAGACTGGCTAGAGACCAGCTTCCCAGGCCTTATTGGCAGAAGACAGGAGGACCTGCTACAGGATTGTTCCGGGAGAAACACTCTTTGCTCCAAGTCTCTGTTCACCATGTTTTGTTTGTCTTGCCTTCTGGCCCTGCCCATTTCCGCTGCAGCTCCACCCCTGCCTCCAGCTCCCTGCCCTACCTATCCATAGGGCAGTCTAAGAAGGAGGGGTCAGGTTGTGGGGTCTGTGGGTGAAGAGTGTTTGTTGATGGGGCATCTCAAAAGCAGATATTGCCTCTGCAGATGTTTGGGTGTCTAGACAGTGCCTCTCACCAGGATCAGAACACTAAGGGACTTTTTTTCTCTCCCAAATAAAGTCCTGAAAAGTCTTAAAATTTAAACCAGTACTTAAGATTTGCTTCCTGATGTCACTGCTTGGGATATTAAAAGGAATGTATATTTTGTAATTGCTAGTGGTGGCAGAAACAAAACAATTCTGCTTTAGAGAGTTTTGAGATGTATCCAGATCCGAAAGAAGATGGATGGGTGCTTGTAGGGTCTCTGGGAGCCCTTGGCAGAATCCGGCCCCAGTGGCCAGGATCTTAGCAGATGTTCCCTCCCACAGTGTCCGTTCTGCTGATGCTTCCAGCTCTTCTTGTTCTCCAGGATGGCATCAGGCAGGGCACGCTGCACCCGAAAGCTTCGGAACTGGGTGGTGGAGCAGGTGGAGAGCGGGAAGTTTCCTGGGGTCTGCTGGGATGATAAAGCTAAAACCATGTTCCGGATTCCCTGGAAGCATGCAGGCAAGCAGGACTTCCGGGAGGACCAGGATGCTGCCTTCTTCAAGGTAACAAGGGCCTGGAAACCACCCCTTCTGAGTGAGGGCTGGAGTATATACTGGCTTCTCTTATCCTTAAGGAGTTGTGTCTGTGCAGTTTTCAGATAAAGGGGAAATTGGAGGGTAGAACTGGCTACATAATTTGCCCAGTGCACAGTGAAAATGCAGAGCTCTTCTTCAAAAATTACTAAGAATTTCAAGACGGCAACAGCGGAGAATAAGCATTCTCAGACCCTTCTGAGTGCAGAGCCCTGTGATGTGCACAGGTTGCACCCTTGTGAAGCTAGTCCTGTTGGAGGGTCAGCTGAGATCTGTAACAAACTGCCTCTTCTTTACCTGCCTCTCTTTCCTAGGCCTGGGCGATATTCAAGGGAAAGTACAAGGAGGGAAACTCAGAAGGCCCTGCCACCTGGAAGACTCGCCTGCGCTGTGCCCTCAACAAGAGTCCTGAATTTCAGGAGGTCCCTGAGAATGGCCATATGGAAGGGGCTGAGCCCTACAAGGTGTATCGGTTGCTGCCACCAGGAACCCTCCCTGGTGAGCCCTTTGCCCAACCATTCCAACAGTCATCAGACTGGGGAGGAAGGATGGTGGCCTGAGCCTCCTGGGAGGGTGCTGGGCCTCCCTCCACACCTCTTACTCAGTCTGCCCTGTCCCTGCCCTTAGGGAGCTGTTCCCTGGCTTCCCTTTCCCAGTCCTGCACACCCTTCCCTCCCTCATATTCTCTCCTACCCTATGTCCCTACGTAAGGCTCTGACCCATCTCTCCCACTCGAACAATGTTCCACAGCCCAGCCAGGCACCCAGAAATCACCATCAAAGCGACACCACAGTTATGAGTCCTCTGACAGGGAGGAGGATGAGGGTCCCGTGAAGAGCCGTGCACTCAGCCCCTTGTCGCTCCAGGACCCCTTCAATAATGTGAGCTGGGGGGGGGGTGTTGGGAGGGGTCTGAGGGCAAGACAGTAACTAGAGGAAGAGGCAGGGCAATGATAGACACTGTGTCCACAGGAGAGGGGAGCCAGTTGGGGAGCAAACCATTCAGACACTGGGAGCAGCAACAGCAACAGCCCTAAGCCTCAGGAAGGTACCACCTCTCCTGCCTCTTGTGTCATCCCCCATGCCCAACAATGCCATGACCTCTGACCCTTGTAGCCAGTCTGAATGACCAGTGCCTTTGCCTCCCTTCCAGGTGCAGGCACAACTGAGGCCCCCTTTGAAGAGGATCAGGTGTCCCTGGAACTTCTGCTTCCTCCAGACTCAGGTACTGCTGCCTGTTCCCCTCAGGTTTTCTTCCTCTGGCTATGCCTGCATTTTCTAGTCTGTTGGGGCTTGCAGCCAACTGGACTCACCTTACCATGGACAGGAGCACTGGTTTCTAGGCAGTGAGAACTCCAGGAGCTGTTTAGTCAGATTCCAAACAGCTTGCTTTCCAAAATAACACACTACACACCCTGTTCCCTGGAGTTCCACTTTGAGACACTCCATTCTTTGAGTCAAACAGAAGCCGAATCTCTTGGGCTCTTCTTATAAACTACAGGACCCTTGGCAGTAAGCTCCCAAGGCATTCATGTGAATTGGTTTATTAGCTGTCACCTAATGAAGAGGAAAGCCTGACAGAAGCCCCTTGGCTGATGAGGGGAAGGTGGGAAGTAAAGATGAGGAAGGGAGGGAACCTTTTCTAACCTCAGCAGATGTGGGTGTGGCCCCAGACCCCAGCGTCCTCCCCAGATTTTGCTTGGCATCCCTCTCTGGATTTGCAGGGAGCTCCATGTCATTTCCCCAAAGGCTCCTGCTGACCAGCTGAACCCCTGGGGAATGAGGAGAGGCACTGCTGCTAGCTGGCAAGCTCCCTCAGCGCCAAGTATAGCTGGGCCGTTCTCTGTCCCCAGACTACTCGCTGCTGCTCACCTTCATCTACAGCGGGCGTGTGGTTGGGGAGACCCAGGTGCACGGCCTCGACTGCCGCCTTGTGGCTGAGCCCTCGGGCTCCCAGGTCGGCATGGAGCAAGTGGTTTTCCCCAAGCCTGACCCACTGGAGCCCACACAGCGCCTGCTGAGCCAGCTCAAGAGGGGCATCCTGGTGGCCAGCAACCCCCAAGGCCTCTTCGTGCAGCGCCTCTGCCCCATCCCCATCTCCTGGGATGCACCCCAGACCCCACCTGGTCCAGGCCCACATCTGCTGCCCAGTAATGAGTGCGTGGAGCTCTTCAAAACAGCCTACTTCTGCAGAGGTGAGGCTGTTCCAACTGAGCCCCTGCCCCTGACCTCTGGGTACCCTGTGGACCCCACTTGGTAGACCCTGCCACACCCTGTCAGCCAGCAGGTCCTCCATCGTAGCCTGTGCTATGCACCCCTGAACTTGTGCAGTGTACACCCTGTGTGACCATACCAGCAGCCTGGCAACTCTCCTTCCCCAGGCAAGGCCGTGGAAGAGGAGATTCAAGTTGAGCCCAGTGCAGGAGTACCACATCTCAGGGAGCACCATGACTCTGAAGCTTGCATAACTTATGTGAAAGTGCGCAGACAAGTCAGCACAGTGTTTTGGGCCTCCCTGGCCCTCTCCTGCACGTACACTGGCACACACCGTCCACACATTTGAGAGAGCTGGCACACACCACACACTGGCCCTGGCACCACCCTGTTCCCACCTCTAGGAATCCCCTAAGGTTGCTCTCTCACCCACCTACTCTTGGAATTCCAGTTCCTACCTCCACTCCACTCCTACTCTGACTATGGAAGTGGAGTCATGACACAGAGTACGGATGTTCCCAGTGCCATGTGTAACCTAACATTGGAGGAGGGAGGTAGTTAGCAGCAACAAAGGTTTGGGCACATGTGGGTTAGCAGCCAGGGCTGTCACCTACGAGCACTCTGAACTCTGCTAGGGATTGCTTTGCAGGTTGTATAATAATCTGCTCATTGTAAACGTGTCTTTGAGCAAGGGGCCCCTTTTTGTGTTTGGACGTGGGTCAGTAGCTGCTCAGTGCCTAGCGTATCTCCTGGCCCAAGGCAACAGCCTCATGACCCCACACCTCCTGCTCTGGCCTTGGTCTCCAAGTGGCCCCACTCCCACCTCTCTTTCACCATCATGGATTCCTCCCTACCACCTCCTTGCCTGCTGCCCTCTCTCTTCTCTCTTCTGACCCATGACCTTTTCTCTTTCAGACTTCATCAGGTATATCCAGGGCTTGGGCCCCCTGCCCAAGTTCCAAGTTACCTTGAATTTCTGGGAGGAGAGTCCTGACCCTGGCCACACCCCACAGAGTCTTATTACAGTGCAGGTGAGTTCCAGGCACAGTGTGGGGGGTTGGGGGGCATGTGGGTCGGGATTCCGGGAGGAGAAGGAGCCTCCATGGGTTAGGAGCCCTTGGAGGTAGTGCCTGCCCTTCTACATTCGCTGATGGCCTCTTCCCCACCTCTTCCTATACAGATGGAGCAGGCCTTTGCACGACATTTACTGAAACAGGCAGCCACTCCGTCCCCGAGCCTGGAGGACCCCCCTGCCTCCTCACCTCTTTTCCTCCTCTCTCCTTTAAATAGAGACATTCTCCACACTGGTGACTTGCCCTCCTCTGTGATAATTCTCAGTGATTGTGTGTGATAGTTTCATCCTTGAACTGTTCATGCACCCTGGGTAGTAGGAAACTCAAGGATGATTTTACCCTCCTTTCCCCCCACCCCTTTTTTTTTTCAATTTTGGGATATACCTTCTTTCATCTCTAAAGAACTGGGAAAATCCAAATGGCTGAAACTCAGGAGACCTTTCCCTCTTCCCCTGCACCCCAACTCTAAAGTCAAGCACTTTATATTTGCTTCCTAGAACTTTATTAAGCATTTTAAATAAACTTTTCTTGAAAGAGGAATCAGTATCTGATTGGCTGAGAGAAGAAGGTAGCAGGGTCAAAGGTAGATGGCACAGATGGAAACTGGGGAGCTGGGCACTTGGGTTCTCTTGCTACTGACATCTTCTGGCCCGTCTCCTCTCCTCTGTCCCCAACTTCTGGCTGGCAAACTGTCTGGGCTATGTGGGCTCTGGACCCTCAACCAGAATCAGGGGAAGGGTTGGGGTCAATCACCAAGAGGGGCACTGAGACTATAGATGGACACTACAACCACCTACTTCACAGAGGAAAATTTGCACTCCACCATTCTTTGCTAGAGGCCTTTGGTTGGGACCTCAACAACAGGCCTGCATTTGGACTGGAATTCTAAATAAAAAGAGGAGACACGTGAGCTTGACCTGAAACTGGGCTAGAGGCCTTGAGGCCTGGGCGGGTTGGGGAAATCAGAGGGAAGAGTTGCTGAACCTCCTGTATCTGGCTGCTTCTGCGGTGACAGATGGGGCCCTCCCAGTACCAGTGCACTGTCACCTCGACTGAAGGTTACTCCCAAACTGGATTCCTCACCGTCTCTGAGCCCCAGAGAAGACAACCTAGACTAGGCCACCATGTCACCAACACCCGTTCACTGAAATTTGAGGGGTCTAAATCAGCTGACATGCCTCTCTTTAACCCCTGTGTTCATTCTGCTACCAAACTGGTAATTCTTCCTTCACCAGATCACATGTCACCCAACTTCTCTGTATACTCACTGCCACCAGATGAGTTCAGACCCAGGTCACCACCTGACTGCCACAGCCTCCAGCCTTCCCGTTTCCTGCTCATGACACCAGCTTGGCTTTCCAGACTCCTTCCTGTCTTGTCACTGTTACAGAGCTTCTGTGGCTCAGCTGCATGATCAAATCCAAATGCCTCAGTTTCTCCAAGGATCTTCCTCTTGCTCTCTCATTTGACAAACTGAATACTGCTTTCGAGCCTCTCCGCCTCCTGGGAACTTCCTTCTATTCAGTCTTACCCAACATCCTCCTAAGAAGCCAAGAACCTAAACAGGCACCTGTGCTACCATTGATGAAATGAGGTACTGAGTGCCTCAAGTGCAGAAGCCCTGTTGTGCCTTCAGTTTTCTGAAATCACTCCTGAACCGTCTTTGTACCAGGTCCTAAGCTATCTCCTTGACTTCCATTTTCTCTCATACCCCAAAACCCATATCCAATCCATCATTATTCTTTCAAAATATATTCAGAATCTGACCACTTCTCTCTGCTTCCACCACCAACACTTTGGAACAAGCCACCATCATCTCTCACGTTAGCTTCCTAATTAGACTCCCTGCTTCCACTCTTATCACCTTCAGCCTATTCTCAATAAAGCAGAGATCCTCTTAACCTATAAATCCGGTCATGTCGTACCTCTGCTCAAAACCTTCCATTGGCTCCTAATTCAGGGTAAAAGCCCACATCCGTACAATGGCCTCCAAGATCCTTGTGATGTGGCTTCCATCCTCCTAACCTCATCCCTTGCCGTTCTTCCCCTCAGTCACTTTGCTCCAGGCTTCTTGAACCCAGCAAGCACATTTCTGCCTCATGTCCTTTGCACTTGCTGGTTCTTTTGTCTAAAACACTCTTCCTCCAAGAAGGCACAAGACGTGTCCCCCCACCTGTTAAATGTGTCTGTTAAAATGTCATCTCTTCAGAGAAGGCTGAAGCACCCTATCTAAATACTGCTCTCCTATGCTGCCTAATTTTTCTTCATAGCACTGATCACCACCTGACATATTTCTGTTTCTCTACGTGGTTATCATCTCTCCTTCCCTACTCCATAAGGACAGAAACTTGTTTTATTCATTGCTGTATCCCAAGTACCTAGAGGAGTGCCTGGCACATACTTGCGGAATGAATGGATGAACGAGTGAATTGATTACTCTGTGTCCCTTGCTTATCTCCTAAACTAGGTTCTAAGCACCTTAAAGGCAGGTGCACCCACTTTCTCATCTTTGTGCCTCAAAGTGAGCACTTACAAATATTGACAACTTATGTATAGTGATTAAAACAATTTGTAAGTATCACGTAGAAGCCAATCTAGCCAAGCACAGTGGAACAGGACTGGAAGCACTGGAGTCCAGAGAGCGGAGTTCACAACCAGACTCTCACTAAGGAGCTGTGTGGTTTGGGAGGGTCTGTGTGGGCCTGTTTTCTCCTCTGAAAAGGCAGGGCTTGGACTAGATGATTTCTAAATCCCTTTCAGCTTTGACATTCTGTGGCTGTAAGTTTAGGGCAACTACATGTTCATTTGACAAATATTTACTGAGCTAGGTGCCAGGTATTGGCTGAGAAAGACAGGACCCCTGAACTCAAGAGCTCCCAGATGGAAGGAGGACAAGATAGGGTCAGCTCAGCTGCAACAAAGAGCACAAGGTCTTCTGGAGTCAAAGTGGGGAAGGGCATTCTAGCCAAAAAAATGACTGTGCAGAGGCAGGAGGCATGGGGATGAGGGGGTTTGTAACTGCAGTGCAACCACACAACTTAATTTCACACAAAGAATGAGACAAATGAATAGCTTTTGTAGGCTGACAGCTATGCCCTGAATTCAAGGACAGTCTATTTCAGCCAGAAGAACATTCACAACTCAGAATGACCGGATGGGGCACGCCTACAACCCTGCAAGTTCTCTGGCTGCTTCATGTGCGATCTGACTTCCCCATTGACCTGTGCCTTGCCGAGTCTATCTCACACCGTTTCTACCTCCCCAGCACACCACAGGCAATGGGCTGGGCACAAAGTCAGACAATTAATTACTGCCTGATAGAATTTGGCGGGAAGGGCAGGGTCCAACCCCAGGTCAGGCGCCTTACATCTTGGCCCGCTGAACAGGGTCAGGGCGGTTGCCCCCTACATGACCCCGACCACCCCTGCTGAACTGCTGTTGTTACCAGGCCCCCTGCGGCGGAGAGGCTGGGATTTGCTCCCTGCACATTGGTCAGCGGGGTAGCACCTCGGAGAAATGCTTGTTACTGGAGGCAAGGAGGAAAGCCCATTGGTCAGGACACCTCACAATGGCCCCGGCAGCGCGCAGGTTCTTCCGATTGGTTCGCTGCTGTCTCCAGCGACCCACGTGGCCTCGAACCCCAGCAGGCTGCTTCGCGGCCAACCCAACTCCTGCTCCCCATTGGCTGTTCTGAGGGTGTCCGCCCTCAAATAAGAAGCGAGATGCAGAGCACCTGAGCGCTCACTCCCTGAGGCGGGATCTAGTCCTGCAAGGGGGCGTCCCAGGACGGAGACTGCAGGTGCCTACGTTGCGTGCAAAGACAGGAACTCGGCATCTCCAGAGGCTGGGAAGGAAGGTCTACTGCGGAGGACACCCGTTCTCCCTTGGGACCTGGGCTGGGGCTCAGCCCTTGGGGAGCCCAGCGTCTCCAGCCTGGCACCCAACCCGGAAAGGTCCAGTAAGTAAGTTCAAAGTACCCACATGGAGTGCGAACCCACTCAGGGCCACGGAGAGGGGCATTCCCCACTCCTAAGTATCGAGTCTGTGTATCTATTTATCTCAATTGTTTATCCGCAGATTGTTTATCAGTTCATTTACTTGGTTTTCTGGGTCCACCCTGAGCGCCGCTTGTCCAAATCCGTCTCTCCGACGGCTTTGGGAAAGCCCGAGCCCTAAAGAATTCGGATTGAGATCCGAACGGAGGATTGGTGGAGATAAGGGTGAAACCACAGAAGAAAGATGTTCTACTACCCCAACGTGCTTCAGCGGCACACGGGCTGCTTCTCCACCATCTGGTAAACGCGGGACCGGGGTGGGAGCCCTCCGAAAGGGGTGCCAGGAATCTCATTCTGACGCTCCCCCGACCCTACCCCACTCCAGGCTGGCAGCTACCCGCGGCAGCCGCTTGGTGAAGCGGGAATACCTGAAGGTGAACGTGGTGAAGACCTGGTAAGGCCCAGAGAAGGGAGGAGAGGCCTGGTGCCTGAGTGGGTCAGGGAATGGCTGGGGTGGGCAAGGCTGTGGGGCTGGTCCTCTGTGCAGCGATGAGCAGCAAGGAAATCCTCCGTTATGTGAAACCCCTCCTAGTGAGGAAATCCTCAATTACGTGATGGTTCGAGCGGAGCCCCCACAGCCCGGCCTGCCGCGGCCCCGCTTCTCCCTCTATCTCTCAGCCCAGCTCCAGATAGGTGTGATCCGGGTCTACTGCCAACAATGCCAGTACCTCGTGGGTAAGGCGGGAAGCCCAGGAGATGGGACAGAGCAGAGGGGCCCTGGGCTGCCTGGCTCCTGGCGCTGACCCTCCCTGCCCACAGAAGACATCCAGCACATCCTGGAGCGCCTGCATCGTGCTCAGCTGCAGATCCGCATTGATATGGTAGAGCTTGACCTGTGAGTGTCCCCCTGGGACGGAGACCACCCAGCCTTTGGTGGCAAGCCCACATGCTTGGCCTCTGCCTCAGTCCTTCACAGCCCACTCTCTCCTCCAGACCCAGCCTGCTGCTGCCTAGCCGCCTGGCCATGATGGAAACCCTGGAAGATGCTCCTGACCCCTTTTTTGGGATGATGTCTGTGGATCCCCGACTTCCCAGCCCCTTTGAGATCCCTCAGGTAGGGCTCAGTCTCCTAGAACACCTCAAACTCATGAAGTGACAATGCAGAAGGGGAGGGCTATCTCTGTGCCAGTCTGGCAATAGTTTAGGGGGAGGGGGCCTGCTGTAGCTCTCCCCCACAGGAGACGGTGGGCCCGTTCGGGTAAAGCCCCCTGCACTTATCCATTCAGGCCAACCTGCCAGGATGGTCTCTCCACAGGAGGTAGCTCCTGTCCCTGCTCATCTCCACACTGCTCCCGCTGCCAAGACCCTAATCCAGGCCCTCATCATCTCTCTGCATGGGGCTTCTCTACCCGTGTCCTCCTCCAAATGATTCTCCACACCCCTCCACAGCTTAGATAATGTCACCCCGTCCCTTTGAATATACCTCCAGTGGCTCCCAACCGCAATCAATAATAGCATTTGGGGCTCTCCATACCCTGGTCTGGAGCTAGCCTTCTCTAGACATCTCTCAACACGTCCTCTGGATATCCGGGGCTTCCAAACACCAGTCTGTCCCCTAGGCCCCACATTCACATTTTCCCCCCTAGCTCAAATGGTCATCCCGCATGCTCTACTAGTCACATCGTACATGTCCATACAGACCTGGTTCACATGCTGCCCTTTTTCATGCTTTTATCCCACCCCCAGCAGGAACCAAATGCGTTCCGGAACTCCAGGCATTGTTGTTGTTCTTAGGTGCTGTTGAGTCAGTTCTGACTCATAGCGACCCTATAGGACAACGTAGAACTGCCCCATAGGGTTTCCAAGGAGTGGGTGGTGGATTTGAACTGCTGACCTTTTGGTTAGCAGCTGAGCTCTTAACCATTATGCCACCAGGGTTCCCCAGGCATTATCAGAGCCGTGTTTTACCTTTTGTGTTGACTCTTGTTGGGGTTGTATACAAACCTGACTCCCTGCTAGACCGTATACTCCACAAGGTCAAGAGTCTTTTCTGTTCACCTCTGTCCCCCATGACACTTGACATAAGGGTGCAGTGCTTGTTGCATAGATAGACAAAACCCAAATGATGGGGGGGGCCGAGAAGGAAGGAAAAGAGACAAGATGGGGAGTGGCTGATTGATGTTAATGCCACGAGAATTAGACATAAAAGAGTATTACTGTCTACTGTCTGAATATTTAAGGTTGTGAAAGTAGAAAGGCAGGGGGCAGATGCTGAATCCTGTCTTTTGTCCCCAATCCCTTCCCAAAGATTCGACACCTCTTAGAGGCTGCAATCCCAGAGAGAGTTCTTGAGGAGATCCCTCCTGAAGTCCCTATAGAGCCTAGGAAGCCAGGTGAGCACAGAGAACCTTCTTTCTGGTGAGAGACATAAGGCCCAAGAGCTGAGAAAATGACTATCTTCGAGCTTTCCCTGAAGGGGCACTTTATGTGTGTAAACTCACCACTGCTTCACAAGAGTCTTATGAGGTCTGAATTTTTATCCCCATTTTACAGATGAGGAAAGTGAGGCTAACAGTTGTTAAGCACTGTTCCCGGGGTCAGATTGCTAGAGACTGGCATGGGCCTGACTAGAACACAGGTTGACTTTATGCCAGAGTCCCTGCTTTTGCCTCATTGCATGGATGTGGGGTCCTGGAAAGGAGCAGAAGAGTTAGTGTGACTCCTCTGACCCTCCAGACAGGATGTTGGGTATTGTGCTCTCTCCTGAGGCCATCACCCTCCCGGAGGCAGAGCCCATACAAATACTGCAGATCGAGGTGAGTGGTCCCCCGCATGTACAGCCTGTCGCCCAAGTCCTGCTTCTGACAGCCCAGTCCCCGCTACATCTACTTCTCTCTGTCCCCAGAGTCCTGCTTCTGACAGCCCAGTCCCCGCTACATCTACTTCTCTCTGTCCCCAGAGTCCTGCCTTCTCCATCTCCATTTCTGCACTCCCTGCCTGGCGCTAGAGCACCCAATGGGCTTCCTCCTGGCCCTGTAGCATGCCTTGGGCCCTCCTGGATCCGCTTGCCTTTTTCAGAAATGGGATCAAGTCCCCTCCCCTTGCTATCCTTCTCCCAACAGGATGAACGAGACCTCGCTGAGGTCAGCCGCCAAGAGCTTGACCTGCTGATGGCTGAGGAAGATGAAGCCATCTTGTTAGAAGAGCGTCTGCGTGCCAGGCTTCTCTGGAGGCGTAGGGCGCGCCCGGCGCTGGAAGGTTAGGCCCCTGGCATGGGCGGTCTAGGACTGGGCAGTGTCCAGTCTCGTCTCTGCTCTTCTCCTAAGCCCTGGTCCTCTCTCTGCAGAGTTCAAGGAGGAGCCCCGGGCCCCAGAGGGTGAAATCACAGTTCCCCCGCTCTCGCCTCCAGTGCCTGCACAGTAAGGGCGGGAAACCCTGGGCCAGGCAGGGGCCAGTGCTGTGGGTGGGTGTCCTGATTTTTCTTGTCCCTTTCCCCTCAGGGTGGAAGGGGCAGAAGAGCTACTTCCAGGCCAGGCCCTGGTCCCTGAGGAGCTGAAGCTGGCACCCTGGGAGCCCGGGGCTCTGGTCACTGGTGAGTGCCCACTGTGCCCGGGCTCTCCTCAGAGCACCTGCACAACTGCTGCAGATAGGGGCCCTGTGTTCCAACTTGCTTAAGGGAGGGCCCTCCAGCTTCTTGCCTGGGTGGCTGCAAGGGTGAAGGGGCCTGTGGGACAGAGCTGGGACCTAAGGTGTTGTTGCAGAGGTGACCCCTCCCCAGGAGCTGCGTCTGCCAGCCCCACCCAGTCCAGAGGTGAGTAGTGTCCCTTCCCAGCCTCCTTCTCTTTGCCCTCCTTCCAGAGGTGCTTCCCCAAGCCCAGACAACTGCTACATGGGACTTTTGCGCAAATTAGTGAGAGGTGCTCTTTGCCAATCCCTCATTTTATCCAGCGCCTGCTCACTCCCTGCCCAGATGGGTACCACATGCAGCCTATGGGCTGCACCGCTGCGAAGGCCCTGCCCCAGCCCTTCCCAGGGCACCTGTACGTGTGGGCACTTGGGGCTGTTTGCAGTCCACCAGGATGACAGGAAAAGAAGTAGTGGGCAGCTTTGCCTCCACCTCACCTTCCCTCCCCACTCAGCGGAAGAGACCCCCAGTCTCCCCACCTCCTGGGATCCCACCTGCTCGGCGCCGCCGTCGCCGCCCGTTATTGTTCTGGGACAAGGAGACTCAGATCTCCCGGCAGAAATTCCAGGAACAACTGCAAACCAAAGCCCACTGCTGGGAATGTGTGAGTGCCGGCCCTGTGGAAGGATGAGGGACGAGGGGACCGGGAAGGCCTGGGGGAGCACTGGAAATTTGATGGAAAACTCGGCTCCATCCCCTGTAAGTGTAGGTAGGTGATGTGGGTTTGTACACCCACAATTCTCCATGCTCTTTTAGTGATCTTGCCGAGCACATCCATGGGCACCAGATTAAAAAGTCCTACTCTTAGTCATGATAGGTGCAAGCAAGGGTGTGAGCCTGAAAGAGGCAGTAGGTCAGAGGCCCCTGGAATAATGACAGAGGTGGATTGAGGGTAGAGAGGAGTGGTTCCCTCATAAGTGGGTTTCTGGCCTCCCACCCCACAGCCCATGGTGCAGCCTCCTAAGAGGACGACCATGAGCCCTGCCGAGCTGTTCCGAACTCCGACTCACCGTAAGAAGAGTGGGGGTTGGATACTGAGGACCCTCTGAACCCATATTCCTCACCTCCTGGTGTTTCTCATCCCTGGAGCCCTGATCCCACTGCCCCTTATCGCCAGCTGACTGGCTACCCCCAGAACTACTAGCTTTCTGGACCCGCTGTGCCCAGCTGCCCCCAAGAGTGCTCAGACGCAGGCCACCCCGGGAGCCTGAAGAGGAGGCTGCTGAAAGGGAGGCAGCAGCTGAGGTGGAAAGGAGAAAGACTGAAGCTCTGAGTGATATTGAGGTAACTGCACCCTCACTCCTTCCTGAAGACCCTACGCTCTGCTCTGCTCTGAGCTCCCAGCCATGGAAGCAAGCTCACTAGTCTTGCACCTTCTGAGGCCCAATACCCTGGTCCTGGGCAGCAGGAAGGGGGCATGTGCCAGGTCCCCAGAGCCAGGGCTTCTGTGATACTTGGTGCCTTAGTTCTCTCTCTGCCGTCCCCAGGTCCTGAGGGAGGCCCAGGAGCCCAGTGGTCCCCTCATGCTGTCTTTAGGTAAGGCTGAGGGAAGGGTAAGCCCTGGAGAAGAGGGGCAGTGGAGACCATCACTGAGCACTGTCCCAGGAAACTGATTTCCAGCCTGCTGACATTGTGTTTATTAGAGCAAGGCATTGTAACATAAGGAAACTCGAACTGGGGTCTTCTCAGTTCTCCCACCTGAAGCTCTAACAAGTCACTTCACCGCTCTGGCTTCCAGTTGGACCAGGTGGCCCCAAGGTCCCAACTGCTCAGATCCAAGCAGAACCCCACCCCCCAGCACTTTTCCCTCCCCCCAACAGAGCTCTCCATAGAAGCTGCTGAGGAGGAGTCCCGCATCAGCCTCATCCCGCCCGAAGAGCGGTGGTAAGCAGCCAGGCTCTGTCCATTTGGGTTCGCAGCACTGGCCAGGTGGGGAAATGCTGGGATGGTTATGCCCCTTGTCACCATTATGGGTGCCACCCTCCCTCCTCTCTACCTGGCTCCCATGTTCTCCTAGGGCCTGGGCTGAGGCAGAGCGACCAGAGCCTGTGTTGCCCGAAATCCCTGAGGTGCCTGTGGAGATGCCTCTGGAGCTGCCCCCAGAGCCTGAGCTTCTTTCACTGGAGGCTGTGCACAGGTACTAGGAAGGGGGTGCCTCCCTGCGATGGACCTGGGCTGTGGCCTCAGTTAATGGTTCCTGATCCCTACAGGGCTGTGGCACTGGAGCTGCAGGCCAACCGGGAGCCCGACTTCAGCAGCCTGGTGTCACCTCTCAGTCCCCGCAGGACAGCAGCCCGGGTTTTCTACCTGCTCCTGGGTGAGCGTGGGGACTTGTGTGTGCATGTATGTGTGTACACGTGTAGGGTGGGGGACACATGGGCCAGAGGCTGCTGTAGGGACCAAAGTGGGGCAGGGACAGAGTGCCCTGACCTTGCCCTTGCCTCCCCTCCTGCCCAGTGCTCTCAGCACAGCAGATTCTTCGTGTGGAACAAGAGAAGCCATATGGGCGCCTCTTGATCAAGCCAGGACCCCGATTCTACAGTGGTTAGAGCCCATTTACAAAGCTGCCAAGAAACCGGCTACATTAAACCATGTCCTGCCTTACTGGGCCCTACCTGCCTCCTTTCTGAATGCGCATCTCCATCCTTCCTGCCCTCAGAGCTACTGTGCAAGCAGAAGACTGCCTTTATTACAGCATGATGTCAAGACTCCATTTGTGTTGTCCCACAGTATAACAAGTCCACCCCCAGGGACACCCCTGTAAGGTAGCAAACAGGGCTGAGACTCCCAGTGGGCATGAGGTGCAGAATCTTTGGTAAGGTGCAAGCTGGAACTAGGCTGAAAAGTGGTCTTGAGGCTTGGGCTGCTCTATTCTTCTGGCCTGGCCACAGCCCACAGTCTAGGTGAAGCTCAGAATGGTCTGGAGCTCCTGAGCCTTGTTACCAGGCAGCGAGCCCAAGGCTGTCTGGAAGCTGTCAGCGTGCTGTTCGGCCAGGAAGGTCAGGAGAAGCAGCAGTGCGGACTTGGCCTCTGGGTAGAGAGAGCAGAGGGAGAGGTCTCAGAGGACCAACACCTAACCCCTTGCTCTCAGGCCCTCTGGGCCTGCTGCTCCCCACCTCCCCAAGCCCCGCCTGCCACACTCACCTGCTGGGATCTTGACGTCAGCCAGAACCAGGCTGCAGATGCGCAACAGCTCAGGAGCCACATCAACAACCTGTGGGAAAGAATGGCAGACTTGGGCAGTAGTACTCCTGAGCCTTAGGACTGGGCAAGGGAGTGGGGACAGAGGTTCCAGAGGCAGTGCTACCTCTCCCAGACGGACTGGAAGGCAGGGCTAGGGTAGACACCACAGGGAGGTAGAGTCTCCCACTAGGGCTGCTTGAGCCTGATACACTGATTCACAGGCAGCAAAACAATATGAGAAGGGCCAGTGGGACATGGTGATAATACAGTTTTCTTGGAAGGGACAGGGGATGTGACCAAAGGTAACTGAAGTTATGGCCTCAAGACCAAAAGCCCACCCACCCAGTAGCTCCAACAACACACTAGTCTTTAAAGGGGCAAGACAAAGGACAGACACAGGAACAGTGGGACGTAAGTCCAAACCTAGTGGTACAGACAAAATCTCACCCAGAGAGCAGAGCTCTGACTGAAACATATGGTGGGGTGGACCAGAGGTACCCAGAGCTCCACGGAGTACAGCTGAACAAGCCCTGGTCTAAGAAAGCAGCCTAGGAAAACTACAACTTCTGAGGCAGGCCAGATGGTAGAAATGGCCAGAAAGGATGGCACCTGCCTGAGGAAAAATGCTCCGTGGAGAGGAAGCCCCTCCTCTCCCATTACAGAACTGGCTGCCAACTCTTGCGGGTGATAGACAAATGAGAACATGGTGAATATGGAAGAGTGTCTAATGACAGCTTAAATTGTCATTCTGTGTCAGCTACAACTGGCGCCAACTCTGCGTCTGAGACCAGAGCATCACGTTTCCTCTGAGGGCCTGTGGAAGCTGCAGCCACCCAGCACCACTGTTACCTGGTTAGGGCTGCTCTGGTAGAGAAAGCTGAAGAGATGCCCAATGGTGACCCACTCCTCCAAGTCCTCCTTCAGTGGTAGGGCATGCAGCAGGGCAGCCAGCACCTGGACACACAGATGCCTCAGGCCCATCTGCCCTGCTCCCCGCCCCATCCTTCCTGGCCCTGCCTAATGCTCCCACCCCTCACCTGGGGCTCCGGTTTCCTTGTGGGACTGGCCATCAGCAGGCGGGCAAGGGCCCCACAGATGTTGTCACGGACACGATCATGGCGCTCCCGTGCTAAGAGGGGCAACAGGAGCCCCAGGAGCTTGGGGAAGTGTCTGGTCCACAGTCAAGGAACAGGCACACATATACAGGCAGACCTCTCCCATCCCCGGGCCGGTAGTGCAAGAATGGGCCACAAAGGCAGACCTCTCCCATCCCCAGGCCCACAGGGTAGGAACAGGCATACACAGGCAGACTTCTCCCAACCCCAGACCCGCAGTGCAGGAACGGGCACACACAGGCAGACCTCTCCCATCCCTGAGCCCCAGTGGCAGCCTGCAGCCCCATCCTCAGCCCCTCCTGCAAGCTGAGGATACTCCTGGGCAGGGCGGCCCCCATGCTCTGCCAGCACTCCCAGCCCAAAGATGGCATTGCTCCGCACCTCGGGGTCTGCCTCCCGTGTGGTGCTCAACAGCACGGGGAGCAGCCGAGAGACAAACTGAGCTGAGGCGGCACCCAGTCCCTGAATGGACTCTGCCAGTGTCCCCATTGCAAAAGACTTCTCTGCCACTGTACAGCCCTGTTTCTGGTGAGGGTGGGTAAGGAGTGCAAGTCAGCCTGGGACTTGGACAAACATAGGGGGTTGGGCACAGGGGAGGAATGGGTTTCAGAGTCAGCAGACGGAGCACTCACTGTCTTGCATAGCAATAACGGCAAAAAGCCAGCAAAGAAGGGGGCAAAGGCGTCTCCCCCAGCCGCAGCTGCCAGGGCAGGGATGGCCTCTCCAGCGTGCTCTAACAACATGGTGTCATATTCAGCCTGTGGAGCCAGGTTGGGGGCTGAGCTCCAGGGCCAGCTCCATGACTGAGCACCTTCCGACCACACTCCACCACTGGCCCCAGGTGCCCCCAGGTTGCTGCCCGTGGTTGACAGGACCCAGCCCTCCCAGGCAGGGCTTTCCCATATCCCAGCTTCTTCTCCTGGCCATCCCACTCCCACCCATCATTCCAGGCCTTCCCAGGACCCCCACCTCTAGGAAGCCTTCCCCAGATGCCCCAGTGCAAACTGCTCTCCTTCTATTAACTCCCACTGGCTTGGTGGGATCAGAGTTAAGTCATTCTGAGCCCTCACCCGTCTCTTTTAGCGGCTCGGACTCCCCTAAGGCCAAGCCCAACTGCACTGTCCACCCCTACCCCCGTGAAAACTAACCTGGCTGCCTAGTCCCCAGAGTTTTCACCCGTAGCTCTCACCTGGTCCTCCTTCTCTTCTTCCACCTCATCAGTGTCCTGGCAGGCTGTCTGTGGGCAGAGGTAGCTCAGCTCAGCCCAGCTCTCCTGCCTTCTCCTTTCCATGGGGTGGGGCGCTGGACTTGCAGCCTCTGAATGCCCCCACCTGGAGCCAGGGTAGTTCCTCTCCCTCAGCCCACCTGCCTTGCTCACCTTCCTCTGCAGCACGGCTTTGAGCACACTACAGAGCTCAGCAAGGCGCCCAGGGGGCTGCAGCACAAGGGTCCCACAGCTGCGCAGCACACTCGTCAGCGCCTCCAGTATGGACATCACCACCTGGCGCTCCCGCTCCCCACTGATCGCCTGCATGTAAGATGACACCACCCGGGCCAGGACAACCTGCAGAGCTGAAGACATCACTGGCTGAAGCCCTGGCCAGCCCTGTCCCACATGCTTCCACAGCCCCCAGCCTGGGCCTAGCCACCCCTTCTCACCAGCAGAGGTGGGTTCCGAGGAGCAACTTTGACAGGCTTTGTGCAGCGCACAGCAGAACTGACCCAGGGCCTCATGTGCCGCTTTCCGCACATTCAGGTGAGGGCACTATGGGATGAGGGAGGTAGCAGAGCATACCTGCTGTGTGCAGGGTGAAGCCAGGGTCCCTAGCCCGCAGACCCCACCCACCCCTGCCCACTGGCCCACTCACCTCCAGCAGCTTGAATACTTCTTCAAAGACACTCTCCATGTAGGGAAGGAAGGCCACACTGTGGACACACACAGTCATGGGGAAGGGGCTCCTAGGTGGGTTCCCAAGGCCAGAGAAGGGACAATGCTCACCTGGTGTTCACAGAGATCTCCCCCAGGGCTGCACAGGTATCTTCCTTCTCATCAAAGTAGGCATTCTCCACGCTGTACCTGTGAGTAAGGTAGGAAGGCAGTGGTCATCAGGCACTGGGTCTTCATCCAAAATCAGTCTTGATTCCTCTGACCAGCGTAGCACCCCTCCGCACCCTGAGATCTCTGAGTCCTCCTCCTCTTCCACGTCTTCGTCCATGAGCTCCTCCTCCTCCTCCCCATCACTCTCATCGTCAAACAGAAGGAAGGAGCTGCTGCCGTCATACTGAGGCTGGACGTAGAAGGTACAGAAGGGACTTGAGCTCAGCTGGGCCCAGGAGACAGGCCCATCCCAGGCTGGCCCTGCCCAACAACCCAGCCACCCACTGCCCCAGCTCACCACAATGCCCTCAGTGGAGCGCAGTGACAACAGCATGAGCGTGGTGATTTGTGGCAGGTAGGGGGCCAGGCCCTCCCCCAACAGCCCTGATAAGGCTGCAAACAGGCTGTACCTGGTGGAGGCAGGTGGAGGCTGTACAGTTCTGTCAGCTATAGCAGACAGGGTGGGGGAGCCCGGGGAAACCTGGCTATGGTCCAGAAACAGAAGACTGGGACCCCGGTGGGGCGGGGGCGGGTGGGCATTTGGAGTAGAGTCAGGGGTCACTCACGTGCAGCGCCGCAAATCAGGATCGTCTACCTGGTCACATAGGCCCAGCCCCAGCTGGCAGCACTCCTCAGCCAGGGGCCTCATGGGCTCCCCCACTGCTCGTGCCAGCACCCCCAGCGTCTCTGTGGGGCAAGGGCTTGGTTAACACTGGGGTGTGCTGCTGGGCTGGAGGTGGGCAGGGCCAAGACCTGGGGACCAGAGTTGGCAGCTGGGGAGATTCAGAAATTCCACCCTAAAAAATTTTTGGCTATGACGTATCTGACAAAGGCCTAATCTCTAAAACGTATAGGAAAATCCAACACCTCTACAACAAAAAAACAAATAATCCAATCAAAAAATGAGTAAAGGATATGAACAGACACTTCACCTAAGAAGATATTCAGGTGGCTACAGACACATGAGGGAATGCTCGCGATCATCAGCCATTACAGAAATGCAAATCAGAACTACAATGAGATACCATTTCACCTCGACATTACTGGCACGAATCAAAAAAACAGAAAATAACAAACGTTGGAGAGGTTGCAGGGAGATTAGCACTCTTATGCACTGCTGGTGGGAATGCAAAATGGTACGACCATTTTGGAAAACGATATGGCACTTCCTTAAAAAGCTCGAAATAGAAATACCATACAATCCAGCAATACGACTTGTAGGAATGTATCCTACAGAAATAAGAGCTGTCACATGAATAGACATATGCACACAACCATGTTCACAGCAGCATTATTCACAGTAGCAAAAAGATGGAAACCACCTAAGTGCCCATCAACAGATGAATAAACTATGGTACATACACAAAATGGAATACTATGCAACCATAAAGAACAATGACGAAACTGTAAAACACCTTACAACATAGATGAATACGGAAGACATTATGCTGAGTGAAATAAGTCCATCACAAAAGGACAAATACTGTATGAGACTAGTATTATAAAAACTCAAGAAAAAGTTTACACACAAAAAGAATGATCTTTAATGGTTACAAGGGAGGGGAGGGGTGGGGAGAGGAAAACACTAACTAGACAATAGGTAAGTGATAACTTTAATGAAAGGTAAGACAACACAATTTGACCAAGGCAAAGTCACAGAAACTTCACAGACACATCCTAACTCCCTGAGGGACCGAGTTACTGGGCTGAGGGCTGGGGTCTGGGGACCAGGGTCTCAGGGAACAGCTAGCTCAACTGGCATAACATAGTTTACAATGAAAATGATCTACATCCAACTGAGATGAGTAGCGTCTCGGGTTTTAAAAGCCTGCAAGCGGCCATCTAAGATAGATCTAATGGCCCCATCCTGGCTGGAACAAAGGAGAATGAAAAAAACCAAAGACACAAGGAAAAGGTTAGTCCAAAGAACTAATGGACCACAACTACCACAGCCTCCACCAGACTGAGTCCAGCACAACTAGATGGTACCCAGCTACCACAAGCGACTACTCTGAAAGGGATCACAATAGAGGGTCCCAGGCAGAGGGGGAGAAAAATGTAGAACAAAATTCAAATTCATAAAAAAAGATCAGACTTACTGGTCTGACAGAGACTGGATAAACCCAAGAGTATGGCCCCCAGATACCCTTTTAACTCAGTACCGAAGTCACTCCTGAGGTTCACTCTTCAGCCAAAGATTAAACAGGTCTATAGAGTGAACAATAACACATGTGAGGAATGTGCTTTGTAGTTCAGTCATGTATACGAGACTAAATGGGCACACCAGAACAAAAGCAAAGAGGAGAAGGCAGAATCAACAGGAAAACTGGACGAAAGGAAACAAAGAACCTGGGGTGAAGAAGGGGAGAGTGCTGCCACATCACAGGGTTGACAACCAATGTCACAAAACAATTTGTGTATTAACTGTTTAATGAGAAACTAATTTGCTCTGTAAACTGTCACCTAAAGCACACGTGAAAAAAGAGAAATTCCACCCTACTTCGAGATACAGCATAGAGGAACAGCGTCTTTGATGAAAGGACAACACCTGTACTGGCTGGGGGCATGCTCTATGAACACCAGGTGAGCATCCCCTTACCTGGCACTGGGACCCGCCGAGAAGCCCTTACTCACCCAGGCTCTGGATCTGCACAGGCTGAAGGTCCTCGTGGCCTGTCAAGAGGAACTCCTGCAGGTGCTCCACAATAGTGGGGAAGTAGGGTAGCAGGGAGGCCTGGGCAGCTGTGGCTGCAGGATGGACAGACAGAATTAGTGTTGGAGGGGGGCCAGGACCATCTGCACAGGCTCTCCAGATGAACCTTGCGCCCCACCTCCTTCTCCTCACCAATGGCCCCCAGGGCGCTCACAGCCAGCTCCTTGGCCCGGGGGCTGCTGGGGTTCCTCAGAGGCTGCAGCATACAATCCATAAGTTCCGGAAGGTAGGGTTGCACCTTGGGCCCTGTGGGAGAGAGATCCTCTCACAACCAACCCAGATTTTCTCTCTTCTTGATGCCCACAACTCCCTCCAGACTGACCTCGTTGTGGCCCCTGCCATACAACCACCCCCACCCTCTGTCCCCAATGCAGGCAGCGATTCAGGGAGTGGCACACCTTGCCCCTTTTCAGCCAAAGGTGCAGCAAACCCCTTCCAACCTCCGCCCCCATCACTACCTAAGTTCTCCACAAAATTCTCCAGGGCATAGCAGGCCTTGGCTAGGTGGTGTGCGTGTCCAAGTGGCACTGACTTCAGGTAGGCAAGAAGCAGCGGCATCACCTGTCCTGAATAGCTGCTGATATGGGGCTGAAGGAAGGAGAAAGAGGGTCTAAGTCAGGCTCAGCCATAGGGTACACACTTGAGTGCCAAGCCAGGAAGGATGTTTAAGTAGGAAATGAAAGCTGAGGGCAGCACGGTCAGTCCTGGGGATGGGCGGGGACTGAGGTGGCCGCTGCCCACGTTCAGCCTGGCTGACCTGCAGGTTCTCTGAAAACTGGCCCAGGGCAAACAACGCAGCATTGCGCACAACTTGGGATGGGTCCTCCAGGCCCTCGCACACGATCTGCAGCAGTGGGGGCAGCAGTCTGGATGGGAGCAGGATGAGAAGACGGAGTCGGAGGAGGCAGGACCCAAGAGCCCCAGGCTGGCCTGTTCTCTTTGTTTCCCCTGGGAAAACCAAAGCTTCCTCTGTCACCAGATGGTGGGCACCAATCCCTTGGCCCCTGTGGTTGAGGTGACTATCTAATTTATCTTCCAAATCAGAACACATTTGAGAGTAGACAGGAACGCTACTGATAATTAGGCTGGAACAAGTATACACCAGGACTGCCCTAGGATGTGTGGTCCTCCTCCCCATGGGCCCCCTCATCCGGGTGGGGGAATACACACCTCTGCCTGATGTGGTCGCCAGCTCCGTCAGACAGCACGGCCAGTACCAGGAGCCCAGCCTTGCGCTGGTATGGGCTCTCACTCTGCAAGGCCTCTTCCAGCATGGGCATCTAGGGAGGCACATGGCACTTACCTGAAACCCCAGCAAGAGCCTGCCAATTCCTGCAGCAACAGGCCCTTCACACCTACCGGAGCCAAAACATCCCTGGCCTTGAGGGACTAGGTGCACCTGCAAATAGGTGTGCCAGAAGGCAAAGCCACACTTACCAGCTGGAGACAGAGCTTCTCGGGGGGCAGGTGTAGTGCCAGCATGTCCATGACCTGAGAAAGAAGGTGGGGATTTTTCTTGACTCCACTTCTGCCTCACCAACTTCCCACAGCAATCTAACACCCCACACCATGGCCCTGTCCTGTGTCCCACCTGTACGGCAAAATGCTTGGGAGTCTCTCCCACCAACCCAATCTCCAATTCTTCATCTTCCGAATCCTGGTCCTCGGGATCCAACTGGCCCAAGGGGGGCTCGGCAGCCATAATGGGGAAAAGGGTGTGCAGCAAGGGTGGCAGCAGACGATTCTTCAGTAAGGCCTTGAGACGGAGAACAGAAGAGTGTCCCTAAGAATCTGCTCCCAAGATGGGCTCACGCTAAAATACCCAGCCTTCCAGGCCATAAGGGCCCTGCAAAAGATTCCCAATCTCCCAGCTGGAGTGAGGCCAAAGCTTAATCATTTCAGCCATGGTGCTTTAGATACTCTGAGGACAAAAACCCCATGAGTGAGACTAAGAGTGGAGATGGGGGTGGGGTGATGTACATCAGAGAGCACTCACCTTGCTCTTGACTTTGACCAAGAAAGTGAGGCAGCAAAGAATACGCACACGTACTGCATCACCCAGGGCCGTGTTTCCAGCCACCTGCCCAGAAACTAAGAAGAATCAGAGACAGGCAAACTCCCAGCAGAACATGCAGCAAGGGCAAGCCCACCCCAGTCTCACCGCCAGGCAGAATGCGAGGACCTCAGAGAGGTGGGGGGTGATAATGGGCACCTCTGACTCCAGGAGCTCATCCAGGGCCTCTAGGGACTCACAGGCCTTTGCCTGACAGACATACAGAAGGTGAAGTCGCAGGATTACCATGCTTTTCTTCAGTGGACCAGGCTGGGTGCTCCTCACTCTCCTTCAAACAGAGCCCCGCCCACCTGTCCTCACCTCATCTATGGGAATGAGAGTCTGCACAGCCACGATGAGCTTCGGCACCAACATCCGCGCGAGAGGCTGGAGGACAGACACAAGATGAGACGAATCACAGAAACCATGGTGCAGCCTCATATCAGGTCCCAGAAGCTGGAAGCTTCCTCACAGCCTGGATTCTTGATGAGGAGGAGCCCAGGCACACCAGCAAGGCCCAACCACCCAGTCTCCCCTCTCGGTAGACAAGGACAAAAAGCAGGAAAAGAACGTAAAGCAACGCTGCAGCCTGCAAGAGTGAGGGCATGACAGCCCAAGGATGGAGAGCTGGGGAAGGTGAAGACCCACATCTCACCACATCATCAGTGCCAAGGTAGGTGGCCATGGTGGTCAGAGTGCGCAGGGAGTAGAAGAGCAGCCCAGGATTGCCCACTGCACCAAGGGTCTCGTTCAGAAGGTGAAGAAGCTCCCGGTGGTAGGGTCGGAAGGCTTCGGGTCGGGAGGTCACCACCACACTCAGCAACAAAAGTCCCATCTATCCAGGAGTAGCGGATGGAAGGGAGAAGCTGACATGCTTTACCCAGCCTTCAGTCTCTCCCTCCCACCATCGTGCAATGGTACCTCTCTCTCAGGGACATGAGGGCTGTGGGTACTGTGCTGAAGAAGCTGCATGAGCTGAGGCCAGGCCTCCAGGCCTTCCTTCCGAAAAATGGTGGCTGTGAGCTGGGCCAGGCTGAGTCTCACAGAGTGCCTGCAAACAGGAGAGACCTCCCACATCCCCCTCCAATACCCTCCTCCGCACATGCTGGCCCAGCTTCCCTGGGGCAGCCAGGAGAGAAACCCCCCAGATGTGGGCACAGGGTCTTTGCCAAGTTGGGACACAGGAGACAGTGGTTTGGAGGGAGCCCAGGAGCTCTGGGAGTGTGTAATCTGGTGAGCTAGCTCAGTCTCAGATTGAATTTCCATTCCATTCTTTTGACTCAGGTTTGGTAGATCATCATAGCCTATTCTCAAGAACTTTAGTTTTTAACACAGCTTTAGAATCCTTGCTCGACCCCCGGTCTAGAACAGAGGTTGTTGCCCCCCAAATCCCAGCTTGAAGCTGAAGGGAAGGCAGAAACCCAGAGAGGATCTCAGCCTGGAGTCGGTTAAGATCCAGAGAGGAGGCAGATAGGTAGGGACTTACTCCGTTTCTCTCTGCAGGGACGTCAAGACCGCGGACTTGAGACTGGAATACAAGCGGCAACTATTCAGTACTCTGGACCTGTGCAGGGGTCAAATTAACCCGGCCCCGCCCTCCCCAGGCCCAGCCCACCTCTCCCGAGGCTCCGCCACCAGCCGCCGCCAGCGAGTGTTCAGACGTCTGCGGGTCAGCACGGCCGCGAGCTGGCGAATCTAGGACGAGGAAGCAGGAGTGAGGGTCCAGACAGGAAGGCGCAGAGCGGGCTGCAGGGGGCGGGAGCTGCGGTTTGACCAGTGGCACTCTGGGAAGCGAAGCGGGAAGGGGCAGGGGCCTTACCTGGGGGTCGGCCGCCGAGGCCAGCAGGTTGCAGAGCAAGGGCAGGGCGGCAGGGTCCCGAAGAGCGATCTGGAGCTGCTCGGTGGCCTGGGGGAAGGCTGGGGGTCAGAGTCGGGCCTTTCTTGCCACCACCCGCTTGCCCTGGCCCGGCCCCGCCTGCCCCGTACCCGGCGGATGCGCTCGGTGTTTGGCAGTAGTAGCTCCCGTAGGATCTGCTCCAGGCCGGCAGGCTCCATGGCAGCAGGGTAGCTGCCGCTACTGGGCCGGGAGGAGGGAGAGGCAGCACGTGGAGGCGCTGACATCCACTTCCGGCGGAAAGGGCGTTGCTTCGCGCCCCTCCCGTCGCCGGGGTGATTCAACTCACTTCCAGAAAGAACTCCAGCTGCGCTCCTTCCGTTAGGGTGGTAGCGGCTGCTGAGCCGCGGAAACAGGACCCTGACTATGTCAGTTCCTGCAGCGGATAGTTCCCAGGCCCTGTTGGAGAACTCTAGTTTCCTGGATTCCGAGACCGGCCTGGCTTTTTAGGGGACCGTGCCCGTAACAGCAGGAGTCGAGTGCCAGTATCCAGACCAAACCCTCCAACTACAGGATTCTTTTTCTTAATAAACTTTATTTTGACATTTATAAAAAGAAAAATTGGAACCAAAACTAAAAGCAACTTAAAAAGTCCAAGTATATACTGCTCATATAATATGTATAATTTCCAGGCTCTCTGGGAAAGAGAGGATGAGAGGGCAAAGGGGAAGGCAACAATGCCATCACAATTCAGTCACTCAATCAGAAGAGAAGCTAGTAGGAGAGATCAATGGGGCATGAAGAAAGAGCTTAAGATAAAAGAGCAGTAGTTCTACCACCCAGAACTCAGTCCATCTTGAGGTTAACATAGATATACCGGATGAACTTTAGGGAAGAAAAAAAAGAGATAGTGCCCAGCATGAGGAAAAAAACATAACCAGTGAGTAAGGAGTAGCCGAAGAACTCTACTGTCTGTACAGTCCCTGACATGTTGGAGCGACGGGCATAGTAGAAAACTGAGTAGAGGAAGATGAAGAGTCCAGTGGAGCCAACACTCAGCACAGATCGCCACCACCAGCGATAATCTTCTCCGGACAACTGGAAGTAGGTGAGCGCAATAGAGATGCAAGCCCCCACACTCAGCAGGATGGCGAAGACAAAGAAGAGGATGCCGTACAGCGTATACTGCTCCCGACCCCAGACTGTGGCAAAGATGTAGTACAACTCCACAGAGATGGCACTGTAGAGAGAAGAAATGATACACATTAAAGGGCTGTGCACTGCCAGCACAGTGGTGTGGCCAAAATCCAGTCCCACCCTCCCATGTTGCTGGGTCACTGTGTAAAGTGGGTCCACTCCCTGTCCTTGATTTCCTGGCTTCATAGGGAATTCTTTTGCTTATAAGTAGCTGCTCTCATTTCAAGAATATTTTCCACTGTATTATCTGCCTGGTACAAAGAGGTACCAGCAAGGTGATTGAGTAATTAATGAATAATGGGCTTTAAGCCCCACATGATGCTTATAGACACTAAAGGCAGAAACCGGGAAGATGGTGAAGGGAGCAGTGTCTTCTGGGGACCTGTAAAAGCGAGACACCCACATATCTGAACTGATTCAAGCTCAGTCCTGCTTGGGGATAAGAGGAACCATGTAATGACCTCTTAATGTTACAGCTAAACCAGACATCCCTGAATTGGGTTAGGGTACAGGGTGGGTGGGGAAAGGAAAAGTCAAGGTCAGGGACCTGAAAGTGATGGCCATGGAATAAAGGGAGGATACCTGAAAGGCAGGAAGCCTCCAACCGTCATGTGGATGACAGTAGACTTGTACCAGGGCTGGGGTGGGATCTCTCGGGCGATGTTCTTAGTGCGACAAGGTGCATCAAAGGGGCTAGCGTTGTTCTTCCCGAAGATGCCTCCAATGACAGTGAGGGGAAAGCCCACCAGCAGCCAAACCGTCAGAAGCAGCAGGATGGTGGTGGCTGGCAGCGCCTGTGTTGAACCATTGGCCCAATGCACCGAGTTCACCACACTCCATGTCAGGAAGAAAGGCACTGCAGGGATGTGTCCCCGGAGGGAGGGTCAGCACTAGGAGCTATATCCCTGGGGGGACCCACTCAGATTGAACTGGAAGGGGACAGGGATGAAGCAACCTGAGCTCCTGGATGTCCATGCAGAGCCCACTGCCCTCACCTACACCTGCCCAGGTCCCACAGTCATTTGTTCCCTGTCTTACCAACACCCTCTCCCCTACCCAGTGTCATTAACAAGGCTCAAGGTAGCTGCTACGTAATGATCTAAGAGTTACACAAAACCCACCTGCCTCCAAAAAAAAAAAAAAAAACACCAAACCCACTGCCGTCAAGTTGATTCCGAATCATAGTGACCCTACAGGACAGAGCAGAACTACCCAATAGGATTTCCAAGGAGCGGCTGGTGGATTCAAACTGCCGACCTTTTTTGGTTCCTACCAAGAGACATTCCATTGGATTAAGGCCCTGTTTTCAGAAAGTCCTGGTTCACATAAATGTGATGGGACATAAATCAGACACTTAGGATTGAGAACAAGACAGGTTCTGAATGCCTTTGAAAGGACAAGTTGATTTGAAAGGCTGCAGTGGGGTTACCCTCCTCCAAAATTAAAAAAAAAAAAGAAAAGAAAGAAGGGGAGGTATCAATAAATTCAAGGGAGTTATTTTAGTGTCGTAGTTGAGAATACAGGCTCTGGAGTCAAATTGCCTGGGCCTAAAACCTGGTTCACTACTTTTTAGGAGTATAATATAATCTTGGGCAAGTTACTTCATCAGCCTAAAGTTAATTCTCCTTATCTGTAAAATGGGGACAATATTACCTACTTCATACAGTTACTGTGATAAAGGAATGTAGAGCGCTTGGTACAATGCCTAGGTCATTTTAAGGGCTTAATAGTTTTTAATTATTCAGAAAAAAAAAAATCCTTGTCTTTTGGACAGTTTTCTTACCCTGTTTCTTTTGCCTATCTTCATTCCCTTAAAGCCTCACTCTGACTCTATCTCAGGTTCCATGGCGTACTCCAAGTTCCTAAGTTCAGGCTGGCCCACCAGGGAGAAAGGGAAGTCCTCACCAGAGAAGAGACTGGTGGTGAGAATGATGTTCCACACCCAACGCTCGCCTCCAATCTGCCGGTAGAAGTGGCTGGACACATAGCCAGAGATGCAGCAGGTCAGGGCATACAACAAGATGGCTGCTGAGTTAATGGCCCCATGACGATGCACGTTGAACATGCCCAGCAGCGCCATGACAATAATGCCTGCAGGGTGGTAGTGGAAAGCCTGTTAGGTCTCACCTATCCCTCTTCCAGCACAGGGTAATCACCCCCCTTTATCCCAGACCCCTGGCTTCCAGCAAAACAATCTCCCCCAGTTCTGTTGTCCAGAAAATCCACAGTAGAATATACACATCCTCACTAGAGCCACTCCATTCCTCAGGTCTGCCCTTTACCTTGGGTAGAAGAGAAGATTCACAGGCCTTTTCTGAACAAGGTACCTACCTAGTTCTACCCCTTGAGAGAAATCCCTGGTTAATTCTTATCACCTCACCAGTGCCAAGGGCCAGGAACTGGGCACCCACGCCAAGCACAGCACAGAGCAGGCCACGGTATGGAGGAAAGCGGAAGACATCTGTATGGATAATTTTCCAGCCATTGTCACCCTGGTCAAAGTCATCACCAGAGCCTCCAGAGGTTGTCTCCTCATCCAGGTTGTACCGAGCCAGGTCATTACGAAGCACGCGCATAAGAATGACAGCCACAAAACCCACCAGTAAAAACACAAGCACCATGGAGTTGATGATGGACAACCAATGGATTTCCAGTGTTCGAGGAAAGAAACCACCATCATCACCACGGCGCCTGTCACTCCGATGCTCCACTGAAGTCTCTGACCAGTGCACACTGTAAGTGTGGGTGAGGCCTAGGAAGTTGTCAGGCTGTAACCCGTCCAAGCTGTGGGGCTTGACGTCCCGCACTGAGACATTGGCAAATATAATTTGATCCCTGTGGAATTCTAGGTGGAAGTCCAAATGGGTCCAGAGTCCTATCTTGTGGGTGTGTGGCAGGAAGCCACTCTCCTCCATGTAGCCCACAAAGCCACGGATTGGCAAGTCATCTACCACAAATTCAAAGTAGTACAGTTCCTCAATGGCCTGACGCAGCTGTTCTACCTACAAAGAGTAAGTCAGGAGTCAGTCACAAAAGGCCTCCCCAGGGATAGGTTTAGAGCAGGGTTTCCCCAGGTTGCTTGGCACTACTGACATTTTGGACTAGATAATTCTTTGTCATGGGGGCTATCCTGTCCACTGTAGGATGTGCATCCCTGGCCTCTTCCCACAAGATGCCAGTAACACGCTCCAGTGTAACAAAGATGCTTCTAAAACATTGCCAAATGTCCTTTGGGGGACAAAATTATCCCCCTTGAGGACCACTGGATCAGGCCCCATCATCTCATACTTGGTCCAGTGGGTTGGAGTTCCTCAAAAAGAGCAAGAGAGGCAAGGTATAAGAAGATCTGGAGGGAACTGAGGGAAACTGTCCTGAGATAAGACTTGTTAAAGAAGAAGCATGGCAGAGGAAGGTTAAGTACAGAGAAAAAGTGACCAGTCAAGAAAGAGCTGAGAGTTGGGTATGGAAGGAAACAGAACTACGGAGGAGTGATAGTTGGGACCTTATTACCAACAGAGAAGCTTGGAGTCAGGAGCCCTGGGCTCTAGTATCAGCTCTGCAACTCACTATCCATGTAATCCTGAAAAGGTCACTTCTAAGTTCCCACACCTCAGTTTTTCAACTGAACTTGAATAATACCACCTGCCCTGCCTGCCACACTCAGGGTTGTAGTTAGAATCAAGTCAGATAATTTCCATAAAGGTAACCTGAAAACCATAAATGCGCTCTGAAAACCTGTGTGAAACACCTGGGGGGATGGGGTAGGGGGGAAGGGTTGAGTGACAGCCACGTGGACAGGCTGACCTGTACAGAACTGAGCTGCATGTGGCACAGAATTCGCTTCTCCACATTCTCCCGAAAGCGGATCTCATACAAAGACTCCGCCATGCGATCCCCATCCAGCACTTCACCCAGGCTAAGGCTTTTATGACGAATCTTCTCAGGGCAGCAGACCGGAAGCTGATAGTAATGGTAAGTCTCCTGGGGGTTATGGTAGGGTCCCACTTTGTTGACATATAAAATGACGGGGTCGCCGGCCTTGTAGTGTGTCACGCCTTCCACCCCTGGCCCACGGCTTGTGCGCAGCAGCAGGAGCAGCAGGACTGGCAACCACCGGCAGCTCCAACTTCGAGGGTGCCCTGAGATTGTCATCCTTAAGGCAGCGGGACCTGTTTGGGGTAGTCCTGCGGTTATGGAAACCAGGAAATCAACTCATGACGACCCAGGTCACGTTCGTCTAATTGACACTTACTTGCTCCACTTCCTCCCACTGGCCTCTGCGACCTTCTCTTCGGAAGCCATATCCCGACACCCCACACCACATCGCGTCCTTCTATCCTTTCCACCCGGTGTTCTGTCTTTCTGCGGCCCACCCGCGGGGGCCTCAACCGCGCGCCCCAGCCCGTTCCCATGGCAACGCCACGCAACCTCGTGCCTCAGGCCCCTGCCCGCCGCAGCCCCGGAGTCCTCACCGCGCGGGAAGGGCTGGCCGAGGCGGCGCCAGCGGCCTTACCGGCCCCGTAGCTGCCTTTGGGCTCCTGCGGGGGTCTCCCCAACGAGCCGCGCGGTAGAGGCGGGTTGGAGAGGACCTGACAACTGACCTCCACTGGGTTGCCTGCTGCTGTGCCTGATGGCAGCGGCTGCGGCCACCTCACAAGAGACACCGCACTCGGCTCGGCCAAGTGCTCTCCGATGAAGCTTTCTACAGCCAGAAGCCCGGCCCAGCTCCTGGGGCCCCGCAAGCCTCGGATACCCCGGCCCCGGCGGGGAGTCCTCCTGGCTCTCAGAAGAACAGCACAGGACACGTCAGTCTTACAACTTCCGCCCTCATAGGCGGGGGCCTCAGCCGGGCAGAAAGCTCCTTTTCTGGACCCTAGATCGGCCGCTCGGACTCTTCGTGTTGGGTGTCCGGGGGAGGGGGCTGCAGATGAGGCCCGGCTGCGAAGATGCCGACGCCTCTTCGGGATAAAGAGTCGCCACCGGGCCGCCCGAGTCGGGAGCGCACGCCCAGCAACGGCCTGGGAGACAGAGCACGGGCGGGTGGCTGGGACCGCACCTAGTGGATGTTCGAAGCATCTGCCACCGGAACCTATAACGACTCGCCACAGGCTGCTGAGGCCGAGCCCTGAGAGGCGGTTCATGTCCCCCAACCTGGGCGGGGGTGTGCTTGGGGCGTCGCTGTGCGAGGAACCTCGAGTCCGAGCCTCACCTCACACCACTCCCACCAGTCATGGATGCCCCCAGCCAAAAATAAAAATATTTTCCCGAAGCTGTACTGGAGGCCTCCCATTCCGTTCCGTGACGGTTCCATACCGACGATAAGCGAGCCCGAGCCTGGTCTGGTGCTGAGGCAGGCAAAGACACAGGGTTTCTGTCCTGTAATCCCATGAGTTGGACAGCCTGACAGGGTAATTGCAAACTGGAGGTAAAGAATCTTGCCGTATATATGTCTCTTTCAATGCTTTTGTTCTTCTTTATATGTATGTGTTTGGGTTTCTCAATTTCGTACTGCAGCTTATTTTTAAAAAAGTTTATCCTTGTCTGCCTCAGTTAATTTAAGGGGTTTCTGCCATCAGGGAAGAGTTCCTCTGGAGATCAGACCCTGAGGCAGTGACTTCCCCTTGGCCACCTGGGAGCAAAGTGTAAGGAAGACTTAAGGTTTCCTCTCCCCAAGGGAAGGAGCTCTGGTGGCACAGTGGTTAAGCGCTCAGCTGCTAACTGAAAGGTGGGCGGTTTGCGGGAGAAAGATGTAGCAGACTGCTTCAGTAAAGATTTACAGCTTTGGAAACCCTATGGGGCAGTTCTACTCTGTCCTGTAGGGTCGCTATGAGTCAGAATTGACTCTGTGGCAACGGGTTTGGTTTTGGTTTTCTCCCCTAGGGAAGAAGTACAGGGCAAAATCACAGGAGGCTTCTGGGCTAAAAAGGCATTCATTTTCACCCACTTCTGATTCTTGCCCTTTCTGACCCAGCCCTTCTTCCTGCAGACATACATGAGGTTCCAGGAAGTAGTGGGTTGAGTTTTTTAGACAGTCAATGAATTTTGCAGTTAGAAAAGTAACTTAGAGTGGCTTTGGAATCGTCTTTAACTGACAGCCACTTGGTCCCTAAAGCCAGAAACCTGGGCCTCTTTCTTAGCACCTACCCCTCAAATCAGTGCCACCAAGCCCCTATCCACTTATTTCTTGAATAGCTTCCAAAAATTTGCCCTCCATTGCTCGCTTGGTACACCTAAATTACTGTGACAGTTACCTGGTTAAGTCTTGTGGTCACTTCTCCCTTGGGTACATTTTCCATACTGCTGCTAGAAAGATTGAATTACTTATTTATTTTAATCTTAAAGGTTTCCTATTAAGGAACAGCTGCAACAGTTGTTTTCAAATTGTGGTATGCATCAGATTAAGCTAGACGTTTATTTAAAACAAAAATACTTAGGTTCTACCAAGTTAGAATCTCAGGAGAAGGGGTGCTTAGGCATCAGTATTTTTTTTTAACAAGCTCTGATTCTGATGCACACCACAAGTTAAGAACATGAGTATATAGGATAAAGTCAAAATAGCTTGGCATATGAAGCTTCTCATGACAGGATACTAATTACTTCTCCAGGTACCTTCCCCTTCTGGAACCCTGTCTTACATTCAAATTGAAATCTTGAAGTTCTTGGAATGTCATGATCTCAAGCCTGCAAGCCTCATATTGTTCCTTCTGCCCAGATGGCCCAATCTACCATTCCCTATTTATCTGCCTGGAAGAATGCACCTTCTTTTGAGCAGTGCAGATGTCACCCTCTCTATGAAGCCTTCCCTTATATCTTAGTTTTGTTTATAGCACTTTATCTCAATGTACTATTATCTTACCTGTCTCCTTTGCCAACTGCTGACTCCTCACAGGGAGACTGTAATTTATCCATCTTATATCTTCAGGATCTAGCAGTGTTTTGTATATAGTAGGCAGCTTGATACATCATGTTCTTCGAATGAACTGGTTTTACACACACACACACACACCCCGTACATGATGACAGAACAGAGTTGCCACCAACGTACCTATCTGCAAGTAGGGCCAGCTTGAGGGAGCAGAAAATGAGCAGAACTGACTGGGCCTCCTTACCACAGTGTGCCCTGGACAATTGCCCATCTTGCTAGATAGAGGATGTAGATCTGTATTCCAACATTAGGACTTTGAACCATACTGCCAGTAGGGTTAGATTGTCAGTAAATGAGAATTTGTTAGCAGTCTGTGGTATAAATCTGTTCTTGGAGTTTTTGTTTCGTGGACAGATAATGGTGGATGCATTTGAATTACGGTGTTGAAGCTTATTAAGAAAATGTTCTGCATCCTACTTTGGTGAGTCGTGTCTGGGGTCTTAAAAGCTTGCAAGTGGCCATCTAAGATGCATCAATTGGTCTCAACCACCTGGAGTAAAGGAGAATGAAGAAAACCAAAGACACAAGGAAAGTATTAGCCCAAGAGACAGAAAGGGCCATATAAACCAGAGACTTCATCAGCCTGAGACCAGAAGAGCTAGATGGTGCCTGGCTACCACCAATGACCACCCTGACAGGGAACACAACAGAGAGTCCTGGATGGAGCAGAAGAAAGGTGGGGTGTAGAACTCAAATTCTAGTAAGAAGAACAGACTTAATGGTCTGACTGAGACTGGAGGAACCGCGGAAAGCATGGCCCCTGGATTCTCTATCGGCCCAGAACTAAAACGGTTTCCAAGGCCAACTCTTCAGATAGGGATTGGACTGGACTGTGGGATATAAAGTGACACTCGTGAGGAGTGTACCTCTTAAGTAGATACAAGAGACTAATCTGGCAGCTTCTGTCCGGAGGTGAGATGGGAAGGCAGAGAGGGTTAGGAGCTGGTTGAATGGACATGGGGAATTGGGTGGAAAGGAGGAGTGTGCTGTTACAGGATGGGGAGAGCAATTAGAGTCACATAACTGTGTATAAATTTTTGTATGGGGAAAAAAGAATTATGGTGTTGGCAAAGAATATTGAATATACCATGGACTGCCAGAAGAATAAACAAATCTGTCTTGAAAGAAGTACAGCTGGAATGCTCCTTAGAAGCAAGGATGGCAAGACTTTGTCTCATGTACTTTGAACATGTTATCAGGAGGGACCAGTCCCTGGAGAAGGACATCATGCTTGGTAAAGTAGAGTGTCAGTGAAAAAGAGGAAGACCCTCAATGAGATGGATTGCTACAGTGACTGCAACAGTGGGCTCAAACATAGAAACGATTGTGAGGATGGTGCAGAACCGGGCAGTGTTTCGTTCTGTTGTATGTAGAGTCTCTGTGAATCACAACCAACATGACGCAACCTAACAACAACAACAGTGGTGGACGTGAACATAAGAATAAGGGTTGGATTCTTCCCTTATTCTTTCCTCTGTCCCCCCAAAAAAAAAAAAAAAAAATCTTAAATCCAAAGAATCCCTCTCTGACCACAACCTCCTGTCCTTCTTACTCTGTTAATTCCCACCAAACTTGTTCTTGCATTTCACTGAGACCTGCAGCTCCTCCTCTCGTTGGCCTCTTTCTAGCTTGTCTTCCCTTAACTATGCAGTTTAGATTCCATATTCCATCATTTCAACCATGTTTTTGCCTGGGTTCTTGATGCCTTTTTCCATTGTTCTTTTATTGCAGCTGCCAAACAGAACCCTAATCTCGGGTCAATTCAACTGTCAATATCCAAGCACCTATAACCCAGGTGCTAAAATAATCTCAATACTATGATGATAAATGTCCATAAGTTGTTTCCTTCAACCTCATTTGGGCCCTCAGTGCTGCCCAGTGGTCTTGCTTTTTCCAAATCAGCTCTCTTTTCTTCTCTACAACTTCACAACCTCTAACTGCAGCTTCTGGAAGTCGACCTCCAGAAGAATCTTGCCTAGTAGGAGATGCAAGCAAGAAAAGCAATTACAGACACTATGTTAGGTACTGTAACAGGAAGTATAGGGGCTATGGGCGCACCCAGGAGGGAAGAACATCTAACTTGGGCTTGAGCAAGGTAAAAATGGCCTGGTGGGGGTGTCATCCGACCTCCTTGTCTAACTTCACAAGGGGGAAGGAGAATCATCAGCATCAACAGCCCAAGGCTGACTTCTGTGAGACAGAGGTCAGACATACCTCCTCTCTTCAATCTCTACCAGTTCTGAAACCAGCCATTCCTCCCACAGCAATCTCTACTTCTCTGCTGGGTTGGATAATTCACTGCAATGGCCACTGTCTTAAGGCTGGGTTCTCTAAAGAAGCAAAACCAGTAAAGCGTATAAATATATATAGAGAGATTTATATCAAAGAAACAGCTCACGCGATTGTAGAGGCTGGAATGTCCCAAGTACGCGGATTAGGATAGAGGCTTCTCCTGATTCATGTAGCCGCAGGGACTGACGAACCCAAGATCGGCAGGTTGGAAAGCAGAACTCCGCTCACAGGCTGTGATGATCGCAGGATAAGCTAGATAAGCTGCCAGCTCAAGTCCCAAGAACCGGAGGTCAGATGAACAGGAGGCAGCTGCACAATCCAGAGCAAGCAAAAAGCCAGAACGTCTGCTTATATTCAGATGCAGGCCACACCCCAAGGAAACTCCCTTTCAACTGATCGGCTACTCACAGCATATTCAGTCATGGGAGTGATCACATATAAACACTGAGAACCATGGCCCAGCCAAGTTGACACACAATCTTAACCATCACAGCCACACAGAACTCACAGACAATATTCACAGTTATGGGGTTTATTAGGGAAGTACCAGGTTATAATTCAGGTTCAGAAAATGTCTCAGGATACAGTACTTTGGTCAGGACAGCTTCTTGGCCATGCCCCTTGGCCTCTTGGCCTGGCCTCTGCCCTGCTTGGGCAAATGTTACGAAGCTCCTTAGCTCCACTGATAAGTGCCCAGAGGTACGCTACTCCACCAGCAAGCCTTCTGCCCAAAGGTGCTCAGCTTTCTCACTCTGTGGGCTGGGAAGCTCACCGCACCCTCTCCTGCCAGGTTCCTGATTCTGCTGCTGCTGTTTCTCTGCCACGCTTGCCGCCGCTTCTCACCGTCTTGCACCGCCACTGGTTACAGCTGTGTCTCCTGGGTTAGGAGTTTCTCAGTGCAGGTACCCCAGGTCCAAAGGATGCACTCCACTCCTGGCTCTTTCTTGGCGATAGTCAGGTCCTCCGCTTTCTGCCTCTGAGATAGCTCATTTTCAGCCTAGCGGGATGGCAAAACTTAACCAGTCCCCTCGTTAGGGTTCCATATACTTTATTTGCATGATCCCACCCCCACAAGGGTGCCATGCACATTATTTGCAAGCTGTTCAATTTCCTTGGTAGACCACAAGCACCTTATTTGCATAGTCCCACCCAATCATTTGACGGGAGTTACAAGACCATGGCGAGAAAGGCTGTGTAAAAGTGATCCACTACACTGCAAGCAGTCAGTAAAGGCTTCCTTGAAACGACTACTAAGCTAAGTCCTGAAGGATGAGTAGGAGTTTGCCAGGAGAACAGAGGGACTAAAATGGAGGGAACAAAGAAGGAGAAGCAATTCAGTTTGGCTGCAGCATTGTGTGTGTTAAAAGATAAAATCAGAGAGGTAAGCAGGGTCAGATCTTAAAGCCATATGAAAAAAATTTGGACTTGATCCTGAGAAGAATGGAGAGACAACTGAATTGTTTTAAATGGGAATAAAGTTAGGTTTATTCTTTGGACTTCAGGGTGAATAGACTGGAGAGGAGCAGAAGGCTTGCTAGAGCAATTAGTTAAGAAATGATGGAGTCTTGAACTAGGGTAGTGGCAGTGGGCCTGGAGAGCCATGAATGTATTATTAAAGAGATAATTAGGAGATAGAAGAGACAGGATTGTGTGACAGATTGGATGTGGAGGCTGAGGCAAAGGGAAGGGTCTGAGATGACACTCCAATGTCTAAATTGAGGACAACTAGTACAACTTTACAGAGAGGGGAAGTCTTGGGGAAGAAAATAAGGAGTTCAGTTTTGGACTGGGTGAGTTTAAGGTGCCTGGGAGAGACATGTCCATGTGATGTCCAGTGAACTTTTGGATGCTGGATCTGGAACTCTACAGATAATCTGGGACAGAGATGAAGATTGGGAACAGTCAGCATAAATGCGGTAGTTGAAGCCTTGGGGTGGGTGAGATCCTTAAGGGAGGATTTGAAGTTCTGAGAAAAGAAGGTCCGTGATAGGACCATTAGGGATATGATTAAGGGATGGATAGTGGAAGATGAGCCTGCAAAGAAAACAAATGACCAGAGGGATGGGAGGAAAACTAAATTCAGGGTCATGGGAGTCAAGATAGAATGGATTTCAAGGTTAGATTCCTTAGAACATGCTTCCATCACACCTTGAAATTATAACACTGACACTCATGTTCTCTTTCTCATGCTGGACTATAAACTCTAGGAGCATAGGGTCTCTATTGGCCTGATTATTATTTTATCCCAGTACTCCACACACTGCCTGGCACATAGTAGGTGTTCAATAAACATATGAATGAACGAAGGGTCTTGATCTATGGGGGAAGTCTCACCAGATGGTGGAATGTGCCTCCAGGAATGAACATGTTATAAACTGCACTTCATTATCAAGCTTTGTTACCAATGGTGACTAGAAAGTGCGTTGTGATGTGTGTGGAATGTGGGACCTTGGGGGAATTCCGTAACCAGGAGGAAGAAGTAACAACAGCCAATGGAGATGAAAAGCACCCCTTTCTTCCCCCCTCCAAGTTCCTAGTGGAGAGCTGAGCCCAGCATTCCAGGCTCAGGTGACTTCATAAGCAAGCATTCGGAGATTTGCTTCACTTTGGGTGCCTTAGCCCTCAGCAGCTCAAGGTGTAGGCCTCAGCAGACAGGAGACTTCCAAGTGGCAAAGCTCCCTCACTCAGCGAGTCCAACACCATGGGGAAGGGAGACACTCTAGAGGACCCACCACCCACCTCAGCCTACCGCTCTGTCATGGAGGAGTATGGTTATGAGGTGGGCAAGGTCATTGGCAATGGCTCCTATGGGACGGTGTATGAGGCTTACTACACAAAGCAGAAGGTCATGGTGGCTGTGAAAATCATCTCAAAGAAGAAGGCCTCTGAAGACTATCTTAACAAGTTTCTGCCCCGTGAGATACAGGTCAGAAAGGGGGCTGGAAGAGGGAACTGGAGCTTGGTACCAAACTGCTTGAGGCTTCTGTCAGGAGGGGTATGGCTAGGAGAGAAAGGGGCCAGGAATCCCTAAACCAGAACTGACCATCTCACTAAGCAGCTAGGAAAATTCCTTGATGTGAAAATTCAACCTCTTTCCCACCCACCCATTCACCTCCAGCCCTTCAAATAGTAAAACTGCAAAACAGCGTTTGCCTACAGGCTACCAGGCACTTGTCTACCAGCTCTCTTGAGTTCACAGAAGTTCTCTTCCAAAGTTCTAAGTAGCAATGGGAGGGTAGGAGAGGGCTGAGAGTGCAGCCAGTTGTCCCTTCCCAGGATTGATGGGTCCCTCTTCCTGGGCCAGGTAATGAAGGTCCTGCGGCACAAGAACCTCATCAACTTCTATCAGGCCATCGAGACCACATCCCGAGTGTACATCATTCTGGAGCTGGCTCAGGGTGGTGATGTCCTTGAGTGGATCCAACGCTACGGGGCCTGCTCTGAGCCCCTTGCTGGCAAATGGTTCTCCCAGGTGACCCTGGGCATCGCCTACCTGCACAGCAAGGGCATTGTGCACCGGTGAGGGCGCTACTACCCAGACCTGGGGTCTTTGGAGTTTCAAGGGGGGTTTATGCACGTCTTTCATTTTCTGGCCTCTTTTTTCCTCCCTTGACCTCCCTCCTCAATATCTAGGCCCATTCATCCACTCTATTTTAGTCGTCTGGTCAAAAACATTAAGTACTCACTGGGTGCAGAGCCTTATATGAAATACAGTGGTGAGCGCCCAGTGGTCCTCAGGGACTATTCTCTTTTTCTCTCTCCCCCTTTCTCCTTTGGGCTCTGCTTACAACTCCAGGGCTCTCCTTCCTGTCTACCTTGTACCCTCATAATAGTTCTCTCTCCCACTTTGCCTTTCCTCATCTCTAACCTCTGACCCTCCAGCTCCGGGTCTAATACTAAGCCCTCTCCCCAGCCTGACGCCCAGCCTTTCTGCTGCTGGTAGGGACTTAAAGTTGGAGAACCTGTTGCTGGACAAACGGGAGAATGTGAAGATATCGGACTTTGGCTTTGCCAAGATGGTGATTCCTAACCAGCCTGTGCGTAGTAGCCCTTCTTATCGCCACATGAACTGCTTTGCCCACCTCAGCCAAACCTACTGTGGCAGCTTTGCTTATGCCTGCCCGGAGATCTTGCTAGGCTTGCCCTACAACCCTTTCCTGTCTGACACCTGGAGCATGGGCGTCATCCTCTACACCCTAGTGGTCGCCCGTCTGCCCTTTGACGACACCAATCTCAAGAAGTTGCTGAGAGAGACTCAGAAGGAGGTCACTTTCCCATCTAACTATACCATCTCCCAGGAGTGCAAGGTGCTGGCTCCCCCAGGAGGGCTAAGGCCTCATGGATGACCCACAGGGAGGGGTGAATACCCAACCTAGGCCTCACAACCTGGGGGATGGCTCCTCCCACACCAGACCCATTTCATACTCTAGCCCCTGCCTGTAGTAGTTGCAGGGCTTACAGGGCCAATCACTGGGCTCCAAATCTTAGATGTGGACAGCAGGTTCCAGCCTCCTATCATTTTAGGGCTGAAGGGGATTATATATGGGACACCTCCACGGAACTCTTCCCTTCCCTTCCCTTCCAGGGTGTTAAATGCACACAAGCCTGGCTCTCCAGGATGAAATCAAGGCCATATTCCCTTTCACCAGAGTGGTGTGATGGGCTATCCTGCTTCTTTCTCAGGTCCAGCTGCTAATTGTCTGTGTGGCACAATGCGAGGCAAGCTCAGCCAAGACCTCTCTCTCCCCTGCCCTAGAACCTGATCCTACAGATGCTACGCCAAGCTACCAAGCGTGCCACCATCCTGGACATCATCAAGGACCCCTGGGTACTCAAGTTCCAGCCTGAGCAACCCACCCATGAGATCAGGTTGCTTGAGACCATGTGCCAGCCTCCCAGTACCACTAATCACCACCAGTCTTTGGAAATCAAGACCTGAGAATGGCTGAGGGAGGGGGATGAGAGAGGAGCACAGCAGGAGGGCCTGGGGCTAAAATCTTTTATAAGAAAAATAAATTTAATTCAGATTTAGTTTCATCAGCTAGGATCAATGACATTCTTTCCTGAGGGGAACCCTAACAGGGATCACTGCGGAGGGTAAGAGGTGGATTTTTGCCCAGAGCCTATAACCAGCAATCCTGGCACCTTTTTATGGATGTTGTAATTCACAATGTGGCTCCTGTAGGGGAAGGGGATGGGTGCTCAGATTAACACCCACTTTTGGGAAGCTTCACTATTCCGACTAAGTACATGCCATTTTCTTACATTTCTGTGCTCTCTAAAGGTTCAAGCAGTGGGACAATAGCCCTGGCTGCTCTGCTTTGATCATGGCTCTGCCTCTGTCTACACTACAAAGGAATGGCATGTTCTCCCCTTTCAGAGAAATGGATATCAGGGTGTGCGAAGTACCTCAGTTCCTTCTCCCTCCAAATGCCACCTTAACCACTACTGAAGCAAACAATCCCAGTGAGTTAGGGCCCCTCACACGCACTATCATTCACAGTCACAGAAGTGGCAGAGTTCAAACCAAACCTTCTAGTGGTGAAAGCTATTAACTCTGGGTTCTAGATAAAGGAAAGCCACTTGCCCCTTCCATCTCTCTACTCTCCCTTCCTGACAAATGTGTTTTACAAAAGGAAAAAGGATGGTAACTCATAGGCTGTGTTGGCAGAGACCTGACTGGGGGAAAGAGATGGTAACAGGTGGTAGTTATTCTCAACCTCAGCACTAGGCAACTCTAGGACAAACCAATTTGAAAGATGAAATAGTGTCTGCCTGGAACAAAGTAGGTTAAGAAATTGGGAAAGCCCATCTATTTGTTGTATGTTCCAACCCCCTTCACTACTGCCATTATTAACTGCTTGAAACAAGGCTCCAAGGACTACAGAAAAGTTTCAGTGTAGACAAGGCAGTATAGACACCAGGGTTCCATTTGCCCAGTTTTATTGGGAGCAAGGGCACTGTAACCGCTATCAAAGAGAATGCAGCCCAGGGACTCCTCCCACATCAAGATCCATCTTCAGAGTTGAGCCAGGGATGGGAGGGCAGTAGACCCATTTCTAAGGCAGGGTCATACTAGCATCCTCAGCAGGACCTCCTAAAAAGGCTAGGCTCCTTTAGCTCAGCACTTGGCACTTAAGGAAAAGAGACCAATGAAGGCGGTGTTAGGAAGACAAGTCCAGACTCATCAGGATACCCACTCTGTCAACTGCTTTAGTGCTTCTTTGTCTTCATCTGCTTTGGGGACAAAGACACCCAGAGAAAGAAAGCAGAAGCGTTAAGACCTCAGCAACTTCCAACCATCCCCTACTATACCACTCAGAGCCTGTTGAATTACATCTCCCCAGCAAAGAACCTAAAGGTGCAGTACTTCTACTTGCTGAGCTGCTGCTAATTCTCATAGTACTTTCACGCAAATTAGAAAAAAGCACATTTCTTCTAGCATTTGCAGCCTAAACCAGCATGCACAGCTTGGTGAGTGAAGCACACCATTCCCCAGTGTGTCTTCATTCCCTTCAGCCAGATGCCCTTGTGCAGTCAATAACCTGTACAACTGTAGCAGCAGCCTTCTCTGCCTGGCTCCTTTGAGGCAAGACAGATGTGGAACAATCTTTCTGATACCTCTCCCACCCTCTCAAGTCCTCCAGACCACAGAGCAGCCCTGGGTACCTGGCCCTGCAGGCAAATGTGTAGAGGGTACACTGGGCAATTTGACTGGGGGTTCTCCCTCCTTGTTGCCCACATTTAACAACTCCTGGGACAATTCTTCCTGCTCCAGCTCCTCTAGCTCCTCCAACAGTTCATCCTGGGTATAGGACAACAAGACTGTTCAAGATGAAGGAAGGAAACTTCTACTTCCAAAAACACATCACTTCTGGAGTTATACCCCAAACTGTGCCCAAGAGCTTCTATTAGGCATTCCTTCTGGGTGGTCCCAGGCTTTCTCTGATATTCCTTGGCCCCTCATCCCCAGTCACCTCATCCACATCATCTCCAAAGCCCACAGCCCGAGAAATGGCATCTGAGATCTGCTGGGCCACCTCCTGTTGTCCTGTGATGTCAGTCATCAGTTCATTCACCTTGTCAATGTCTCTGAGAACAAGATACATAGCCAAGAAATCATGCAACAAGCCCTGACTTTCTCATCTCACATGAATGAAGCTCCTCTTGACTGTGGTCTCAGACTCTGGTAAGCCCATGACTACCAGACAGAAAAGATCCTTGGAAAATTATAAAGAGACATGTCTGGGTTGAGAAATGGTAAGAACCCACATTGGGGAGAATATGTTGCACCCCCTTTCCCAAAGGATCTTTAAGAATCAGAAATAACCTTTCCTCCCTTGAATACCTCAGCCAGCAAGAAAGCAAGAAGGCATAGAGGTCTAGCCATCATAAGCACCTATACTTGTAAATTCACATTCTGAGAGGCTTTGAGGTTCAAGGTATGGTACCAAGTCACTCTCCCCAAAGCCTGTTGCCCCTCCTCCCCTCCCCCTGTACCCACATGTCCTGGTAGGCCTTCTTCATGCCTTGGGCAGCAAACTCCATTGCACGAAGCACTTCTTTGTTGGTGGTGGAATTCTCAATGGCTTCACGCTGAAACTCCAGGGTGGATAATGTCCCATCGGTTTGTGCCAGCTGCTGTTCCAATCTTTTCTTTCTCTGCAAAGCCTGCAGGGCAGCTGTCCCATCCCGCACTCTGAGCATCAGAGTCAGAAGCACCTGCTTCCCACCTGAGCCCTCCCAATCTGCTCCCTCCCCACATTACCTCTCTTATTCTTGGTCCCACGCTTCTTGGCCATCTGTAGCTCCTGCTGAATCTTCTGCTCCAGAAACTCCTGTTTCTTGATCAGTGTCTTCTCTGTCTCCTTTAGTTTCCGTATTGCCGTTTCAGGGGTTGGCTCCTCCTTCTTCCCTAAAGAATCCAATGGAACAGGCCCGTATTGTGTGAAGGAAAAACATTAGCCACTAATCACTGAGTGCATAGCATGTGCTAGGCACTGTCCTGGCACTTTTCTGTGTTACTGTTCATCCCTAAATGACTAGCTACAATGAATGTACTATCTTCACTTTATGAATGTAAAAACAGGCTCAAAGATGTTAAAACTTTTTGTCCAAAATCACAACTAGTAAGAGACCGAGCAGGAACTGAAATGACTTCCAAAGCCAAGATTCTTTTTGCTATTCCAAGTTGCCTTTCAAGTTACTTCCAATCACTTTAAAAAAAAATTCTATTTTGTTGTTGTTGAGAATATTCACAAAACACACCAATTCAACAATTTCTACATGTACAATTGAGTGACACTGATTACATTCTTCAAGCTGTGCAACCATTCACACCCTCCTTTTCTGAATTGTTCCTCCCCCATTAATATAAACTCATTGCCCCCTAAATTTTCTATCTTCTCTTTCAAGTTGCTGTTGTCAGTTTGATCCCATATAGATTGTTCTTTTTATAATTATTGTTCACTTGCAGTCCTAGGAGATGCTCAAAGTCCTGACTGCAGAGGATCAAATGAATGAACTACAGGGAATTAGAGGAAAAAATCTGATCTTGACTTTTTCTTTCATCTTCTATACCTCTGTACTTCACCCAAAATAAAACATCCCTTGTCTACTTAAAATCCTTCCATACTCTCCATTGCCTACAGGATACAATCCAAAACTTTTTAGCAGGACATACAAGGTCTTTAATGGTCTGGTGCTTGTTTACCTCTCCATCCACACTTCCCTCTACTTTCCTCTTCCCCTTGATCACACACACTCACTGGCTTGGCAGCCAGAACTCTTTTCCCTGAACAGACCACACTCTTTCCTCCCTCTGTGTTTGTAGACATTATTCCCACTTCCTGAAATACCTCACTTCCCTACCTGACAAACTCTTAGCTTTATGGCAAGCCTTCTGGATCACCCCCTCCAATGCCTACTTCTATGTTCCCTGGTGTTTTATCAACATACCTTCACCAGTGAGTTGCTACCAGTACCAGTTGCTATTGAGTAGATTCGGACTCATGGCGACCCGTGTGTCAGAGCACAACTGTGCTCCATAGGGCTTTCAAAAGCTAGTTTTTCAGAAGTAGATTGCCAGGCCTTTCGTCAGAGGTGCCTCTGAGCGGCCTGGAACCTCCAACCTTTCCGTTAGCAGCCGAGCACGTTAAAGGTTTGCACCACCTGAGGGACTCCTGAGTTGCTACACTAAATTGTAAATACCTGCTTGTACTTGTCTTCCCTCACCAGACATGAGCTTCAACAAAACAGCCTTTCTTATTCACTTCAGATATGCCCAGCACAGCACCTGGCTCAGTCAGCATCAGTGTTTTGGAAAGGACTAGATGAGACAGGTGGAAACTCATCCCCCAAGCTGTACATTGGGAGCCAGTACAGTCACCACGACCTCGACTCACGTCCCCTCCCTGACCTGGAGCTCTTCCCTCAGAGAGCGCGGGAAGGAAGGCAGACAAGAGCAAGGGTCCCTCAGGCACCAGAGATGGGCCTACCACCGACCATCTCTTTTCCCCTTCCCAGGGCCACCTCTCCGTATGGCGGAGTCCCGCCACGCGGTTCCCCTCTCCAGCCCCTGCGAACACTTTCCAGCACTCTAGTCTCGCCCGGGCTCACCCTTCCTGAAGAGTCAGCTGAGACCACTCATCACCACTCTCGCCTCTCCTGCCTCCACCTGACGGCGTCTTCCACATTTCCGCCTTGCTTCTGTGAGGGCGAAGCCTCATCACTCTGCGACCAGCCGTGGCCAATCACTCCTAAGGGCACCGCAGCAACATCACCACAAAAGCGACATCATCAACAGATGCAAACAAGGCCACTTCTACCACGTGACCTGAGCCACCAGCTCCAAATTGACGTGCTGTTCTTAAAGCGGCCGCTTCATTTTCAACTCTAAAAAGGCTGCTGTCCCACCCAACAACAGAGTATTTGTTCCCTGAAAGGAAATGTGCAGGGTAATGGCACCCCAGGGTAATGGGGCCAGCAGAAGAGTTCTTCATGGCTGTTACCCTTGGCAGAGCTGAGGAAAGTGGGATGGGGATGGGGTGCAGAACTTGATGCAGTCTAATGCCTTACACCCTGGTCTTGGCACCTCAGCACTCCCAGTTCACGCACTTGTTAGTTGATGTTGAGTCAATTCGGACTCATGGTGACCCCATGAGTAGAACTGCTCCATAAGGTTTCAAGGCTGTGACATTTCAGAAGCAGATTACCAAGCCTGTCTTCGGAGGCACGTCTGGGTAGGTTTGAACTACCAACTTTTCTGCTAATAATTGAGTGCTTAATCGTGTGCACCACCCAGGAACTCCGTTCACACACTAGAAAAATAGAAACAACCCACAACGAGGGTAGGATCTCTTGTCACACACAGATACACTTTAATAATTTACAAATGCACCTGAAATGCCTTCCTGTTTTATGCCTTGAATGAGATTCATCCACAGGGTTGGACCTCAGGGTCCAACTTGGGCCTTTGCAAATGTCTCTAACCCTTGAGTTAGGGTTTGAAGATTCATCCCATTCTGGACGTGAACACAGGTAACACCTAAAAGGAAAAGAAGTCACGTTTCACCAGGCCTTCAGGGTTCTTCATTATTACTCTTACTTTTTGTGGGTATCATCTGTCATGCAGACTATCCATCCTATACACATCTACCTAACCCCTCTTAGGGAACCTTTCTCCTCACTTCCCAAATGGCTAGGCTCATCACTCAGTACCCAGCTTGCTGACGTCCACGATATTCCGCTTCTCATCATCAAAGAAGATCATCTGGGAGAAAGGAACTCCAGTCTTTTGCTGCAACCTGTGCAAAACACGGCAGGGGTAACCAAGCTGGCATCTTGGCTCCCCAGCCTCTCTGGTATTCTCTCCCCCTGCCCCTGTCCTTATCTCTGCGTACCTCTGAAAGTGTGTGACCTTGCTGCCGGGATAGATTTCCCGATGAACGAAGTATCTGACTAGGTCAAAGAGCTCCAGCAGCTGGTTGGCCCCTTCAATCTCACCTGTCCTGCAAAAAGATGTAATAGATGGGATCAGGAGAGTGAATGGCCCGGGCTGCAAATGCAGTTAAGTACAATTAGGGGAAATCAAATTACTGTTTTTCCACGATGGGTACGAAACCTCGGCCCTTATCCAACTCCATATCCCTCCAGTCTCACACAGCAGGCACTCAGAAAATGTTTGATAAACACAAGGCACAGGAGGGTACAATTGGGATAAAGAAAAAAAGCTTGCAAATTTGCACCTCCTAAATTTTTGTGGCCAGGGGTTACACAAGTCTCCCCAAGCATGCATCTCTCAGCACTAGAACAGGCAGTTTTTATTGGTCGCTCTTCTTACCGGGAAGCGGCCGCGACAGGCACCCCCAGGCCCAGCAGTCGTTCCAGGATCTCGGGCACATCTGGGTAAAGTCGGATGGTCCGACCCCGGCTATCTCGTACAGTTCCATCACTGCAGGGGGCGAGAGTGCGCTCAGTGCTGGCCCGGCGCCTCCTGCTCCCTGTCCGCCCTAGCTCTGCCTCACCCGCTGCTGTGGCACGGAGGGTCTACATGCGTGTCGACCCAGAAAGGCCAGAGCGTGTAATCTGCGAAAAGGAGGGGGAAGGTTCAGCCTTGAAGGGCTCAGGGTTTCCGGAGAGGTACAACTGGGATTTGGAAAGGGGGTGCATCCTATGAAACTCTCCCCACCCCGATTCTCACCCAGGTCAAACACTGACAGCTTGGGGAGCCGCGCCATGACCGGGTCCCGGACGCTGCGTGCACCGAGGCGGAGCTTTCTCCAGGGCCATAGAGTGTCCGGCAACGCTCCAGCGGGTAGGAAGCCGCCCTGCCTGGACATACAGAAACAGCGACTAGAGCGCCGCCACACCGGGATTGGGTGGTCAGCCTGGAGATCGCGCAAGAGCGCTTCCTAGCCGTGGAGGAGGGAAAGGACTGCAGCAAAGTACCAACGAAACCGTCCATAGGACAGTACCAATAGTATTCATCTCTCCAAGCCACTGGCCACAGGGATCTTCCTCCCTCACTTCACACCACCCAGACTCAATATGATTCTACTAGAGAAGTCAAGGAGGGGAAGCAAGCCCCTTCTTCCAGCCCTGGCATTTTATCTTACCAATTAAGAACTAAGTGAGCCATCATAGCTAGTCACTCCTCACACCATCTTTCTCCGTATCAGCCTCTGGATACACATGGAGCCTAGAGCGCTCAGCAATATTTCAGCCATAAAGAATGTAGTTGCAAAGTCCTTGAGGCCCTTCTCCAACCAGGACCAGATGTCCAGTAGAGCCACAATGGGAGAGAATTTACTTTCCTGGTTTCTATCATCCACATGAGCACTATGTTTAAACAACTGTTTTAGAGGGTAGGGGCTGATTCATAGTGTTTACCAATTTCTGTAAATACTCCCGCCATGGCCAGTTTCAAGCTACCAACAAGAAGTCATTTAACATTGAGTTGGGAAGAGATGCCAATAATTGGCTCTTGCTAGCAGTTAAGAGTTGGCTTCAGCACATCACTGAGAGCAGGCTTTCCTAGAGTTCAATAATGGCTCTAAGTGTACTATACCTTCCATTGCCCTACTCCTTCAGCCTGGTATAAATGGGTGAGCACGGGATCCATTTTTATGTCCATCACATTTGTACGATACAAAAAAGATTCCAGGAGGCCAGGAAATGTTTTATTGACAACCAGGGACAAAGCCGTAAGAGAGGGGAGTGCACATGACTGCAAATTAAAACCCAACAGCCAGCAAGGGCCCTTTGTGCCAGGAACACTGCATCCTGGGATCCTCACAGTCTCCCACCAGTAGATACACAAGCCTGGGCATCCAGGGGAGGGGACAGTGGTTCTGGGGTCCTAGACAATGAGAGGATATATGATGCCTCATTATGAGTGACAGGGTAAGGAGGTAAAATGGAGAGAGGGTCCATCACTGCCTAAGGCCATCTCCTCCTCTCAGAGCCAACACCAGGTGGAGGACTGAACCGCCTAGGATCTTGTAATCAGCTGCTGTCTTCTCATCATTCCTGTGGGGCAGAGGAGGGAAGGATTAGAAATACCATCTAGGAGTTTTAAATCTGAGATTTATGGATTCCTTTAGGGGTCTGTGAAACTGGATGGGTGAAAAGTCATACCTTTATTTTTACTAACCCCTAACTCAAATATGGAGCCCTGGTGCGGAAGTTCTACTCTGTCCCATAGGGTCGCTGTAAGTTGGAATTGACACAACTGCCAACGGGTTTGATTTTGGTTTTAACTCAAATACAATACTTTTAATTTTCAATGCATGCAAACAACCACAGTAGTATTAGCAATGTGGATAAACTGTTACCAATATAATCGGATATTTTCATATCATATTGTTAACTGTTGCAAGTATCTTGAAAATATTTCAAAATTATGGTAGTTAATTTTTCTTTTTCAGTCTTTGTCTTTGCTTTATCGCTAACCTGGCTTGTGAGCACAACACTGAATGCTGTTGTTAGGTGCAGTCGACTCGATTCTGACCCACCCTATGTACAACAGAACAAAAACTCTGCCCGGTCCTGTGCCATCCTCAATTGTTGCTGTTTGAGTGCACTGTTGTAGGCAATATGTCAATCCATCCCATTGAGGGTCATCCTCTTTTTTGCTGACCCTTTACTTTACCGAGCATGATGTCCTTCTCCAGGGACTGGTCCCTCCTGATAACATGTCTAAAGTATATAAGGCAAAACCTCACTATCCTCCCTTCTAAGGAGCATTCTGGCTGTACTTCTTCCAAGACAGATTTGTTCATTCTTCTGGGTTTGAAGGCAGTCCACGGCACATTCAATATTCTTTGCCAACACCATAACTCAAATGCATCAATTCTTCGGTCTTCCGTATTTGTTGTCCAGTTTTCCCATGCATATGAGGCGACTGGAAATACCATGGCTTGTGTCAGGCGCACCTTTGTCCTCAAAGTGACATCTTTGTTTTTCAACACTTCAAAGAGGTCTTTTGCAGCAGATCTGCCCAATGCAATATGTCGTTTGATTTCTTACTTTTTTAAACAGTATTTTATTTTACTGAGTTTTTGGTGAAAGTTCACACAGCAAGTTAGGTTCCCACTTGATAATTTCTGAATAAATTGTTTAGTGACATTACTTACATTCGTCACAATGTGTCAACATTCTCTTTGTGTTCTAGTTCCAGTACTCTAGTTTCCCTGCTCCCTTATCTCCTCATCTTTGCTTTTGGGTAATCGTTGACCTTCTGGTCTCATACAGATGGTTTTTAAATAGGGCACCAATCTTATGGATAATAGCCTTTATTTTATGTGCCACTTTGCTATTTTGCTAAAAGGTTTATCTCGGGATAGGCTCAGTTCTAGGTTTAAAGAGGGTCTCAGAGCAACTGTCTCAGGAAGTCCTCTGTTCTCTACTGTTTGTTTGTCTGGCTTTTTTTTTTTTTTTAAAATAAAAACTTGAGTTCTGCTCTGTATTTATATCTCCCATTCTATCCGGGACCAACTATTGCTGGATCAGTCAGTGGTGGTAACTGGGCACCATCTAGTTCTTCAGGTCTCAAGTTAGATGAGGTTGTGGCTCATATAGACTTATTTCTTCTCTGAGCTTCTGGTTGCCTTCTTACTATTTTGCTCCTAGCAAGTAAAGACCCACGGTTGTGTCTTAGATGGCTGCTTGTAAGCTTTTAAGACCCCAGATGCTACTTACTTCACTAGGATGCAGGTCATAATTTTTGTAAACTCTGTTAGGCCAATTGACTGAGTTGTCCCATAAGACTGTCTTAAGCCTTCAAACCCAGAAAAGCAATCTTAGAAGGTGTTTGGTTATGTTTGAGGAGTATCCATATTTGTGTCTTCAATGAATATATGGGCCTGCACCCACATATTTGAATTTACACACACCTACAGATACTTCTGAAGCCCTCGTGGAGCAGTGGTTAAGAGTTATGGCTGCCAACCAAAAGGTCGGCAGTTTGAATCCACCAGCCACTCCTTGGAAACCCTATGGGGCAGTTCTACTCTGTCGTACAGGGTCACTATGAGTTGGAATCAACTCGACTGCGACGGGGTTTTTTTTTTTTTTAAATATAGATACTATCTTTTCTCACCTATGTACACACCTGTACCTACCCATATGCCAATTTGCCTATACCCATCTATATTGCATTGGGCAAATCTGCTGAAAAAGACCTCTTTAAGGTGTGAAGAAGCAAAGATGTCACTTTGAGGACTAAGGTGTGCCTGACCCAAGCCATGGTATTTTCAATTGCCTCATATGGATGCGAAAGCTGGAAAATGAATTAAGGAAGAGCGAAGAATTACTGACACTTTTGAATCATTGTGTTGGTAAAGAATACCGAATACACCATGGACTACCAGAAGAATGAACAAATCTGTCTTGGAAGAAGTACAGCCAGAATGCTCCTTGGAAGCAAAGACGGTAAGACTTCATCTCACACACTTTGGACATGTTATCAGGAGGGACCAGTCCTGGAGAAGGACGTCATATTTAGTAAGGTAGAGTCAGCAAAAAAGGTAACCCTCGATGAGATGGACTGACACAGTGGCTGGAACAATGAGCTCAAGCATAACAATGATTGTGAGGATGGCACAGGACTGGGGGGTGTTGTACTACTGTACACAGGGCTGCTATGAGTCAGAACTGACTCGACGGCACCTAACAACAACATCCATATGTGCTCAAGCATTAATTTTTTCTTTGGTTGTGCTGTGCTCACTACATGCACATTCGATGCCACTTTTCCCATCACCAAAAATAACAAGTCTCTGTGGTACAAAGCATGCTCCCCACCTCCCACCCCAGGTAACCATCAATGAACATTAGTCTCTCTATATTTATCTATTCTTGTCTTCTTATAAAAGAGGGATCACAGAATATTTGTCCTTATATGCTTGACTTATTTCACTTAGCATTATGCCCTCCAGGTCTATCCATATTATGGTCTATTTTGCAGACTCATCATTGTTCTTTATGGTTGCTTAGTATTCCATTGTGTGTATGTACCACAATTTGCTTATCCATTTATCCACTGATGGGCACTTCAGTTGCTTCCATTTATTTGCTATTGTGAATAATGCAGCTATGAACATAGACCTGCATGTGTCTGGTCATGTCATTGTTTTTAGGTCTCTAGGGTACCACCATTAAATCTTCTTTAATGCATTAATAAAGCACATATATCACTATATCCCACATCGCTTTTATGTATTTTGATAACTGTATTTCAATATAATTAGTTTCCTTCGTAATTCTATGTATTTTATGACTGTAAAAACCTTACTCTGAGAATGGGTTCACAGGCTTCAGCAAGTTGCCAAAAGATCCCAATGCACCCAAAAAAAGGGGCAGGTCTGATCCACCTTCAGCACTTGCCCACTCCTCATCTTCACATAAGACTGCCACACCCTCATTCCCACTCAAAACTTACATCTGTTTGCCACTGTAGATGAGTCGCTGCTGCTGTGGGGGGATTCCCTCTTTCTCCTCCACACGCTCCTTGATTCGCTCCACCTTCATGGGAACAAGTAGTCAGGGGCTGGACCGTTGAAATGGAAAGAAAAAGGGCTATGCAGGCAGCATAAGAGAAAGGACCAAGTTCATAAGCACACCCAAACAAATGTACATGGCAGGGAAAAGGGCATGAAGAGGTGTTGGGAATACATCACCTTGTCTGTGGGTTCAATGTCAATTTCAATTTCTTTTCCGGTCAGCGTCTGAAATAGGCAAGGGTTTCATGAGTCCTACAGCCTAACATACTTACAAATTTGCCTTCTAGGTAAGACATCCTATCCTGATCTCTGGGGATCTCATTACCTTCTGAAAGACGTACATTCTCAGAAAAGCTGTTTTGAAGAATCAGAAGGCTTTGACCATACCTCTATTCATCAAACATTTCAGGTTGTGGACAACATTGGTAGGAAAAGATTCCATGAACCATCTAACCCTCTTAATCTCATAGGTCATCTTTTCCCTCCACCCTCACTACAATCAGTGAGGATACTGGCATTCCTTTGGATGTGACTCCAGTGAGAGGTGTCTTAAGTATTCCTTCAAGTTACAAAGACTTGTTCTATTCTAAATATCAACAGTAGACATTAACATTCAGATAATTCAAAGAATCCTCAAGGACACCAGAGAATCACCTCTGATCAACTTTTTAAGAAAACACTCAGAATTCTCCCAAAATCCTAAATTGCAGCTCCAGACTTCCGAACTTCCTCCATAGGTCAGTGGTGCTGTTTTCCAAACACAGTAATTATGCTGATTGTACAGTCATGTATCTTGTGCTCCACCCAATCTACTCTCCCATCCCTTCTTACTCTCTAAAACTCTAGTCCTACCAGTTTACAGTGATCCAGACAATAAACACACCATGAAGTCTAATTTAAGACATTTCTTTGCTTTACTCCCTTTCTTGTTGCAATACTCTCTCCTACTCCTCAAACCTTCAAAAATCAGTTGTTGTTGAGTTGATTCCAACTCATGGCTTTCCCATGTGTGTCAGAGTAGAACTGTGCTCTATAGGGTTTTCAATGATTTTTTGGAAATAGATTGCCAGGCCTTTCTTCCAAGGTGCCTCTGGATGGACTTGTACCCCTAGCCTTTTGGCAAGCAGCTAAGCATGTACTAATCATATTCAAATACAGTTATCAAAATACTACAAAAGCAATTTGTGATATAGTACATTCACAAGGTTGTATAACATGACTACATTCTATTTCCAGATCTTTATCATCCAAAACAGAAACTCTATACTCATTGAATAACAACTCCCCATTACCTCTCCCCGCCAGCCCCTGGTAACCTCTATTCTATTTTCTATCTCTATAAATATGCTTACTCTAAATACTTCATATAAGTGGAATCATACAATATCTGTCCTTTTGTATCTGGCTAATTTCACTTACCATGTCTCTAAGGTTCATCCATATTATACCATATATCACAACTTCACTCCTTTTTAGGGCTGCATAATACTTCATTGTATGTATATACCACATTTTGTTTATCACTTCATCTGCTGATGGATATTTGGGTTGTTTCCATCTTTTGGCTACTGTGAACAGTGCTGCTATGAACACCTGTGTACAAGTACCTGTTTCAGTCTAATCTTATTATTTTAAATGCAAAGACTCTTCAACTAGGCAATTCCATTTCTAGGTAACTAACTTGGAGGAAAAAATTGGGCCTACATCCAAAGAGGCACATGTGAGGTATACTGTAGCATTGTTTGTAAGAACAAAAAAAAACTGGAAACAGCCTAAATGCCCATTAGTAAGAAAACTATTAAAATATGGTACATCCATAGAATGGTAACAATTTATACCCTAATATGGAAAGAGATAAAGAATGTAAATTTCTTTAAATAATATATATTTTCTATATGCAGATATATATAAATGTAATATGTACATGCATAGAAAAAAAAGGATTAAAAATAAACAGATCTCTGGTAGTATTGGTATTCTTTGAGAAGGGGAGCAGGACTGAGGGGAGAGTGTATTAAAGGTTGTTGTTATTGGCGGCCATCAAATCAACCCCGACTCACGGCAATCCCATGTGTTACAGAGCAGGCGGCTCCACAGGGTTTTCTTGGCTGTAATAGTAACAGAAGCAGATTGCCAGGCCTTTTCTTCTACAGTATGCTGGGTGGGTTCAAACCACCAACCTTCAGGTTAGCAGTTGAGCACAAACTGTTTGCACCATCAAGAGACCTTGATAATTATGGTTATGTCAGGAAAAAAAAAGTTTGTCCCTTTAGCGATAAATACCGAAACATATATGAATAACATGATATACTATCTGGCATTTGCTTCAAAAAACAAAAAAAAATCAAGAGGATTTGATGAGTGTAAATAAAACAAGATTGACCATGAGATGATAATTTTTGAAGGTGGGTGAAGAGTGCATTATACTTTCCTTTCTGCTGTTATATATGTTTAAAATTTCCCGTAATTAAAGTTGTTTTAAATTAATTGAATAATTTAAAAAGATATTTTTGATACAACATGTCATCCTCAGTTTCTTTCCTCAAACCTGATAATTGTGACCTGGCAATACATACAAGGCTATTTAGAATGAACCTAAGCCCGACAACTGCTGAAGGCACTGGAGGGGATATAAATGAAATAAGTGATCCAGCCTTCACCAACAGTCTTTCAAATGAAGATTTACAATCAAGAAACAACCAGACATAAAATTAATAGAACAAAACAGTATACAAAAAAGTGCCATACTGGATATTGTTTTCTACACAAAGGGGCAATGACAAAGTGCTATAGTGAGAGAAAATCAAATTAAACCTCAATGAGAAAACATTTCACACCCACTAGAATGGCTAAAATCAAAACAACTGATACCACCAAAAGTTGGCAAGGGTGCAGAGCAACTGGAATCTCATACATTTCAGGTGGGAATGTAAAATGGTGCAACCACCTGGAGAACTGTTTGGTACACTCTTTTAGAATTAAACATATATCTACTACATGACTCAGCAATTCCTTTCCTAGGTATTTATCGAAGACAAGTGAAAACATATGTCCATAAAAAGACTTGTATAAGAATGTTCATAAGAGCCTTATTTATAATAACCAGAAACAATCCAAATGTCTGTCAAAAGGAGAATGGATAAACCAATGGTGATACAGTCATCCAGTGGAATACTACTCAGTAATAAGAAACAAACTACAGGTATACACAACAGACATCATGCTGAGTGAAAGAAACCAGACACAAAATTCACATATTGTATAATTCCACTTATATAAAGTTCTAAAACAAGCAAAACTAAACCTACAGAACATTCTAGGGGGTGGGGTGGAAATGTTCTATATCTTGTTTTTGCAGTGGTTATACATGGGTGTATACTACTGCTGAAAATTTACTGAACTGAACCCTTAAGAACTGTGTGTTTTACTGTATATTAAACAACATGAATGAGAAAACTGGGGCTCAGATAGTAAACACAGTTGCCCAACGTAAACTGCAATGAGGAAATCAATGCAGAATCTGAAGTCAGGAAGCAATATGATGAAAAAGATGTTTAAGGAAGCTGTGTCTGGTTTTGTATACTGTGTCTTGCATAGCAGTAGGAAAACTCTGGTATCACAGAAAAATAAAGACATAAATTAATAAGATCTTGGATCTGAATGAAGGGCAATAGGAATGGAGAGAAAAAAGAGGTTCCAAAGGAAAAATTATCTCCTATAAAAGAATAGTAATGACTCTAAGAACTGGGTTCTAAACACCTGGTAATTGATGAGATCAATTGTGACGTGGGTAGTGGGGAGATGGCATAAGACAGAAGACGATGAATTTAATTTTTTGAGCCCCAGAGATTGAGGAGACAAGGGAAGATTTCAATCAGCAGGGATTTAGCTGTAAAGGATTACAAAGAGATATGGAAGGAGTCAGCTACACAGATAACAGATGAAGAATAAATAATTCAAAAGGAGCCCTGCAAAGAAAATGTATCATTTGTACAGTAATTAAGAGTTCATTGCTTTCATATATTATGTATTATATATATATATATATATATATATATACATACTTTAATACAGCAAACAAAAGAGAAAAAGAGAGAAAGATGGAGGGCAGAGAGACCTGTTCGAAGACAAAAATGGAAACTGCTGTGGGGAAAGGAGACTGACAATTTTACAGAAGTACTAAATAAAAATGGATTCAAAGTTTCTAAAGTCAAAAGGCAGTGATCTTGAACCTTGCTACTAAAATGTAGTCCCCCAACAAGCAGAATCAGCATTACCTGGAAGCATGTCAGATATGCAGAATCTGGGGCCCCATCCCAACTCCACTGAATCAGAATCAACATTTTAACAAGATCCCCATCTTGAACACGGTATTTTTTAAACTGCAGGTCTCAACCCATCAGTGGGTTATGAAATCAACTTAGAATAGAATTGAAAATAACAATGAGTATCATACACAGTAAAGGTAATTTTTTTGCGTATGGGTGATGAGGTAAAATTTTTAAGTGTGGGCTGAAATTAAAAAAACAAACAGAAAACTTTAAAAAACACTGAACACAAGAATAGTAATAACCTCTTCAGGCTAAGATGTCATGAGCAACCATATGCATTGAAAAAAAGATAAAATGACTTATCTGGTACTGTTTTTCAAACATTTTTCACAGTGACTAAGAAATACGTACGAATCATTAACACATACATATATAATATGCATACAAATGAAAACAAATTTTTCACAAAGCAATATCCTTACCTTTACCAGCAGTATACCCTGATATTTTCTATTTTATTTCTTTTTTAAAAAAGTTGCTTGTGACCCACAGACTTATTAAACTGATTTCACAACTCGTTTACAGGTTACTAGTCAAAGTCTGAAAACCAATGATCTTCAACATGCTGTTTGGCTTCAATCCTCAGCTAAGAGGTAGTTTGGTAGGGCTGGTGAAAAGGTTAAGAATGGCCAACATATATGGTGAATCTAATGAAGTAACAACGATAGACTTTACTTGGCAGTACAACTTGATGCTGGACTGCATCAATTGTTAGTTTTTGTCTCTCTCTCTGAAGGTACAGAAGAGGAAACAGCAGATAAAAATGAGGGTTGAGAACTGGTGAAGAGAAGTGGAGATGAAAGAAACACTGAGTCGGCTGCTAGTACCAAGAACTAGGGCATCGGTAACTAACCTGCCTCAGTCAAGGTCCAGGATGCCCGGCTCAGAAAGGCAGGTGCTGACTGACCACACTCCCAGCTTTGGTTCCTGTAAGGACGGCTGAGACACTACACCTTGGCAACCGTTAGCAAAGGCTTGCTGTCTAGCCCCGGGAGGCCCTCGGTTCCCCCAGGCTAACGTCTTAGCGCTGTGCTCGGAGACAGCCAATGTTAGGGGCTGGGAGAAGAAGGTAGCCTGGTCATGAAGAATGGAGAGTAGTTTATTCCAAGAATCCTAGAGAGAGGGGGACCAAGATGATGCTAGGCCTTCTTTCTCTATGACCGCAGGGGTTCGAATAGACAGACCCGGGCAAAAGCGGTCACCTTCTGGGTGAGGGCACCGACTTGGTGAGAGAGTAGGGATGGCAGAAACCTTGGGTTGGTCTGGTGGGTCTCGCCCCCGCTCTCAAAGCCCTCTGGCGGGGGGGGGGGCACTTATTTCCCATCACCCCTCGCGCGGAGCCCTGAGGCTATCGGCGCCCTCCAAGCTCGGGAAAGGCGTGATTTTCCTTCCCGCTTCTCCCGTAAGAGGCACAGAGACCAGCCCAGTACCCCAGCGTCTTGGCAAGGCTGGAGGTGCTCCCACCTTCACTTTAATTAGCATCTTCTTCCTAGTTTGGGGCTGCACACGGACAAACTGCTGCTTCTACCACTGCGGTTGCCGCTGACGCTCCCCAGCACTCCGTCTGTGGGAAATCACTTCTTTTTCCGGGTCACCCAACTGTTTGGCTCCACCCCTTTTCTTTTACGGCGTTTCCCAAAAAGCTCACAAATTCTCCCGCGCTTCGTTTCAGTGGCGTGGTAAATAAAAACAAGAAGGCCAGCTTAGTTACAGCAGAGACGGGTGCCTCCGCAATTCTGAGTGTCCTTACCGAGCCCGGGCTAGCGGAAAGCGGGGACTGAACGAACTACGTCTCCCAACCTGCCAGAAGGCATTTCCACCGGTTCAACGCTGGGAGTTGTAGTCTCCTGTCCTTCGGATCCAAAGGCAACCGTGGCGTGTGAACTCTGTTTCCCAGAAGGCCTCGCACCGCCGCCCGCACCGCCGCCGCCGCCGCCGAAGCTGGAATTTTTCGGTTAGTCGTTCTCGCCGGCAATTAGCGGAATCTGTCGGCGTGGTCCAGAAGGCTCAGCGGGGCTGTACAAGGCCAGTTGCTAGGCAAGGGGTGCTTCGGTCAGCTGCCACCTGGGCCACTGCCAAAGGAAGTGGGTACCCCATTCGGAAAGTGGTTATAGTACCTCCCCATTCCTTCGCGCAGCAAAATCTCTTACGCTAATTTGCTTTTTGCAGGGGCGAGAGAAGGAAGAGTAGTGGGGTAGGAATGCACCTCCTTTGGGTCTCTCACAACCTCTTCCCAAATCTCCCCAACAAACAGTACCTGATACGGAAATCTCCACCGAGGGTAATCGCAACCACGGGACGGGTCAGAGGTGACAGGCTTCAGGGACCACACCTCTGTCCATGCCCAGACCTTCCACAGCTGAAACCAGGAGAGAGATGAGCGCTGCCCCAGCCCTAATAGGGCATTAAGGTGTAAGGGGAGATTGGTTCAGTTTCCTTCTCCTGACTTTTCCTACCTTCCAGCCCTCAGATTCATTGCTACCTCGAGACCCTCACCATGCCTCACATCGACAACGATTTGAAACTGGACTTCAAGGATGTCCTACTGAGGCCCAAGCGCAGCACCCTTAAGTCTCGAAGTGAGGTGAGCCTGCTTCTCTAGTTGCTCTTTCTTGACCCCAAGCTCTTGGTGGGCCAGGACGGAGAAAGGTGCCTGGCTCTTGTTTTCACGCAATACATATTTCTTGGATGAATAAAATGCTCAGTTTCCTTTTGTCATTGGCAGGTGGATCTCACAAGATCCTTTTCATTTCGGAACTCAAAGCAGATGTACACAGGAATCCCCATCATTGCCGCCAATATGGATACTGTGGGCACCTTTGAGATGGCCAAAGTTCTTTGTAAGGTAGGACTTCCCTCATGCCCCTTCCTCAGTGGTGTCCAGTTGCCTCAGCTGACTACAGAGGTGTTTGCATCCGCACCTCCACCCCCACCTTAGTCAGCTCTCTGGCACTTGGCAGTCAGGATGCTCCAATTCTTTAGTACTAAAGTCCCTTTATCTGACAGGTTCAAAGGGCCATATGAAAGCAGCCCTGGTAGTGCAAATGGTTAACACTGGGATGCTAACCAAAAGGTTGGCAGTTCCAACTCACATGGTGGCTCTGCAAGAGAAAGAACTGGTAATTTGCTTTCGTAAAGACTATGGTCAAGAAAACCCTATGGGGCAGTTCTACTTTGTCACATGGGATCTCTATGAGTTGAAGTCTCTTCAATGGCACCTAACAACATCATACTAGTGCATATCCAAATAGGAAAATGAATTAAGAATTTCTACATAAAATGTGAATTAATCACAAAGAACCACATGAATTCATGAGATTCAAAGCTGAATTTTGCCCCATTTTTCTGATAAATGAACAGAACTTTCCCTTTTGTCCTATCCAGCAGTTTATATGCCCTGCCAACTTTCCCCACTACACAAGGCACCCCTCCCAATCACATGCATCCCTCCAGTTATACCATTGTTTGGCATATTAAATAGTCACTGTTTTAGTCCAGAAACTAAATACGGTTTGAGCATTCAAAAATTCCTAACTAGAAGATCCTAGAGAGAAGCAGCTTATGTAGTGTCCTTTTATGCATGCTATCCAGTTTTTTCTTTTTTCTTTTAAATCCTAGGTTCCTGGGAGTTTCTGGGATGTGCCCAAAATGCAGTTTTTTTTTTTGAAATATACAAATTGTTGTTCACTTTCAAAATGGAAGATGCTGCTCTGTCAGTATTATTACCTGGCTCTATACTTGTAACTGAGAAGGTAGCTAGTTGCCTGGGTACTCTGAGAACATATGCACTCTGAGAACTCAGCTGATTAATCCTTGTAGTCCTGGTTGGTGTATTCTGCTGATGTTGTGGCTCTGTTAACCTTAAGGACTTCATCTACCTTTTCTCTGTTTTTGATTGCTATCTTTGCGGAATGTCTGCTGTCATTTTTCTGAGGTCGATAGTTATGCAGTCTCATTAGACTTTATTCCTGTTCTTATTCACGGATTGCTTAGGAATCCTGCTATTGCCCGTTGTCCACCTGCCATGTCCAGTAGAGTTGGGGAATGGTGAATCTAACTTCAGTGCTAACAGACATGCTGTAATACCTGGACCTTGTTGAGGACTCTTTTTTTTTTTTTTAATTGATGTAATTACATGAAGTTCACATTTCAAGTTAGTCTCCCATACAGAATTTTTTTTTAAACATACATTGTTATGAGACCCCAACCGCTCACCCCATTCTGCGACAGCACACTCCTCCCCTCCGCCCCTGATTCCCCACGAACATTCAACCAGCTCCTAACTCTCTCTGCCTTCCCCTCTAACCTCTGGACAGAAGCCGTCCCTTTGGTTTCTTATATCTACTTGTCTAAGAGGCACATTCTTCACGAGAGGCACATTCTTCACGAGTATCACTTTATGTCCCACAGTCCAGTCCAATCCCTGTCTGAAGAGTTGGCCTTGGAAGTTGTTTTAGTTCTGGGGTGATGGAGAGACCAGGGGCCATGCCTTCTGGGGCGCCTCCAGTCTTAGTCAGACCATTAAGTCTGGTCTTCTTACTAGTATTTGAGTTCTGCATCCCTCTGTTGTGTTCCCTGTCAGGACGTTCACTGGGGTAGCTGGGCACCATCTAGTTCTTCTGGTCTCAGGCTGATGAAGTCTCTGGTTTATGTGGCCCATTCTGTCTCTTGGGCCAATACTTTCCTTGTGTCTTTGGTGTTCTTTGTTCTCCTTTACTCCAAGTGGTTGGGACCAATTGATGCATCTTAGATGGCCGCTTGCAAGCTTTTAAGACCCCAGACACCACTCACCAAAGTAGGATGCAGAATGTTTTCTTCATAAGGTTTGTTATGCCAATTGACATAGATGAGGACTCTGTCTTGATGCTTTATGTTGAGAATGGCTTTTCAGTATTGCTTATGAATGCTAAAGAAATCAGATTTTAGAGGTAGAGCCAAGTCTCATAATAATAATAAAAAGGTTGGATGCAGGCAATCATGTTTTTCTAGACCCCTAGCTTGGTATGTATTCCAGTGTGCTCACCATGCCAGTCTATCTCCAAGAAAGTCTGCTGACCTAGGGTGATTTTTCTTAGTCTATCATATGTCGATGGCACAGTGTTGCTGAAAAAACAGAATTCAATACCAGTTTTAACTAGGTAGTGCTGCTGACAGTCTCTGAGTATCTCACTGCCTTGTTGGCTGATACATGACTTCTTGCGTTTCTTATCAGTTACAAGATTTGTGCCTTCTCAGCTGCCTTGTATCTGTTTGCATGTGTGCACATTTAAAGCACAAGCAACTGCATTTACAGTGGCCTTTGAATGCCTTTCTCAAAGTATTGGAATATTGTTTTCAATTTGTTGAGCTAGTCTGATGAGACAGTCATTATATCTTTGAACTTGGCTGACTAAAATAGATGGAATGAAATAGACTTCAGCCTGGTCCATGAAAATCTGCCCTTTACTCCAGTGGAGATGGAAAAAGGACTGGATAGCACCTTTTTGGCTCCATTAACCTTATCACCTTATTTTTTGTATGTATCTAGACCCACTGAATTACTACTGGTAAACGGAGCAGAAGATACCAAAAATAGGTTAGTTTAGTACTAGGTCACATAGGAGGAGGGGCTGAATCAGTGCAGGCAGACACTGCTTCTTCCAGTCTCTTCATGTTCTTCCATGTCTGCTGCTTGTCCCACTGTACCTTGTCACCTCAGAAGCAAAGTGTGTGCTGGCCAGTGATATCCAATCCAGATGACTCAGTACTTTGTGGTGGGAGTGTTTGACAAAGATGAGCGTATGGTGAAAAGCCTTACTGGGATTTGAGTAAAGATGGAACTAAAATCCCAGCTCAACCACTGACTTCCTGAAGTTGTTTTCTTTCCAAACTTCGATCCTTTTCTCCCACAGACAAAACAGCACAAAGGTGTATTTCTAGAAAAAGATGCAGCGAAGTTCTCTTCTTTTTGATGGCTCTTTCTTTTCCCCAGTTCTCCCTCTTCACTGCTGTCCATAAGCACTACAGCCTCGAGCAGTGGAAAGAGTTTGCAACTCAGAATCCTGACTGTCTTGAGGTACTACTGGGTCTACCCCACTCCCTTCCTTATCTCAGTCTTCCGAGAATCTTATTTTGGCTTCCTGGGAACCAAGCCTCACCTCCCCATCCCTACCATCTGCTCACCAGATTATCTCTGATGTGACACCACAAGCTGATCTAATGCCTCCCATGCCAATGGCCCTTTTCCCCCACAGCATCTGGCTGCCAGCTCAGGCACAGGCTCTTCTGACTTTGAGCAGCTAGAACAGATCCTAGAGGCTATCCCTCAGGTGAACTATATCTGCCTGGACGTGGCAAATGGCTACTCAGAACACTTTGTTGAATTTGTAAAGGACGTGCGGAAGCGCTTCCCCCAACACACCATCATGGTATGTTTCTAGTACCCTGCAGTTTGTATATTCCTGCCCTTCCACTCTTTCCTGCCAATCTATTTTGTTATATCAGTTCCTTTCTCCTCTGCTGCATTATGATATTCCTAGTCCACCTAATCATGTCACTGGGGGATTTTCCATAGTTTCATACTTAAAATGTCTATTTATTAATCAGTGCAGTATCTCTGATCCCTTGACTCACAGTCACTGTAAATCCAGTGCCTCAGACATCAGTCACCAAACCGTGATGAAACACTTATGCACTGGACACACTTGTGATACATATACATCTGCCCACTAAAATAAACATGCACTACAGTCATATAAAAGGGGTCTCATGAAGCAATGTTTTGTTTTTTTTACAAGCTTAGGGGAATGGTGACAAGGCCTCATTTTCTTCCTAGCATTGAGGGGTCTCTCCTTGTACTGTCCGTCAGAAAGCAAATACAGCTGGGCAAATGGGTATTTAGTCTTCGTTACTATCCTCTCCCCCCTTCCCTGAAGCCAAAGGAGTTCTACAGCAGAATGGCTTAAGGACAGGATATGTTTGGGTGCGATGGCGGGGAGGAGAAGATAAATCTACTCTAAATCAGATCTATAATCTTGGTCTAGTAGTTCCCTTCGCCTCACCAAAAGTTCCTCCATGCCTCCCACATCGCCCTGTTGGTGGCAGCACCTTGTTGCCTGAGGACAGTAAAGTGCATCCTGGACCTGTTTTATCCTAGTGTAACGACACCAGCCTGTCAATCTCCCTTCCTCCGTGGTGGTGCTGGTGGTGCAGGCAGAGCAGGGTCCTTGGAAGAGGCTAGTCTAGAAGCCCTCAGAAGGCCCCACAGAGGGGGCCTAGGTTCCCTTTATTTGTAATAATGTTGGAAGGTTATGGTCCAGGCATACAATATGCAAGAGCATGCAACCTCTGTTTCTGATCCTAAGGATGCTCTGTTTTGATTGCTCTAAGGCCGGGAATGTGGTAACAGGAGAGATGGTGGAAGAGCTGATCCTCTCTGGGGCTGACGTCATCAAAGTAGGCATTGGGCCAGGTAAGCTGGTTCATTCGCATGCCCCTTCAGTGGCAAGCACCTGTGGAGCACCGTTTAAGTCTTTCCTTGTCACGTTCCTCTTAGGCTCTGTGTGTACCACAAGGAAGAAAACTGGAGTGGGGTATCCGCAGCTTAGTGCAGTAATGGAGTGTGCAGATGCTGCTCATGGCCTCAAAGGCCACATCATTTCAGTAAGGCCCAAGGGAGGGTGGGACATGAGGCTCCCAGATATCTGGGGGTTTCTGCTGGGTATGGAGGTGCTGGTATTTAGAGGTGGATCAGGACTCCTGGGTTCCTGCCAGCTTTTAGGTGGGCTGTTGGGACACTGCTGAGAGAGGTGGAAGATCCATGTGGTCACCTCATAATGCTCCTTACTTTGCAGGATGGAGGCTGCAGCTGTCCTGGGGATGTGGCCAAGGCTTTTGGTAAGGGGTTTGAGAGGACACGGAAAGAGGATCCTGTAGATGAGGATCAGTCACCTTTGCAGGTCTAAGATTAGGCTAGGAGAGGCTCAGAAAGCCATTCAGATTCGTTTATAATATCAATGAGTTACCCTGAATCCTGTGGTGTCACCTGGACAAACCAACAGAGCAAATCCTGAGACTCTTGATATGGACTCAAGTGTGGGCCAGGGCCATCCACACTGTCCCCTAGATTGTTGGCCAGTGTCAATTCCTGAGGCCCACCCCAGGCCTATAGAATCAGGCTCTGTGGAGTAGGGCTGCAAAGCTGCATTTTTCACAGCTTCCCAGGTGATCCTTACACTAAAGGTAGAGACCTTTGCCTCTGGGACATGTGAAGTAAAAAACGACAAGTTGGGAAAGCAGCAAAAAAGGAGAGCAGAAGCCAGATGGGAAGTCTCTAGGGGCTCCTTTTAAATTCTTGGGGAAATCAAGCCCCTTGAGGAGTAGAGGCCAGAGCAGAAGAGGCCTGTGTGGGTTCTGGGCCAGCTAGGGAAACAGAACCAGGAAACAACTTGAGTCATTGAGAGAACGGAGTATTTAGTGTGAGTCACTTCTGAGGGTGGGCATGTGGGTATCGGGTCCACATTCACCCCCTTCCTCCTTCCTTGATGCTGACAGGGGCTGGGGCTGACTTTGTGATGCTTGGTGGCATGCTGGCTGGACACACTGAGTCAGGTGGAGAATTCATCGAGAGGGATGGCAACAAGTACAAGCTCTTCTATGGCATGAGTTCTGAAATGGCCATGAAGAAGTATGCAGGGGGTGTGGCTGAGTACAGGTATGTGTGGAGACCCAGGAGCTGAGGGTTCTTATAATGTGTGACTAAGTAGGGTTGTAACAGAGGTCATATCTGTTGGGAGATGGATGGTACAGTTCTTGCGGGAAAGTGGTGAATGGGCTAAATGCTAGAGACTGGGGAAGAGTCACTAGGTTTAAGGAATTCAGAAAGAGAAGGTAATACATTTTTTCCTACTTCAAGGGCCTCAGAGGGAAAGACAGTGGAGGTACCCTTTAAAGGGGATGTGGAACATACCATCCGAGACATCCTTGGAGGGATCCGTTCTACATGTACCTATGTGGGAGCAGCTAAACTGAGAGAGTTGAGCCGGAGAACTACCTTCATCCGCGTCACCCAGCAGGTGAATCCAATCTTCAGTGCTGAGAGCTAGACCCAAGGAGTTCTACCCTCCCAAGGCACCGGCACCCCACCACGGGGCCTTCCAAGTGGGCCTCTTGCCAGTTCCGGCTACTATGGCTATCTACTACTAGTCGTTTCCTGTTGTCTCACTCCTGAGGGCTCCTGCAGTAACTCTGCACTACTCGATCTACACACAAAATACCAAGAGGCTCACTGGGGAGGGAGCAAGGAAGACAGTCTGAGAAAATAAAGTAAAATAATCAACTGGGAATCTGGGGACCTAACATCCTGAAGATTATTAGAAGGAAAAGAGGCTGATTCATAACAGTGTTTTATATGACCTTGGTCTGGAAGAGGCAGGATATTTAGAATCATGTTTTGTTAATCAGCTTCATTAAACGAGACCTTTGACTATCTAAAATTTAAAGTTCAGAAGCTGTGTTTACATATTTGAAATAGCCCAGTAAACAGAGAGCCCAGTAAAGAGATGCTAGGGCTTTTGGCACAAGGTTGGCATCTGGTGCTGCTCCAGGGCAAGGGGAGGTAGGGTTGGCACTGACCCATCTGCCTAGTCGGGTGAAGGACAGTATGCATTTTTCGCATGAGTATCTCCGTTCTAGTGCTACCATCCCCAGATAACATGGCAGCATGAGAATTTACAAAGTTTATTCTGACATAAAGGTTTTCAGAATAGCAAAAGGACATTTCTCTTCCAGACTGTCAACCCTGGTAGCCCTTCTGGGCACATGTGAACATTTTCCAAGGGAGGTAAAAAGGCAAAGGGATTCTTCCAGCCCTGTTTCTAAGGAATGACCTACAATGACCTTTTGGAAGCCCTAATTCCTCTCCCTCACATCAAGACAATGTTTTAACAAATCCAGAGTTTAATTACCAAGCATCACAAAGAAGTTTAGCAATGTAGTCAGGCAACCCAATCCTGGACTTCCACTTCATTCCCACTAAACTGCTTGTATGGCTGAGGAGGAAGGAGAGAGAGTACAGATGGCATTGTGGTCCTATTTTCAGGGTCTGGAACTGTCTGTATGGTCATGGGAAGGGACAGGGATGGCACTGGGGCCAGAAGGGGGCAGGTATTCACAGAAGGTGGGGATCAGGGTGTCAAACTTCGTCTTCTGATAGTTTCCCAGAGACTCCTGCAGAGAAGGCAGCAGGGAGATCCTATCACCATCCTAACCCATTTCCTGAGCCCTCCATATTCTGGAGCCTGTGGATTTCTCAGTCTTGTTCTATCCATCCCCTTCTCCATCTTTCTGCTCCATCCTACTCACCTTCCCTTCCCTCTGGCCATTCTCTTCATCATCAGAGTCCAAAACCAAGTCCCCTATGGTAATGATGGGGCTGCACAGAGATGGAGAACTAGCTGAAGGAGGGAAAGCAGAATCATACTATTTGTCAGTGAACACAGGCCCGTAGACTCTCCAACAGAGAAGGCCATCTGACCCAGTCCTGACTCGGGATACCTACCTGGCTTCCTGGTTCTAGGAGGAGATAATGACAGTTTTAGGGGATCCAGGGCACAATCCAGGCAATTCCTGAAGTGGGAGCAAGCAAAGAAGATAGGATGAAGAGAAAGTAGGCAAGCAACATACTCCTAATACGGAGACGTAACTGTTCTACTCACTCCTTTTGCTCTGAGGCAGATGAGCCAACTGGGTTCTCCTTTAGAGCCCTTCCCCCTAGGTGTTGGGATGGACACTTGGGCTTTCCAGCGGAGGCTGTCCTTGTGCCCACAGCACATGCTGGATCTGCTGTGTGTGTCCAATGTTGCCTTCTGTTCTCAGGCTTAGATATGACCTGGGCTGATGAGCCCAGATTCCTAAAGGGGAACAACATGACTGTGGGGCGCTCCTTATGGCCTCCTCTAGTGGATGCCCATCGAGATTGGATTCTTCGCCGGCCTATAGGGGCCAGATTGAAATGATGGCCAGTCAACGGTTCTGGGTGTGTCCTTGAGGCTGGTTCCTGAGGAAAGTGTGGGCTATGCTTGGTGTTTGGTAGAGAACTGCCGAGTGCTAGTCTTGGTTGCTGAGGAGGATTCGGCTCCATGGGCTGTGTCATAGTCACTGAATCTGTAATAGAGCACTCTGCAAGAGAAAATGAGGCTCCTTATAAAGAGAACAGATAGCAACAGATCAACTCAACAGAACACACCTCAGGTACATGCAGCCACTCCAATGGGCTGTCCCAAAAGGTCTCATACTAAACAATACACTGTCAAATTCCTAGTTCTCCCAGATGGTCCTGGTACCTGGAAGTGTCCACCCCATGTCCACACCATACTGGCTCAAGGCAAAAGAAGAGGTGATAGAAACTCCAGGCTGCATCCAACTCAGCATATCCTGAAGCTGTGGGCAGGGAGAGAGGTGTGAAGATCAGAGTCCTTGATACAACCACCCACGCTTAGGTGTTTTGCCCCAACAAAACCTGTTGTGCCTGTAGTGCAGGCAGTGCTTTTTCCAGCCGACACAAGTATTCGAAAAACAGCTTTTCCATGGCAGCCAAAAAGGGTTCCCCATACTCTTGTTCAAGTTCCTGCAGGGAGAAAGGATGGTTGGAAGAGGACTAGAGAAAATACCCACGTGATAGCCTTCAAACCAAGGAGTCTCACCTGCAGCTTCGAAGCCAAATCCACAGGGGCCTCTGCCAGCTGCTTAACCTGCTGGCGAAAGGTTTCCTGTGACTCCAAGATCTTCATCAAATCCTGCTTTGTCTGTTGAGGGTAAGGAAGGCAGGCAAGTTAGGGGCATCAGGGTTCAGTGGCTGGGAGGAGAGGCAACTTTGTAGCATCAACTGTAATTGGATTACTTACAGCTTTGGGGTTCCGCACTAGATGTCCAGACTCTGGGAAGTGGTGATTCAGGGCATTCAGGACCTGGGCCCAAGGCCGGGCCTGCAGGATCAACTCCACTACCACCTGTGAAGGAATTCACGGTACTGAGCTCAGTCAGGCAAGCTGCGCTTTTTCAGCTGACCCACTCCCAAGCCGTCCCTGTCAGGTTCTCGCATCGCCCCCACCCCACGCCCTGGTTCTACTGGCACCAATACCTTGGCCTTTAGGCCCATACACAGGCGTTCATGGTGCCGGTAGCGAACCAAGCCAGGTGCAGCAAAACGCAGGGACTGCATAAACTCCAGTACTCGCGGAAATAGCTCCACACGGCGTCCGCGCACGACTTGCCAGCTGGCTGCAGCCGCTAAACGAAGAGAGGCGGGACCAGCACCCGGGGGCGTGGCCATGGGCAGCGGGCTCCGCCCCAGGGACAGTCCTCTGTGGCTCGGTTATTTCTACGAGCGCCAGATTCTTGGCAATCCAACTCAATTCCCTGCCACTGGCTACCAGGATCCTGGGGGTCTTCTCCTAGCTCGGACTGGAGCCTGAATGGAAAAGCTAGCCGGCTCCAATAGCACCAAATCTCTCAGCTTTAAACGCCGCCACTCTCTCTATAACCCAGGGCTGCATCACTTCCGGTTCTGCAACTAGTTTCCCTCCCCCGGAAAAGGGCGGTCACAGAGAACCAATGGGCCGCCAGACAGAGGGAATGTGACGTCGCGCCCTAAGGCCACGCCTCCGGCAGATCACGAGCCCCACTTAGCCCCCACCTCGCTCGTGGTACCTGGTAGGTTGCTGAAGCTGGGGTTGCCGCGGATCTGGACCCTCCTAGCTTCTTTCTCGCAGAACCTACAGAGAAGTGACGTCACTCCTCTGAGGATCGACCTCCTGCTCTGTAAAGGGGAGATCATGGTCTTCACCCATTGAATTACGGCACCCTTAAATCGCGGCTCCCAAACCGCCGTCTGGAAAGCTTCCCTCGAGCGGCGCGCCGCTTCCAGTAAGAATTCAACAGTTCTTTTACAAAACAGAAGAGGACGTCCGCCTTTAAAAAAAATACCAAGTTTGAGAAGATACATCGGATTGTTAGCCTGGTTTCCTCTGGGTGGTGGGATTGTAATCTTTTTGTGCGTTTCTGTACTTTGCATCTTTTCTGTAGCGTGTAATTTTAAAATAAAAAAAAAGTTTCTTTTTTCAAATTTCTTCTGTATATTTTCTCGAGTCTGCCCCCTAATGTAACTGACTTTACTGGTTTGTCTCCTTGTCACCTTCTCTGGTGTCTCTATTTCCATCACCAAGGACAAGACCTGGCACACAATGTACATTCTTTAATTAATTACATCCGGAAATTAGCTGAATTAATTACCTGCCCTACCTACCTTGTTGTTAGTTGCCGTAGAGTCCAGTCAGCTCCAATTCGTGGCAAACATGTATAAAAAACCCATTGCCGTCAAGTCGATTCCGACTCATAACTGATGTATAAGGAACAAAAAATTGCCTGGTCCTGTGCCATCTTCCTGATCGTGGGTAGTCTACCCTACAGGGATTTAATGAAACTGTCCTTTCTTGGGCCATCTCCTCCATTCCCAGAGATAATGGCTCCCACATCCCTGTCTCCAGCCCAGTCCAGTGTTCTGAGCCAATTCACACATTCAACCTCCCAGGGGACATCTAGTTGGAGGTCCCAAAGGTATCAAATTAGACACGTATGAAATTCTAGTTGTCTTCATTTTAAAAAATGTGCTCCTTCTCTTGGGCTGTGTTTTTGTTCATGGCACCTCTATTCACCCATGAGTCAGGCCATCACCTTTGACTGCTTTCCCTTCTCTCTGAATCTAATCCTACAAGTCTCATCAATTCTATTTCTGATGTAACCTTCAAACCCACCCCCTCTTCATTCTTACTGCTTCTATCCTATTTCAGGTTCTCCTGTCTCTCACTTTGAGAAGACTCTGGTTTCCCTGCCTCTAGCCCAATCCCTCTCTAAATTCTTTTCCATGTTGCTCTTGTCATGAATCTTGTGAAATGCAAAACTGACCCCCAAATGAAAGCTCTGTAATGGTTTCTCCTTACTTTCAGAAGAAAGTCCAATCTCCTACACATGGTAGAAGATTTTTAATCTGTCACAAACTTACTGCTCCAACCCCATTTCTTTCCCCTTTGCACTCACTATGCACCTATGTACACTCTTCATCAAACTGCATTTTCCAAATACACTGGGCTGTCTCACATTTTGTACTTTGAAGATACTGGATGATCCCTCTGTCCTTCTATGCCTCCTGGGCTTGACTTTTTCTCAGCTTTCATGGCTCATCTGATCATCGCTTCCATGAAGCCCTTCTGATTCAGCCCAGGCAAAGTCATGGGTCTCTTCTCTGGGCTCCTCAGCATCCTAGTCTGAAACACATGGGGTCGCTATTAGTGGGAATCGACTCGATGCCAACTAGTTTGGGTTTTGGTTAGCATGTGCCATAGATTGTGACTCATGTCTAAGGGAGAGAAGGTCTCTGTCCTCATGGAGCTTACATTCTAGTGGTAGAGAAACTAGAGGCCTACGGTCAGAACAGATTAACCCTGGAAAAACAGGAATTATAACACCTACCCCCGGAAAACTAAAGGAGATGATCTACGAAAGCACCAAGTTTGAGTTTAACACATAGTAGGAGCTCAACACACGTATATGTCTATTTCTCTCCAGCTGGTTGGAAAATAGCATTGTCTTCCAGTTTTTTTTTTTTCTTTTTGAGAGTTTCAAGTATTTTTGAGCCCTAACAAATAAAGGGAGCAGGGTAAAATGAACGAAAGTGAGGCAAGTTACAAAGTTGTGACGAATCCTAAGCTCTCACGATAGCAGTTTTCCCCCCAGGTGTTCAACGAAAAGAGATCCTATTGTGTTGGTGTTCAGTCTTTCTAGAAACTCATTTAACAAAATGAATCAATAGCCTGAACAGTGCTCATTGTCCTTTACCCAACACTGTAATTCTAATTTTGAAGTTTACGTTAAGAAAATAATCAAAAATGAGTACAAAGATTTATGTGCTTATACAAGGATGTTCATCATAGCAAAAAATTGGGAAAATTTATATTGCTGGGAATGGAGGATTAATTAAGTAAATCATGTCACATCTATGAGACAGAATTTGTTCATTTATTATTAAAATAAAGTACAATCCCTGGAGTCCACTTTATAAATTTGAGAAATAATTATAGATAACATCTTATAAATTATTGCTTTTAAATTTATAATCAATAAACATTTATTGTGCACCTATACACTAGGCACTGTTCTAGTCACTGGGGACACAAGTGAGTGTGAATAAGACAGACAAGTTCTCACTCTTATGGAGCTCATGTTTTAGAGGGAGGAACAGAATTTAATAAACAAATAAACATGCTAATGTTAAACATAAGTGCTATGTAGAATGCAGATTACAATGCTAACGAGATTGTGGGGCAGGAAAATGAATCAGCTTGAATGGTCAGGAAAGATCTCCCTGAGCAGGTGACATTCGAGCTGAGACCTGAGTAACAGGAGAGAGCTGGCCATGCAACCTGGGGGAGGAGAATTCCAGGCAGAGGGACCAGCAAGGGCAAAGTCTTAAGGCAGATAACAATACCTCCCTAATACAGTTTGTAAAGAGTTTGAGAAGTAGAAGGACCACATGGCCGAAGCAGAGGAAGCCAGGTGTGTGTGGAGATGAGATCAGAGAGGTCTGCAGGGGCCAGACAGGTTAGGGACCAGGTAGGTCAGCGGAGTCCCTGGGTGGTGCAAACAGTTAATGCACTTGGTTGCTATCCAAAAGGTTGGAGGTTCAAATCTACCTTGAGATGTCTCCAAAGAAAGGCCTGGCGATCTATTTCCAAAAATCAGCCATTGAAACCCCTGTGGAGCACAGTTCTACCTGTCACAATGAGTCAGAGTCAACTTGATGGCAAATAGAGGTCGGTGTAGGATTTTAGATTATTCCAAGGGTGATGGAAAGGCACTGGAAAATTTCAAGCAGGAGAGTACTGGGATTTGGTTTATAATTTAAAAGATCACTGGCTGTGTAGCAATTGGTTTACTCAGGAACACGACTGAAAACCCATCAGGAGGCTGTGGCAGTTCTGCAGGGAGAGACTATGGTGGCAGTGTAAATAGAGAGAATGACAGATTCAGATAGATTCTTGGAGGTAGAGCTTCTAATACTTACTGATGGATTGAATATTGGAGGGGAGGAAAGGGAGAAATCAAGAGTGAGTTGTAGGTTTTTGGCTTGAGCAAATAGGTCGTCATAGTAATATTGAAATTGGAAAAACTAGGGAAAGAACAGCTTGGGGGTGGAATTAAGAGCTCCAAGGGGTTACATTCAGTTTGAGAATGAATATAGGCTGTGGAGGCAGACTGTTCAAGTTCCAGTCTTATTCTAGACTGCTATATGATTTTGGACAGGTTATCTAAGCCTTTTGCCTCAGTTTCTTCTTCTGTAGAGTGGCTGTAATAATATAGCCTACCTTATGAGGTTGTTGTGAAGATTAAGGTAGTTATATATAAATAGAATAATGCCTCCATTTTTATTCACTCAACAAGTAATTATTGAGCACTTTGATGCACTAAATTCAAAAGATATAGCAGAGAAGAAAGCAGACAAAAATCCCTGCTCTCATGGAGTTCATATCATAGTTGAGAGGGGGAGACACAATAAACAAATTTGTAATTAAAATATTTAGTATGTTAGATGGGAATAAGTGCTATGGAGAATATTTAAGCAAAGAACTAAGGAGGGTAGTGGGTTGCAATTTAAAATAGGGTGGCCAGGAAAGCCCTCATTAAGATAACGATAAGGAGTCACTGAGTGGCACAAATGGTTAAGTACTTGACCACAAGCCGAAAGATTGGCGATTTGAACCCACGCAGAGGTGCCTCAAAAGACAGACCTGGCAAGCTGCTTCTGAAAGGTTACAGCCTTGAAAACCCTATGGAGCAGTTCTACTTTGCACATATGGGGTCGCCATGAGTTGGAATCGACTTGATGGCAACTAACAACAACAACAACAAAGATAGGGAATTTGAAGGAAGACCTCAAAGGAGGAGAGGGAGCCAGCCTCATGGATATCTGGAGGAAAAGCCTGTTAAGCAGGGGAAACAGCACGTCCAAAGGCCCTGAGGTGGAAGTTTCAAGGAACACCTGGAAGGTTCAAGGAACACCAAGAAGGGTGGAGCAGAATGACTGCAGAGGTGAGATCAGAGGAGCAGGGTCCACCCTGCAGGGCTCAAGGGAGGACTATGGTTTTGATTCTGACTGAGATAAGTAGCCACTGGGGGGTGTGAGCAGGTCAGTGACATGATCTGACTGACATTTAAAAACATCACTGTGCCTGCCAAGCTGAGGATAGACTGGGCAGGGGGAGGTGAAGTGAAAAAGCTCATACTTTAAGTCAAGGGAGAGAGGATGGTGGCTTGGACTAGGATGGGGCAGAACAAACTGAGAAAATTAGACAAAAAAGAAATAATATGAGATTCTATAGGAGAATTCTGATCAAAAGGGGGAAAATGTAGAACAGAATTTAAAATTTTCATGGAGTCTAGATATTCTGGAGCCATGGAGGCTGGATGAACCCTTGAAACTATTGCCCTGAGATAATCTTTAAACCTTAAATCTTAAACCAAAAATATCCCCTGAAGTCTTCTTAAAATCAAACAATAGTTTAGCATAACTACTAAAGAATGTCTGCCTTGAGCATTGTGCTCTTTTAAGATCTATCTGTATGGGATCAAATTGACAACAACTCAAAAAATTAGGAAATGTAGGGGGCAGTGAGTTATGTTAATAGGGAAGGAACAAATGGGAAAAAGAGGGTGATAATGGCTGCATAACTTGAAGAATGTAATCAATGTCACTGAATTGTACATGTAGAAATTTTTGAATTGGTGTATGTTCTGCTGTGTATATTCTCAACAACAACAACAAAAATACAATAAATTATTAAAAATTTTTAAAAAAGAAATAATACAAAGAACTAAATATATAGAATGTTGGATGGTAATTTGTGCTACGGAGAAAAATAAAGCACAGAAGGGGGACAGGGAGTGTGGAGGGTATTGCAAGTTTAAACTTTGAGATGGTGACACTGAAGCAAAGACTTAAATGAGACGAAGGAACAAGCTGTAGAGACATCATGGGGGAAGAACTCAGGCTGAGGACATAGCCAAGCTGAGACCCAGAAGCAGGAGCATGCCTGGCTGGCACTGGCCAAGGAAGCAAGGGGCCGGGGGCCTAGAATGGACTGACCCTGGGGGACAGAAATAGGTGAGGTCGGAGGTAACAGGCCATTGTGAAGACTTTGGCTTTGGGGGAAGACAGTAGAAGGTTTGAGCAGAGGATTGAGAAGATCAGATTTATCTGATCACTCTGACTGCTGTGTGAAGAACAGACTATGAAAGGGCAAAGAGGGAAGCAGGGAGAATGATGAGGAAGCAGTTGAAATAATCTGGTTGAGAAATGACAGCTGCTCTGGCAGGGACGTCGAGGTAGAGGCAATGTAGGTAGATGGTCAGATTCTCGACACGTACATATGGAAGACAGAGCCACCAAGATTTGCTGGCAGATTGGATGTGGGATGTGAGAGAAAGCAAGAGTCAAGGATGACACCACACAAGTTGAGACCACACAACTAAAAAGATGGAGTTGCTATTTACTGAGATGGGAGAGGCTGCAGGAGGACATACTGGAGGAAGGTCAGGAATTGGATTCTGGACATGTTACACTGGGGCTGGGGTGTCTATTAGACGTCCAGTAGAGATGCTGAGAAGGCAGATATACAAGTTTGAAGTTCAAGGAAAAAGCAGGGCTAATGGCACAGTTAAGTGCTTGGCTGCTAACAGAAAGGTTGGCTGTTGGAGTCCATCCAGATGCATCCTGGGAGAAAGGCCTGGGGATCTACTTCTGAAAAATCAGCCACTGAAAACGCTATGGAACAGAGTTCTACCTGGACACACACGGGGTCACCATGATCGGAACTGACTTGACAGCAACTGTTTTTGTTTTCTTTTGTTCTGTGTTTTGGAGATATAATTAATTCTGGGAGCCAGTGGTCCTTAAAACCCTGTGACTGGATGAGATAACAGGCAGAGTGAGGTGGGGTAAGAGAGCAAGCCTGTGGCGTAACCACACAGCACTCTGAGGCTAAGCAAAGGAGGAGGTGCCAGCCAAGGAGATTCAGAAGGGTGAGATCTGAGGAGAACCAGGCGAGAGGTGGCCTGGAAGCCAAGGCTATTATCCAGTCATTAAAAATCATGTTTTCAAAGAATATTTAATGTTGTAGGAAAATGCTCACCATAGGTGAAGTAGGGGAAAATCAGCATATGAATCATAATGTTAACAGTTATTTTCTCTAAATGGTGGTGGTGGAGGGTTATTTTTACTTTTTTCTTTGCAATTGTTTATATTTTCTTTATTTTCAACACTGAAGATGCATTACTTTTATAAAAAAACAAAAACTTATACACGAATATTTGAAAATAAATAGTGGAAGTTGGCTTTTGCTGTTCAGAGAGTACTTCAGCCTGTCTCTGCCTTGACCACGTGCCTATGAAAGGGAATTTAGATCCTTCTCTCCCATGGTGGATGCTGTGGAAGGACAGCATTCCTCCCCACCCCAGGGGGCTTCAAGAGGGCTTTGGTCAACAGCAGCACCCTGGGGTGGGGGTGCTGGTCAGGTAAAAATTGAAGGCTGCTGGGGTGGGGGGTTCCTGTGGCAGATGACAGCACTGAGAAGTTATTGATCTGTCAATGAAGTTGAACTTTAAAATTGACTACTAATCATAGTAATGATAAAATGTATAAAGAACTTAAAATTATTTAGCAAAATTTTAGATTAAAAAAATTGGATGCTGTGCTGATGCTAAAGTTGGCCCTATCTCAGGACCTGCTGAGCCAATACCATCTGAACCTGCCAGCCATGCCAGGGGTGCCACAAATGCCATGTCCATCCTGTGGGCTCACACTCCTTGGCCTTTCATGGACTGACAGATGGACAGAAGAGCAGCTTCATGAAAAAAGTTTATTAGGCCACCAACAGCAAGTGAAGATCGGCTCCCTCCCCAGGTACAAGGGCCTCCCCACTTGAGCCCCTGCGGAGCCACTCTGCAGGGGGCCCCTGCTTTGGGGCAATGTCCTTGCTCATCTGAATCCAGTCCCATTGCTCCTGGCCCAGAGCTAAGCCCCACCTCGAGATGCCATAGGGATGGTCTCCCCAGAGTGACTGTCGCCTCCAGTGTCTGAGAAGCCCCTGCCTCCAGAGGCCGGGGCCACATCCACCTGGATGACACCGTGCACCTGGGAGATCTGTGGGCTGTCCAAGCTGGCGATGAGCTGGCGGGGGCCTGGCCGCACAGGCACAAACGTCTGGCGCAGTGTCACCGTCTCGTTGCCCCCGATGTCCCTGAGGGCAGAGACAGTGTTATGGGTCTGTGGTGACTGGAGTAGGGAGGTAAGGAAGGATTGGTGGTAGTCGGAAAAGAAGGAGCAGGAGGTGGAGTCACAGAGGCATTTCTGGGTTCAGCTGGAATCTCCACATCGACAACCAGGACAAAGACTGAGCCCAGACCGCACAGCCAGATAGGGAGACACCCACCTGATTTCCACCTGAGCTGGAAATCTTTCCATCATCAGGGATCCTCCCTCCCTGCTCCCATTCCACCTGCACAAAGACTGTGGACGTCACCCCAGAGGTCCCCCACTCTACCTCACTGCTCCTGCCCAGCCAGAGCCTCCCCCACCTCACCTGGGGATTGCTAAGACAAAGAAAACTTCAAAACAAGACCTTGGGGCCCAACACAGTATTGCCAAGTTCTGTCAGTTTTTCCAAGAAAGAAAGTTTAAGAAAATTAATTATCCTCTACTATGATCATCTTTCCAAAGAAGAGCATTTTAATGCACCAAAATATTTGAAGGATATTATCTCAGAAAAAAAGGAAAGCCCTTCCCAAGAACAGATATTTGGCAACTGTAACAGTGTGTATGTATGTAAGTGAGAGAGAGAGACAGAGGGACAGAGAGAGCCTCATGTGTATGTATACACACACACACACACACACACGCACGCACACACACTACAACATCTTTATTTCCCTCCTTTTCGTGAACCTCTAAAAGTCCATTCCCAAAAGCATCCCTCTGGGAATCACAATTTCACCAGACTTTAACTGGCCTCCTTGACTCCAATCTCATTTTTCCAATCTATTCTCCTAACCACTCAGAGGTGAACTAAATCTTTCAAGGTCTTGGCTTCCTTGGTGTTTCTGAGATGAAGTCCCAGCTCCCTAACCTGCCACACAGGCTTGCTCTGACTCAGCCTGCCTACCTGAACAGCCTCATCATCTCCCACCATTCCTCCTGCCTCCAGCCCCACTGAACTGCTTCCCCTTTCCCTCACTCACCTCCATGTTCATCCCTTGCAGTCTTTGCGTTCCATGGAATGAGCCCCAGTGCTCCCTCACCACCTTGGGCTGTCCCGTGAATGCCTAGTTGTCCACCAAGGTCCAGCTCCCACCACTTCCTCAGTGAGGGCTCTCTTGAGCACCCTTCCCTCAGGAAAATAAATCCTGCCCCTCCTCAAGCTCCTCCAGCAATCTGCACTTGTGCTTTATAGACTGAACATGATTGCATTTATACTGAAAATGCTCTTACCTGTTAAAATCTGTCCTTTCCTGTCTCTGCCTAAACCCTCACCTCCAGCTGCTTACTTGACCCAAACCTACCTTGCGGACCCTCTCTGGTGCCAGACCCCAGGCAGATACCACAGCCCTCCAAGGGAGTGAGCAACAGCTTAACTCCAGGACCAGCTTTCCTTTGGGCTAGGCATCTGGCTCAGAGCTGGCTTCCCTGGACTGCTCTGTATTCCTTTCTCAACTACCTGTTAGCTGTGCGGTTTAGGACAAATTGCTTAACTTCTCTGGTCCTTGCTTTCTGGCCCATAAAATGGAAATGAATGTAAAATGAGGGGGTGGGACCAGATGGTCTTGAAGATGCCTTTGAACTCCATGAAGGAGGGAAGCAGAGGTTAATGGGAACCTGGTGTCCTAAAATATAATATATCATGATAGGAAGTCTATAAATTAAGACAATAACTTAACATATGTGTTATGTTCTGACTGGTTATAATCCGTGTTTTTAATTAGTGCACATGTTTCCATAACCCTATGAGGCAGTTCTACTCTGTCCTATAGGGTCACTATGAGTGAGAATCGACTTGACAGCAACAAGTTTTACATGTTTCCACAGATACAATGTTAAAGGTTGTGTAGTCCCAGGTCAGCCTTCAAAAGTCTATTGAAACCATATAATAGAACTACAATATTTTATGGCGTCCCTGGATGGCACAAATAGTTAAGTACTCAACTACTAGCTCAAAGGTTTGTGCTTTGAACCCAACCAGAGGCTCCTTAGGAGACAGGCCTGGTGATCTGCTTCCAAATGGTCACAGCCTTGAAAACTCTATGGAGCAATTCTACTTGGCACCCATAGGGTCATCACGAGTTTGAATTTACTTGACGGCAACTAACAACAACCTTTAATTATAACATCATTCTAAGAGAAACTGCTTTCCAGGTTCCAACTGGAAATGTCAAGATCTCTCTCTGCTCTTGTCTTAGCGTCAGGTGAGGCCTTTGCCACATACCTGTTTGTGAGTTTAAGATGAGTACAAGTTAGCTGTTATAAGCTGGAGCCTGTCTTTAACTGAGTGTAGGTAATGAAACCAGCTCTCAGAGAAGGGCACCAGAATTTAGGCATCCAAATGAACACTGTCCTTTAATTTTGCACGTGTTCCACCTATGTTGCCGGTGTTTGAAACATTTTTTAGAACTCCTCTTGAATTTTTCTTTGGAGTAATTTAAAACAGATAACACACACACACACACACACACACACACACGCACTTATGTCCACATGCACACACACACACTCATAGACCAGACAGTCTGTTCCTCCTTTACAGCCGTGCCTCAATTTTTGACCGAAAAATGCTATTACTCAACTTGCTCGCTTACCTTAGTAATTAGTCTTAGTTCTAAATGACTTCAGGCTGTTTCCCCAAGGTCAAATGTACCCCTCGAGGAGGGAGATTGGCCCCTCTTAGGACATTCTAAAGAGTATGATTCAGGCTCTGGGGGAAATTCCGGAGAAGAGTTTGGAACAGACTTCCAGCTTCCCACGGTGGCTGCTTTGGTGGTGACAACAGTCATCTGGACAAGTAAGTTCTGGAATGTTTATTAAATGGCCAGTCACCACGCTTGGGCGCCACGCCTTGTGGTACAATGGGGTTCCATACCACAGCCTTTGATGTGCAAACGAGAGTCAAAGTATCACCCATCTTGGAATCTAACATACCTGAACCAACAGCTCAAGGATGTCCCCCACAATGATGCTCTCAACTGTCCCGGAGGCCCCGGCCCAGGCTCACAGCAACCAAGGAGCCACAGAACATCAAAGCAGGCCTTGCCTTGAGAAACCATCATCCAACCCTCTCATTTATGACCTTCAAATGGGAAAGGCTCGTGCGAGCCCACAGCTGGGGAGGGGGTCCAGCTCTCCTGATGCTCAGCGCAGTGGTCCTTTCCTGATTCCCAAGCAAGGGCAAGAGTCAAAGGCCTGGCGGAGGTTGGTGAGGGGAGTCCAGCTCGCCAGAATGGGGCAGGGGGGACCCCCATCATGGTGGGTGCTGAGAGATTCCTTCAGGGGAAGGCCAGCAGGGCAGCCACCTGGGAGTCTCATTGACACTCTCCAAGACCCTTGTAGGGTGGCACAATGGATCATATACTCCCCAGGGACTCAGGGTGGGGCAAAGTATCAAGATAGCAATCCTCACAGCCTCGGTCTGATGGTCAAAGAGGAGGCTACCCCAGAGAGAGCCTGATGTATGTGGGGATGGGCAGGTGGTCAGTGGTCCTCTGTTTCTCCTCCCCATACCCGTTCCATAGGCCACAGCTTTCCCTCGGGTGCCCTCTGCCTAAAGAGGAAAATGCCTGTCCCTGTCCCCAGGAAGCTGTTCTGAAAGTCAGCCTCTGGCTTTCCCTACTTTCCTTCTGTGCTTTACCTGGGTAGGGACATAGTGGCATGTGTGAGTCTATGTCAGAGATGACAGCCACTGGCTGCAGGCCCAGGGGCACAAGCACTGTGTGTGCCCTCACTGCGCACTGGGCCTTACCTAATCTGGGGCCAGGCCCAGGTGGGTTGGGTGAACGGTAAGGCATGGAGCCCTGTCCTCTGGAACTGCCACTTGGCCCTCAGGGCAAAGACCAAGCCAAGGGCTTGAGAGCCTGTGCATGGTCCAAGTCAAAGTGGGAAGAGCAGAGTCTGCCCCTCTGAGCTTCGAGAGCCAGTGAGACCCTAGCTATCAGCTTTCCCAACTATAAAGTGGGCATGATGATGGCGATAATAAAAATAACACCTACCAAGTGAGCGCTTACTTTGTGCCAAGCACTACGCTGAATCACTGAATGCTTTACGTGCATCATCCCATCTAATTCTCACAACCAACCCTAGGAGGCAAGTACTATTGTTACCCTCACTTTATAGATGAGAAAATGGAGGCTTAGAGAAGATAAGCCACTTGCCCAAGGGCACATAGCCAGTGCAGGATGGGGCTGGGAGTTGAACCCAGGTAGCTTTGCTACTAATCACACGATGATTTCTAATACACTTTAGAGGGTTTTTTTGATCTCCAGATGAGACAATGTTCCTGAACATGCCTTGTCAACTCTTGGTGCTGGGCAATGGTTAGTTAGTCTTTACACAGATTCCCATGTAAAGATGGCGAGGCAGGGCAGGGACACAGAGCACAGAACCAAGCATACAGCATGTCTCCTTAAACATGGCTGGACTGAACGGAGTCAGGAGGTAGTGCTGGCTGACTCCCAGCTGCCTTGTTGGATCCTGACGGAACAGACCTGTCCCGACTGAGAGAACAAGCAAAGCTGAGCTGAGAGGTAGGCGGGAGGAGAGGCCAGACTCACCCGACATTGAGGATCTTGGGTCTCTGTAACCCGGAGCCCTCGAGTCGGAAGACGACGTTGGTGAGGGTGACAGGCAGGGGGTTCCTGAAGACAATCTGTACTTCGCACTCCTGGCCAACCACTGCTGCTCCCAATAACTGAGAAGGAAAGAGGTCCACCCCCACATCAGGGACCCTCGCCAAACACATGGCGATCACACTCCAACCAGAGAGAGAAACTTAGTAGAATCAAAACCTTTCCCTGAGCCCCACATTTCTGCCCCTCAGAGAAGCCTTGGTCTGCTCCCCAAAAGCCAGAGAGGAAACTCCTCACTCGCCAAACAAGGTTACCACATACGAGATCCCATTTTACAGATGTGGAATCTGAGAGCCCAGAGGCAGGCCCCGACCTTCCTTGCCTGGAATAGCTCATCAGGCCATCCTGCTCCTGGCTTAGTACCCTCTCCCCTTCTCCTCTTATTTCCCTGACCACCACTCTCTGACTACCCCTCGCTCACCGTGAGGGAGAGGTCTGGGGTGCGGAGACGGAAGGTATGCTGCTTGGCCAGCACCTGCCCGCTCTCCTTGACGTGGCCTGAGACATTGAGCAGCATGGCCCCCTGGTCTACAAGATGGGACCGGTATTCCTGGTAGGCCACAGGCATGACGACACGTTCCGCTGGGGAAGAGACATAGCATCACCCAGGCCTGCTTCCTCAGACACAGCCTCCCCCAGGCTGCTCCCCACTGCTCCCGGGATCTCTATGTCCACAGTTGTGGGGTGCCGGCCATCCTGGGGCAGGGCTGGGTCAGGAGCACTTACAGGCCCCTGGTGCCAGCACCGCTTCCTTCTTGCTGTCCTTGAAGACAGGCCCGGTGACACCCGTGTAGAAGGTGACTGAGAGGTAGAGGTGCAGATTCACTGTGCGGTGGCTGCTGCCACGATTGCTCAGCACCACACAGACCGTCAGATCCTGCCCCATCACTGGGTCCTGTGTCTCCACCTGCACCACCACATCCTCAGCTGAGTTGCTCATGGCATACACGTTGGGTTTGCTGCCGTGGGCAGCTGCTGTCTCCACTGCCTTCCGCTCTGCCTCCGAGCCTAGGAGTTGAGAGTCAGGGTGAGGTTACAGTGACCACTGGGGGTGGGCTGACACTCAGAGGGAGTGATGGGAAGGAGTGCTCAGCTTGGGGCCCTGGGCTGAACAGGGTTGGGGAATAGTACCTTCCGGGTGCTTATAAAGGTGGGTAATGTCATCCCGCATGTTGGAGCCGATGGCCTTCGTAGTGATGAGCGTGCCTATGGCCTTCTCCTCCACGTACACAATCTTGAAGCTGCCGTCGTCCTGCCGCTGCCAGTATACCTTGTCACTGTTCACCTGTTGGGCATGAGTGGAGGGTTGTAAGCCAGAGAGTCTGGGGGCAGGCCTGACCCCTGGCTGCCTTCCCCGGACCCCAGGAGCTGCAGGGCATGGCTGAGTCCCTAGGCTAGGAGCTTCCTGGCAGACCCCAACAGGTGGATTTTCCAAGCTGAGCCAGACGAGTCAGGCAGAGCAGGGAAGAAGCTGGTCTGGGAGGCTCCTTGCAGTGCATTTTGGCATTAATAACAGTAATCCCTTATGCTCATTCACTGGCTTTATGACTTATAAAGCAGTTTCATACCCATTGTATCTTTTGATCCTGAGTACAGGAAGCATGGCAGCCTTTTACAGTTGAGGAAACTTAGACTCATAGAATGAGTGACTTGGCCAAGGTCACGCAGCTAGTCAGTCAGTGGGGAAGTCAGGACCAGAGCACCTAGGACCAAGGCCGGCGCTTTGGCCACTCCAGATGGGCCAGAAAGGCACCTGGGGCACAGCCTTTACCTCAGCAAAAATGAAGGATGTGTCGTACTTCATATAGACCAGGCCATTCTTGATGGACTCCACAGAGCAGGGGCCACAGCAGAAGATGCCTAGGGGAGTGAGGGCAGGGCAGGCCAAGAGGGACCCTTAGATCCTGGGCAGAGGCCCACATGGGGCCCTAACCCTACCCACTAGGCACAGTGCCCACTGCCTGGTGGCCTCTGGAACAAGCCCAGCAGTTCTCACCCAAACAGTTGGGGTCAGCTGCCACCCAGTCCAACCCAGGGAGGGAAAACAAAGAAGAGAACAGGTCTGTTTGGCTCTTACTTGGCTTTCCTCAGCCTAGGCTGCTCTGCTGGGGGCTGGGGTGGGTGCAAACGTGTGACAGTAGAGAGAACACAGTTGGCTGCGGAGCTGAGTGACAAGCCTGCCTTGATAATCAAGTCATTGACACACTCTTCCTAGACAGGCTAGGGCTGGATGTCTATTATCTGTGGTCCCCAGAGCACAGGACCCCCATTCCTTCAGGACCAACCCCACGCCTACCGTGGTTCTGCTTGCTGACTGCGAGTGCACTGATACCACTACCACCACTCCAGAAAGATCCAGAACAACCCCTCAGCTCTGCAGCCGTGTCCTGTCTACTAGAGGGTGGGAGGGGATCTAGTGGTAAATAGAATCTTTCCTTATTGTACTCAGAGGGCTTCCTAGAGGAGGTGGGCTAGCAGGGAGGGTAGGTTTGGCAGAAGAGAAAACAATAAAAAGTTAGGACCATTCAGCAGAAAAATATCTTAGACATCACCTGGTCCCATGCCCTTTTTACAGATGAGAAAACTGAGCCTCAGTGAGGTGAAGTAGATGCCAGAATCTCACAGAACAGTTGGATACAGAGAGAATGGAAGGAGCTAACAATTACTGAATTTTATCTTCTATGTTCCAGGTATGCTGCTGGGTTCTTGGCTATATAATTTCTCACTTAATCCTCCCAAACCAACCAGAAATGAGAAAACTGAGGCTACATACCTATATGGTATATTGTTGTTAGTTGCCATCAACTTAATTCCAACTCATGGTAACCCCAAGTGTGCAGAGCAGAATTGCTCCATAGGATTTTCAAGGCTGTGACCTTTCAGAAGCAGATCGCCAGGCCTATCTTCCAAGGCTCCTCTGGGTGGTTTCAAATTGCCAACCTTTAGGTTAGCAGCTGAGCACTTAACCATTTACCTCACCCAGGGACTCCATGTGGCATATAATCAGCCCCATATTACACACAAGGGCACCAAAGCCCAAAGGGACAAAGTACTGGCCCTAGATCATGCATCTAAGAAGTGACCAGGCTGGAATCAAGCCCATCTGGCCAGTGCCATACCCCCTGCCTTCCGCCTGCCCACCACTTCCCAGGGTGGCGGTCAGAAGTCAGGTCTCCAGTGTCCTGGGCCAGGTTGTTCCAGCACTGCATACATGGCTGGGCTGCAGAACCAGGGGACACTGTTACACAGGTGATTGAGAGGGAGGGGTCTGGCCAGAGACCAGAGGAGGAATGCAGGCTAGGCGAGGGAGACATGCCGTGACCCAGGCTGAGGAGGGAAGAGCAGGAATGAAGGTAGCAGCAGGCTGGGATGCCTGGAGCTGGAGTTTCAAGGTGGGAAGGGGGTGGGAAAACTGTTTGAAGACAAAGCATACAGGTTTCATTTTTGCAGAAACATGTCTATGTGGATCCAGAAAAGAGACTGGTAGGTTATGTCAACAGTAATTATATCTTAGGGCTGGGTTATAGAGGCAGTTTTCTTCTTTGAACCTGAGCCTGTGGTTTTGCTATCCTGTACATGTAACTCAGTGTGAGCAATGGACAGTCAGAAGAAGAACTTGGTGAAAGTGAGAGTGAGTGTGGAAAAGCTTGACGGTCAGGAAACTGGATTCGCTCTGCTGCTGACCTGCTGCTCTGGGCTCCAGAGAAAGTCACGTCACCTCTCTAGGGCTCAGTTTCCCATGTGTCCTACAAGGGGCTTGGAATGGTTTCCAAACCTGGCTGATCTTCAGCGTCAACAAGAGAACTTTCAGAAACATAGATCCCTAGAATCTGCCCCATGAAAGTCTGATGCAACAGGTCTGGGGTGGGATCTAGAAATTTGCTTTAAAAAGAAAACAGGACAAAAAAAAATCCCAAACCTCCCGATAAATAACAAGGAAAGTTTGCATTTTGTGTTATTCAATTCCATACTTTTTTTTCTGCTAAGCATGTATTATTTATAATAATGGCTGTTTTAACTTTAAAAATATATATCTAAGTAAAAGGTCTTTCAATTAATTATCTCCAGGATATATAATAAGCAAGTAAGAACAGTGGATCTGTGGGGGAATGAAACCATTCACTGAATACTCTTGAATCTTTTGAATTTTGAACCATATATGTACATTAACCATTATAAATAAATAAAACTTAGGCCAACAGATAGTTACATAAAAAGGTGAACATAAACTAACAGCCTTACAGGTGATTCAGGTGATAAGTCAGTTTTAGGAACCAAACCAAAAAAAACCAAACCCATTGCTGTGGAGTTGATTCTGACTCATGGTGACCCCGTATGTTGCAGAGTAGAACTCCATAGGGTTTTCTTGGCTGTAATCTTTCTGGAAGCAGATTGCCAGGCCTTTCTTCCGCAGTGTTGCTGGGTGGGTTCGAACCATATGGGGTTAAAGGACTTGGCTCTAAGTCCAGTTTAATGCTGACACTCTGGAGTGTGTTATCAGGTGGGGGAGGGAGAGGGTCAATTTGGGGTGCAGGGGCCAGGCCTCACCACTGCTGGTCTCCTGGGGTGTGGCATCCACCACCTGCCACCCATCGAAGCCTGAGGGCAAATCTGGCCTCTTCATCCAGCAGTCATTCCACACATGAAAGTTCCTGGGATGGATGCCAAGGGAGTGCTGCGTCTGAGCATCCCGTCCAAGTCCTCCCAGCCCACCCTGCCCCTGCTTGTCCCTCACCACCAGCCCTCGGGTCACTCATCCTCACTAGGCATGGGCAGTCCAGCACCAGCCCAGCCTCACCAAACAGAATCATGATTCAGGTGCTCAAGTGGCTTCATGTTCTCATCAAAGTAGATGTCCATGGTGAGGGACGTGTCTGTGTCGTGTGCAGAATTGAAGTTGGTAACAGTCCGAGTGGCCAGGCCCAGGCAGCGCAGCACTGCATAGGAGCCGGGGGCAGGGGTCAGGACCAGTGTCAGGGCAGGAGTAGGGGGCAGGGGAGGCATCAGGTCAGGAATATCAGGTAAAAAGTTAACTGGGATTGTCAAGCTGGGCTTGGACCACCAGGGTCAGGGGTCACCAGGGTCAGGAGGCCTTCTGGGTCAGAGAGTGCTGGGGTTAGGGGAAGCCAGGCTTCCTGCTGGCTCAGTCCCTTCCTGTCCCTTCTCCCTCCTCTCCCTGAGGCCTCTTCCTGTTGTTAACACTAATTCATGATAATTAAGGCCAGCCTACATCTATCCTCCCACTCCTCCACCCCACCACCCTGGCCTCCCCGCACTGTAGCCACGGCTGGGCCAGGCTGGGCAAGGGTGGAGCCTGGCTTCCCTCCCTCTCCTTGTCAGCCAGGCCACTCCTGTCCTGGTCGCTTCACTACCTGTGGTGGTCACGCCAGCAAAAACCCAGCACTGGCCATAGGGGACGGAATAGCCAGTGCGTAGGTAGCTGAGTAGGATTTCCACGCTGCCCACCCACGCTGATGGGTTGGTGCCTTGGGAGTATTCGCCAGACCAGTTCCCAATCAGGACGCCATTGTCATCCAGGGAGTTTACCTGCCCAGGAGAGGAGGGGCGTGTTGGGGAAAGATTAGGTCCAGTCATGTCCAGTCCAGCCCAGCCCCTGACTGTGTAGCCACCCCTAAATGCCTCAGGATCTGGACATCAACCAGAGCCCCACCTACCCTCTATTGAGCCATCTACCCCCACCCTCCCATCCCTGGTCTGACACAGGAATGTGATTCTGGGGTGTGCCAAGTGTGGAGTTTGGCCCTGCATTCCACAGGAGCTAGGAAAGGAGCCAGGAAGGGGGGACCTGGGGCAGGCAAGAGAGGGAAGAGGAGGTGTGATACCCCTTCTCCCAATATCCTTTGCAAGGTCAGGGACAGGGCTGGGGGTCTTGGAGGACTCCAGAAAGGGCAGGGTGGCAGCAGGCAGACACAGTAGAGCTCAGAGACACAAGAGTGCTCACCATGGCGGAGACGACCCGGGAGACACTGATTGGATCCCCGCGGCCCCCATACGGCATCCCCCGCCGGTCCAGGATGTACAGACAGGCGTCCAGCACCCCATGGTCAAACTGAACAGAGGGAGGGCACATGTGACTATGGCCCGCTGTGGCCAAGCTCGAATTCCAGGCCAGCACCTTGCTCCCCTTCCCCCTGCACCCCTGCCTCTAGTGCTCCTGCATGCAGGGGCCAGGGGTTCCTGACCAGTACCTGGCCGTAGTTCCAGGTGCGCTCTCCAATCTGCGCTTCAGTCCCGTAGTAAATTCTCCCAGACTCATTAAGCACATACTCCTGCCTCCAGTCCTCGCGGTCCACGTACACGATGTCCTCTGTGCCACCAGAACACACGAGCTTGGCTCCCTTCAACTCTCTCCCTGGGCCCCACCAGCTCCTGGGCCAGTTTTGCAGGACTCAAAGTCCACAGAGAGAGGGAGAGGAAGCCCCTAGCCTGAGGGACTGCTCCCAGGAAGGATGGAGAGTGGTCATAACCAGGGCTCTTCACCAGGAGAGGTGAAGCTGTGTGACCTTGGGCTGGTCACCTTTCTACACTGAAACTAGGTCTCCTCACCAGGACAAGGGGAGGCTGGCTTCTCCTAGGGCAAGGCACTCAAGTGCCCAGCCTGATCCTGGGGAAGGATACCCTGCCCTGCTCTGCTGTCCCCTCTACCCCTGCTTCTGACTTCAGCAAGCTTACCTGGGCACCAGGGGTTGAAGAGGATGTAGATCTCGTTGCGGGGGTCAAAGGGCAATTGGAACTCTCCGGCGTCTGAGCGTGTGCGTACCGTGAATTGAAACTTGCCGATGATGGAGTTGGGGGAGGTGTGGACCCGCAGGTTCAGATTCTGCCCATTGGCCTTGGTCACCTGGGCCTTCCAGCCCCCACTGCCCCCCTTACCCACCGGGATGATCACGTGGGTGCCCTTGCCCACTTCAGGGTTGTTGCCTAGAGTGGGGGAAGTAGCAATTAGCTGGTGAGGCCTCCCAGAGGAGAGGGGATGGAGTCTTAGACTTCTCCCAGCCCCACCCAGCATTGTGTATGAGCCAGTGTGTGTGTCCCTGAGTTGGGTCATCGCTTTAATCTGTGACAGTCTCTCTGAGAGCAGCTCTGTCCCCACCCGATGCACGCCGGCAGGTTGGGGCAGGGCCCAGTCCAACATCCCAAACCTGTTCCCCTGACACTGAGCTCAGAGGTGGGAAGGAGAGTTACCAGGGCCACTGTCACCCTCCTGCCTGCCTCACTGTCCCAGTGCCTGGGCTGGAGGAGCAGAGTCACCTGGCTGGGTTCAGGTCCCCCTGCCCATGTGAAAGGGCAGTCCGGGTGCTGACAGACAACCCTACCTGCTCCCTGGGGCTGCAGCCTCCAGGGCCCAGGGCATCCCTGCTGGAGGTGCTGGGGATATCTGGTAAATTAGAGGCTGGGGTGGGCAAGGTCAGGCCCTAATCAAAGGGTATGAGGAGTCTCCTGCCCTCGGCAGTGGCGTAATCACCAGCCTTAGCAGTCAATGGCCAGCCACCAAACAACGTAGTGAGGGAGACACATGCCCTGGGCCATGGGGACAGAGAGACAGAGACAGAGTTGAACAGAAAGAGTAGAGAGGGAGCCAGCTACACCCTGGAGAAAGACAGCAGACCTAGAAAGAAAGACACACAGAGCGACGCTGAAGGAGACATGCAGGCAGGCCAGTGAAGAGGAGATACTTGCAGAGAGATGGCTCTGGAAGCTTGAGGAAGGAGAGCTTGGGAACACAGTGACACCATGCCTCTTCCTGAGACACACACACCTAGGGACACACTTGCACCTCACTTACCTGGTAGCCTTGAGGAGTGGGGCAGGGGAGGAGCCTAAAGATGCCTCTTTGACCCTAATGCCAGGGCTGGGAAGCCCTGCTAGCCACCCCTCCACAGAATCTGGGGCCTTCACCCTTCCTGGCCCCTGGCATGCTGCAGGCCCCACTGACCAATGAGCAGCTCCAGGGCGATGTGATCCGAGGACTCATAGGGCCGGGACAGGAAGAGGACTATGTGGAAAGGCTGCCCACGACGCACAATCAGCTCGTCATACTCGAACTCGTCTGTATGATGCTCCTGGCGGTTCTGGTCTGAGTGTGAACTCAGCAAATTCACACCGGTCACCACCAGCATGCCCTCTGCAAGGCCACAGTTCCGGGTCAGCGAAGCCCCCTCATTAGCCTCCCAGCCCTCCAGAGACGTCAGAATGAGTCTCGGGCCCTATTAAGGTCCCTCAGCTCTCTGATAAGTTGGACAGGCCGGGCCTCACCTTGGATGGTGCCGTCTCCAGCTGTGTTCACACCTGTGCCTCGGGAGCCAGGCTGGCGGGAGTCTGAGCCTCGGGAGTCAGGTCTGTGACCCCCAGAGCTGGACCCTGGACCCCTGGAGCCAGACCCTCCGCCCCAGTCATCATCTGCATTCCGGCATGAGCAGCAGCCAAAGCAGCGAGCCCAAAAGGAGCTGCTGGAGTGCCTGGGATGTCTGTCTGGCTCCGGCTCTGGTTCTGGCGAAGGCGTGTCAGTGGGCTGCCAGGGGCTCCCACCCCATCGGCCCATGTCCGACCGAGGACCGTTCATCATTGTGCCTGTAAGGGAGAGGCAGGGGGCTCTGAGCACACTCCCAGAGAGTAAAGCCACCCGGAAACCTCCTTATCCCGGACACCCCATTCAGTCCAGCTCTATCCAGAGCTGATTCAGTCCCAGCCAGATGAGAAAATCTGATCTAGACCCACCCAGAGACCCTCCCCAAAGACCCCATTCAGACTCACCCAGAGAAGCTTCCCACTCTGCAGAGAGGAGCCTTCCCCTCCGCTCCTCACACTGATGCCCACCAAACCATGTCCAAAAACCAGACGCCCAATCGACAAACCCACTCAAGAACCCATCCCAGGAAACGTTCCGAGTCCCTTCGCAAGCGCCTGTCACAGCCTCAAGACCCAGTCAAGCAGACCAGAGTCCCCAGTGTACCTGTGCCAGCTCTGTGAGTCCTAAACAGTCCCTCTGTCTAGTGGTCCAAGCTTCTGGGACTGCCTATTTCTTAGCAGAGATCCCTCAAAGCTCCTCGCAAAAGGCCGTGGATGGCGTCGGGGTCTGGGTCTTTGGCACCCTCACGTCAGGTCAACCCGGCGCGGGTCCACCGGGAGGGGCGGGGTGCAGCAGGTGCCCGGAGCCTGTGCGGGTCTGGGGTGCCTCTTCTCGGGGTCAGGGAGCCCGCTGGGGCTGAACCCACCTGGCCAGGAGCCCCTCACCTGGTGGCTGCGTTGGTGGCAGCAGCGCTGAGTCCCGGAGCCGGGGTAGAAACAGGTCGGAACTGATGGGATGGGACTGGACCCACTAACAGGCTGGACGCCACCACGAATGCAAGGGGTGGGGCAGGCCGTCGATGATTTATGAGGGGGAAGGAGGAGTCGCGCTGCTGGGAAGAGGAAGCTTGCCACACGGGTGCGGTTCCAACCTCCCTACCCCTCACACACCCAGGAAGAGCTCCAGGGCCTCTGAGGGCTTTCAGGAGATAGGAACAGAAACTGGGACTGGCTTCCTCTCCCCCTTCGAGAAACTGGGATAATGCAGGGGTGGATGGAGCAGGAGCTACGGAGGGGGCTGGGCCGGGGTCTGTCAGAGCTGAGGCCAGGGTGAAAGTGGAGGGGCCTCAAACCAGTAGGATTCCTGCTAGACTGGCTGTGTGAGGAGCAGGGGAGAAGCCCTGAGCTCCATGGACAGGAGCCCCCTTCCATCCACACCACTGCCCAGAAGATCCTGTTACCCAGCTCAGGCTGTCTGGCTTGCTCTCACTGGCCCAACCGCTGGACTCCCCTATAGCCAAGCGAGGCGAGGCTCTGTGAAACTGGCCCATGGGCCTGCTCCTGGGACTTAGGGAAGTCCTGGGATCCCAACTGCAGACAGGTGACATCAGCAGCTAGGCCCACAGACTGGCTCCACCAGCCAGCCCCTGACCTGCCGGCTCTACCAGATCCTGATCCTCCACCCACCTGTCCCTTCTTCCTCCAGCTGCTCCACAGCCCCTAGCATGAGTGGGCTGCCCCTAGCTGCTCATGCCCCTCCAAGTTAGGGGAATAGGGAGTGTCAGAGTAGGATCAATCTCTTCTTTGTCCCCCTGGCCTGGGGATTTGAGGGAGACTTAGACCTTTGCTCTCTGGTTTAGGTGGAAGCTGAGGCCCCCTCCCCAGGCTGCAGAGTACCCCCTTCCCTCACTGAGAGAAGAGTCTGGTCAGCTGGAGTTGAGGAGTTTCCCTCTTCTTCACCCTAGAATTCCTCCTGGGAATCCTGACCAACTGGCTTTGGGCACCTGCCCTGTGAGCATCCCAACTCCACCCCTGCACTGGGGAGACACATGGATGCCACGGAGAGAACCCCAAGGCAGAGAGAAGCCAGGCATCTTCAGGGAGGCTCTCCTAGGAGTTCTTCAGGGGGATGGGGCCTCTTCCCTCCACCCCACTGGTGTCCCAACTCTGCCTACAGGCAAAAGACAGTGAAAACAGGGTTGGCAAGAAGAGACAAGGAAGCAGACTCGAGGAGAGGCTGAGTTTGGTGATGTATGAGGCAGGGAGGTGCCTTGGGAGGTGGGGACAGAGGCTCCAGCACCTGGCAGGCAGTCCTCCACACCCACACTGCCCTTTTCCTGTCCAACTCCAAGCCCCAGAACCTGGTGGGGGGGTCTGCCTCCACCCAAACACCCTCAGAGGACATACCACTGGAAATAAAAATTCCAGGCAAGTGAGGCAGGTCAGCCAAAGGGCTTTGTGGAGGGGCTGTTTGTACATCACTGTGGATATCGAAAGGGGCAGGGCCCTGAGTTATCTGATTAGCACGTGTGCCCAGGCAGATTCCCTAAGAAAGAGGAAAATACCTTCCTTACTTTCTCACCCTCGTGTTGATCAGTCTCTTTCCCCACCCAGTTAGGTCTGAGTCAGTGCCCTGACCCCTGAGCTGCTCCCAGGGCGGGATTAAGGCATGTAGGGCCCTAAACACTGGTAATCTGTGGTGCCCCCTCCTCTGCTTACTCACACATTCTATTGGGATATATGTTAACTATATTCCATTCTTTTCCATTGCCCTTGAGTCAATTCTGACTCATAGCAACCCGAAAGAACAGAGTAGAATTGCTCCATAGGGTTTCCAAGGCTGTAATCTTTACAGAAGCAGATTGCCACATCTTTCTCCTATGGAGCAGCTGGTGGATTCAAACTGCCAACCTGTTGGTTAGCAGCCGAGCTCTTAACCACTGCATCACCAGGGCTCCTATTATATACATATGCCTATATATATATGTGTGTGTGTGTCTTAGCTATCCGTGATGAAACTTTTTTTTCTTCCTTTTTTTAAACTGTTGTACTTTAAGTGAAAGTTTACAATTCAAGTTAGTCTCTCATACAAAATTTATATATACATTGTCACATGACTCTAATTGCTCTCTCTTTACTGTGACAGCACACTCCTCCCTTCCACCCCTGATTTCCCATGTCCATTCAATCAGCTTCTGACCCTCTCTGCCTTCTCATCTCACCTCCGGACAGGAGCTGCCCATTTAGTCTCATGTATCTACTTCAGCTAAGAAGCACACTCTTCACAAGTATCTTTTATGTCCCATAGTCCAGTCTAATCTTGGTCTGAAGAACTGGCCTTGGGAATGGTTTTAGTTCTGGGTTGACAGAGAGTCCTGGGGCCATACTTTCTGGGTTTGCTCCAGTTTCAGTCAGACCACTAAGTCTGGTCTTTTTACTAGAATTTGAGTTCTGTACCCCACTTTTCTCATGCTCCATCAGGGACTCTCTATTATGTTCCCTGTCAGGGCGGTCATTGGTGGTAGCCGAGCACCATCTAGTTCTTCTGGTTTCAGGCTGATGCAGTCTCTGGTTTATGTGGCCCTTTCGCTATCTAGGGCTAATACTTTCCTTGTGACTTTGGTGTTCTTCATTCTCCTTTACTCCAGGCGGGTTGGGAACAATTGATGCATCTTAGATGGCCACTCACTAGCTTTTAGGATGCCAGACACCACTCACCAAAGTAGGATGTAGAACATTTCTTAATAAGCTTTGTTATGCCATTTGACCTAGATGTCCCCTGAAAGCATGGTCCCAGACCCTTGCCCCTACTACTCTGTCCCTCAAAGTGTTTGGTTGTATTCAGGAAACTTCTTAGCTTTGGTTTAGTCCAGTTGTGCTGACTTCCCCCGTAGTGTGTGCTGTCCTTCCCTTCCCCTAAGATAATTCTTGTCTACTACCTAGTTAGTGAATAACCCTCTCCCTCCCTCCCCACCCTCAAAACCATCAATGAATGTTTTCTTCTGTGTTTAAACCTTTTATTGAGTTCTTATAATAGTGGTCTTATACAATATTTGTCCTTTGTGACTGACTAAATTCACTCAGCATAATGCCTTCCAGATTCCTCCATGTTATGTTTCAAGCATTCATCATTGTTCTTTATTGTTGTGTAGTATTCCACTGTGTGAATATGCTACTGCAATAATGCGGATTGGAGCCGGCTGCTGTAATAGCCAATTCTGAGACTGGGGTGAGGTGAGCAGCAAGAGGTTTATTATATATCAATATACAGGAGACAGAGGGGAATAGATTCCTCCAAAAAAAAAACCCGTCTCCTCAACTGGAGATCAGCTGAAGGCTTTTATAGGGACAGGATTATGGGTTTTAGAAGTTAGAGTTAGTTCCCCCTTGAGGTGTTCATGTCTCAGATGAGTTAATCTTTTACTGGTATTCTTGGGGGTTATCTGGTGACATACTGGTTTTCTTGTCACAAGATGGGTGCTTTGTTAGGTTTTTCATCCTCAGCATCATTATCACTTGTTTTCCACCCTCCAAGGAGGAACATAGGTTAATCTTACACCTTTTGTAGAGACTGGAACTGGAGGGAAAGACAAGATCATGAGACAATGTGGCAGTTAGCAATGGGGAGTAAATAATAGTGAGCCAGGCCTATGCAGCCTCTTCCAAATATACCAAAATGTATTTATCCATTCATCTGTTGATGGTCACCTAGGTTGTTTGCATCTTTTTGCTACCGTGAACAGTGCTGCAATGAACATGGGTGTGCATATATCTATTCATGTGACGGCTCTTATTTCTCTAGGATATATTCCAAGGAGCGGGATAGCTGGATCCTATGGTACTTCTATTTTTAGCTTTTTAAGGAAGCGCCAAATCGATTTCCTAAGTGGTTGTACCATTTTACACTCCCACCAACAGTGTATAAGTGTTCCAGTCTCTCTACAACCTCTGAAACATTTATTATTTTGTGTTTTTTAGATTAATGCTAGCCTTGTGATGGTGAGATAATATCTCATTGCAGTTTAGATTTGCATTTCACTAATGGCTAATGATCACAAGCATTTCTTCATGTGTCTATCAGCCACCTGAATGTCTTCTTTGGCAAAGTGCCTGTTCATATCTTTTGCCCATTTTTTAATTGGGTTATCTGTCTTTTTGTTGTTGAGGTTTTGCAGTATTTTGTAGATTTTAGAGATTAGACGCTGATCAGATTTGTTGTAGCCAAAAAATTCTTCCCAGTCTGTAGGTTGTCTTTTGACTCTTTTGGTGAAGTCTTTTGATGAGGATAAGTGTTTGATTTTTAGGAGCTCTGAGTTATCTAGTCTCTCTTCTGGTGTTTGTGCATTGTTACTTATGGTTCATATTGTGTTTATGCCATGTATTAGGGCTCCCAGCACTGTTCC